TTCCTGCATGTTTTAAAATCAAATATTTAGATCATGAACTCAGCTTATTTGTTCGATTTAGTGGTGAACTGTAGAATCTAGTGGAGGTTGAGGAAACATCTCAGCAGTTAGATTGAGGTGTTCAGGTGTTTCAATCTTTTTGGGATAAAACATATTGTGCCTGCAGGCGAGAGTAGAAAGAACACTTTGATTATTAATTTACAGACATCTGATTCAGCATTCTGAAGACATTAAGTAGTTTTTGTTTATGTTTGTGCTTGTTTACATGTTTGCCTTTTAAAGTATAGCTTTATGTTGAATATAAACACAGAGAGACACCCACAGTAGTGGGCGTACAGAGGACTGCTATCTAAATCTGCAACTTTACAGCCTTTTAGTGAGTTTCTACCCACATAGCGCCAGCTAAGAAAAGAAAAAGAAAGTGCCATGTGTGAATCTTTACTCTTGGTCTTTAAACTCGGATGAGCAATTTCTGTGCACGGTCAGCCCAGACTTTCTACAAAATGGATTTTAGCTACTGTTTGAGCCATCTTCTTCAGATTTGTGCGGTAAAGTTGTAAAGGGACAAAAGTCCATCTTAGAAAATGTTTCCTCATATGAGTAGTTTGCTGACAGGCAGTTGGTCCCTAATGTAAGTAAGTCAAATTTAATAACATTGCACTTTTTGCAGATTTAAAAAAATCACAAATGATTAAATTACAATATTTCAGATGTTTTGGGGTGTTTCTGTTTTGTGAATTTTCTAAATGCAATAAATAATCTCACATTTGTGTTCTGGCATTGACTGCCATACTGCTGAACTCCAGTTTTTCTTTGTTTTTATCTATTCCTTTCGATTTGTGCACACATTTCAGTCATGTGATTAACTGTTATGGAAAAATACATGTTTATTAATTCTTGATCATGGACTCAACCAACTGGATGTAATATGTACTGCTCTATGCCTCTCTGCATCCTCTCATACACACACACACACACACACACACACACACACACACACACACACACACACACACACACATTCTTATATTCATACACACACTGACTCCCTCTCTCACACAATGACCTCACTCCTTTTTTATCTTCCTCTCTATAAATAAAGTCTGTGAACAGATGTCCGGGGCATTTGCTTCGGCATCTTGCCACAGTTATAACTGTTTGACTTGTCTGCTCGTTGTCTCCTTCTCTCTTCACTATAGGTAATGGGTTATTGATAATAGCTAAACGTTCTGTATGCATTAACAGCACATCCGAAAACACAATCTAAATTCACAAAAGCAATTTGCACATGACTCTTTGTCTCAACTATCTGGTGGTTAAGGAACTCCACTGAGCTTGAGTTTAAAATGAATATTTTGACCATAAAAGGAAGTTTCTTGGATTGAAAAAGCTTTTAAAAACCATACGTGTTTAAGAGTTTTCTGTATTATCTTCATGCAGCATTTGAGTGTGTAGTATTGTCTTTTAAGCAATGTCAAGTGATGTAAAGGAGCAAATTCTCATCATTTATAGTTTAAAAAAGGAAAAGAGGAAGCTTGGTCTCCGGCAGTGATCTCACCTGAATATTGCTTCTTTTGTCTGCCTGTCCCCTGACTGACACGTTAGTTGCATTGGTACATGCACACACACACACACACACACACACACACACACACACACACGTGAATGGATGAACTTTATGAATGAAAACTCTTCTTCCTGAGCGGCAGACAGGAGGTGAGATCATCTTGTTGAAATGGAGAATCCCCCACTTGCAGCACCCTCCCACCAATCCTGGTTGGTGCCAGTCTTAATAAATCCCATCATTGGACAAAATGGATGAGCACACAGTAGTGGATGCCTGATTGATGAAAATATTGACCAAATTCATCCTCCAGCAGACTGGAAGGCATAACAAATTCACACGTTCACACTGGCGCACCTCAGATCATACATTATTATCTTTTTTCAGTAGAAATCTGAAAGAGTGCCTGTTATTCTGCTAGTTTCCAGTAAACACGCTTGCTAAGTAGAGTGCCAATTCCTTTCTTTATAATTGCTTTGGTGGATCTGATGATTGCGCACCTATTCAGCTGTGTATGAGTGAAAGTGGCGATGAGTAACTCAAGGGGCTCTCCATGAAAATCCATAAATAGGCCCTTAGCCGGAATCTGCCCTCCCCCTCACTCCTCTCTCTCTCTCTCTCTCTCCTCTCTCTCTCTCTCTCTCTCTCTCTCTCTCTCTCTCTCTCTCTCTCTCTCTCTCTCTCTCTCTCTCTCTCTCTCTCTCTCTCTCTCTCTCTCTCTCTCTCTCTCTCTCTCTCTCTCTCTCTCTCTCTCTCTCTCTCTCTCTCTCTCTCTCATGCAACCTTCTCTCCTAAATGGTCCGGGACAAGCTGTGTCCCCTTGGCATTCAGCCTTATACTGTACACTCACAACTGGAGCTCTGGACGCACGCACGCGCACACACACACGCACACACACACACACACACACACACACACACACACACACACACACACACACACACACAAAACATTCCTCTCAACATTCCCCACTGCAGGCGTCTGTTAATTCCCTCCTGCAATGTAGCATTTTACATAAGCAGTTTGGATGTATGCCACCTGTCTGTTGGATTGCTGCTTCTTTTAAAAGTCAGAGTTTTATTCTGTTTTGTCCTGACTAATATCTGCTCTCTGTGTAATCTGTCCAAATAAAATGCCTATTAATGAAAATGAACCAGTGCTGTAATGTTTTTAAAACTGAAAAAGCTTTCTAGAATGGATTTCATGGTGTGAAGCCTTGTAGTGTTGGTTCTCTGTTTGTTCCTCATGAAGAGTCCAAGCTGCAGTGATAGAAACCAGAAGCAGCCGTTCTGATCCTTTAATACTTGGATATGTGAACGTCCCTGAAGAAAAATTGTCTGGCAAGCTTATATAAATAAATTATGAAGAAATTTTTCAGGAAAAGAGAGAAACGGTAGTATTTTTTTTTATTCGAACTGCCTTAAGACAGAAACATAGACGGTGAGAAACAGAAATAATGAATGTGTCTCTGCCCTGTTTTATGGGATATAAAAAGCAACGTAAAACATTAATGAACTCTGTTTCAGCCACGGCTTTTTGAATAGTAGTTTAAGAACTTATACATCAATATTTTAAAAAGTCTAATTACTAAAGATTGTTTCAGAAATACTGCAAATTCACTCCTTGGCTGTGTCAATTAGACTAAGTGGAATAAATGTAGGTCATCTAGTAAGTATAGGTGGGTGACTCCATTAGTATTTTCTTGTTCTAACTGAATTTATTATAGGAGGGTTTAATGTACAGTAATTTATGAAGAAATGCATTTTATTTTGTTTACCAAACAAAACAATCTGTTTCCATCATGACTTCAAATGAAAGCATTTACTGTTTTCATTCAGAGTTGTTGCGGTTTGCACGCTAGAGGTTCCCCTCTGTACATGCAGCACGATGAGGTCATTGTTATGGATTTAAATCCAGCGGGGACTTAATCTGGGAGATAAGAGCTGGATTGGGATTAAGCTCTCAAAAAAGCTTGATTAATCTAACCATTTACTCTTTAAAATACAAAAGTGTGACATGAGACTGTTTCTTCCCTTTTTGCACTAATAAGGCCATTCTTATTTAGCTGGTGAGTTTTTAGGTTTATCCAGGATTTTGAGTTTTTTGTCTTCTGTGTACAAATTTCAAGCTTCTGATTTTTTTAAATCAAGATTTGGAAAAATTGTAACATGCTTAGATATTTATTTTTAAGTCTGAAGTGGTCAGGTTCCCTTTTATCTTAGAACTAAAGTGTGAGTGTGTGCGCGCGCGCGTGTGTGTGTGTGTGTGTGTGTGTGTGTGTGTGTGTGCGCGCGTGTGTGTGTGTGTGTGTGTGTGTGTGTGTGTGTGTGTGTGTGTGTGTGTGTGTGTATTTGTGCGTAAGTGAGTGTGTCAGCAAAAGTTCTTGATCTTTTGATCAGTTTTCGGAATCAATCAGTTTATTTCAACATGGCCGCTCCAGTTCAGAACATAAAAACACAAATTCTATTTACCAGCTAAAGTCTTTTAATAATTTGAATAAGTGTAAATAGTTTTCAGTTGTTTCCATTATACACTCAGACTAACTTGTGTAAAATTTCTGTTTGAAACTTTGACATGAAAGTGATCTCAGCAAGTTTGACAGTTCTTGCCCTTCCAGAATGAGCCGTTTTAGGGCTCTGTCACCTTAAGAAAACGAGTTGGAGCTGGCCATGCCCAACCAAACACACCCCTTAGACTGCTATAAGCTGAAAAACGTCGACATATGGGAGGGGGCTTGAAGTAGAGCCGCTGCTCCTCCAGCAACAGCTCTCTCATGCTTGTGAGAGGGGAATATATGGTAATTTCTCTGTTTGTGACATCACAATCGGGGACTTTTTGAAACAACTTGCTTAAGGCACATAATTGCTAAAGCTAAACACTGACCGAAAGTTGATGAATGTGTTTTTTCATGTCTTGGAGTGTTTACAGAGGCAGTAGAGATGCAGCAAAAAATAAAAATAAAAACTGTTACCTTGGCCAGCCAAACTTACTTTTGGGGGAAATGTTTGGATTCATTTGATGTTTTTATTGCAATGGTGTCAGATAAAGTTGCTCAGGGAAATAAATCACACCTGGGAAAAGTCTTCACATTTATCACCCAGCTCTCACTGTCTCAGAGAAATGGGTCAATAGAGATTGAAAATAACCTGCCCTTCAGTTTCCAGTGTGTGGCAGACGGAGATTACGGCACCAGTTACAGCGCGGGGGCGTTAATAGGGTTTGAAGGGATTTACATGGTGCTGTCCAGTCAAATGCGGCATGCTTTGGGGATGACATCATTTTGATCACCTCACATACCGGCTGACCCCTTCCACATCCTCCTCCTCCTCCTCCTGAGAGTGAAGTCTCACAAACCTCCAGCTCCACCTGAGCGCGTCTCACTGCATGGACTGCGCTCGTTACAGCGCGCATGTCTCATCTGGAGGACGCTGCTGCTATGGCACCACCTCCCTCCCTCCCTCCCGCTCATCCATCTCTTCCCTCCTCATCAGTCGTGTTTACTATAGCTAAATGAGATGCTGGTATAAGACCCTGAGTGTGCGCAGATTGCGTCGTTAAAAGGTAATGGAAACGGAGGAGGCAGTGGCAGGAAAACAAGCGAATCAAAGGAGCGAGTCTGTGTTTCACCGTTCGCTGGATTTAACGCTGCTGAGGAACCTCTCGGTGCAGATGGAGAAGAAGATGGAGCGTGGATGCTGGTGCTAGGAGCAGAAAAGGAACACTTATTTTGTAGATAATTATATTTAAACTAACCAGGAAAAGGCACGCGCTTGTATCCAACAACGATGGATCCCCGCTGAGGTAAGAATCGATGATTTGCATCAATCATTCGGAGAAACACAAGAACAGGGCAGATATATTTCACAGAAAATAAAAACAAAAACATGCTTTTATTATTCTAAACTGTCAGCGTGTTTTAGCAGTAACGTAAATCCAGGCTGTCGGTGAAGCTTCAGAGAGGAAGAGGAAACGATGCGCCTCCGACCTGTCCATGACGCACTGGCCCGTAACAGCACGCAGCCTGCCTGCAGCTCCCGCAGCTGATACCTCTACATCCATAAAGTCAGTCAGTCAGAGATTAAGAAATGGACTGTTGAGAGACAGGAGCATTCGGATGTGAATGATGACTTACACCAGATGGGTCTCAGATGTCGGGTTTGTCTTTGGCGCAGAAAATTATAATGAGGAAGATGTATCCAGACTTAAGGGATTGTGGTCATGCTTCATCTTAATGATTCCTCCTATGCTTTATTTGTATCTATATCAGTAATTTATTAATTAGAACAACATTTTTTGGGTGTGTGTATGAGTGGCAGATTCTTTAGTAAATAGTAAATGGCCTGTATTTGATATAGCACCTTCTAGAGTCCTGTAACCCCCCCAAGGCGCTTTACAATACAATCAGTCATTCACCCATTCACATACACATTCACACACTGGTGGGGATGAGCTACAATGTAGCCACAGCTGCCCTGGGGCGCACTGACAGAGGCCAGGCTGCCAAGCACTGGCACCACCGGTCCCTCCGACCACCACCAGCAGGCAACGTGGGTTAAGTGTCTTGCCCAAGGACACAACGACAGCGACAGACTGAGCAGGGCTCGAACCTGCAACCTTCCGATTATGGGGCGAGCACTATAACTCCTGTGCCACGTCACCCCAGTTTAGTCTCAGTGAGAGTGTGCATTTGGCTGATCTGATACCCGCAAGACTCCTTGACATTTTATTTACTGAAGATATAAGTTTGTTGTCATAAAACAGTAAATATTAAAACCATGCAGTAAAATCGTGCTTTGTTTGCTTCCCTTCAAACTAAAAACAATAAATAATAAGTAGAATAAATTGCTCAACAAGGTTCAGACTTTCAGAGTAGAATATTGTAACATCACTGATGGGAATCAATAGTATGTCACTAAATTAATCCAAAAATACTTGTTAATAATAACAGATTTTAGTAATTCTCCAAAAGCTAAAACCTTCCACGTCCTTGCTTTGCTCATTAATGAAAGTGGAGCTAGAGACGGTTATTGAAAGAGCTTTTGTAGAAAATAAAATGTTTTCCTTTCCTCACCAAGCGTGCATTGTGCTTTTGTCCTTGGAGACGTGTGAAGCTTTGAAGAAGCCTGCAGAACTCTCTCATTATCATTGTCTATTCTTATCTTTTTTAATATAGCAGTGACATTATTCCATGTAAACAAGCAGATTGCCAAGCATTACACAGTGCAAAAATAAATATAAGAAGCCTCTTTAGTTCTGGGATGTTGTGGGTCCCATAGCGTTGTCAGCGAAGCCAAGAAGATTGATGATTGTTTTATTTCAGGATTTACAGAAACTGCCTCAGATTTTAAGCTTTTATATTTATGTTTATTTATTTGGCAGAAGCTTTTATCCAAAGCAACGTACAATTATTAACCTATAGGGCATGTTGTGAACTGTGGGGGAAACCGGAGTACGCAGAGGAAACCCACGCATGCATGGGGAGAACATGCAACTCCATGCAGAAAGGTCACAGCCGAGTTTCGAACCTGCAACCTTCTTTCTGAGTGGCAACAGTGCTAACAACTGCACCACCATGCAGCCCAACCCCCTTTTATGTCACAAATCCTCCAATCATAACTCAGCCTTGACTATGTGCTTCACCAGTTTCAGCCTAAATACAAGCTTAATTATGATTATGATTATTGGACATTTGGTCCAATTATGTTTATCTTCAGAATTATTTATTTAAAACGTGTTGATTCAGGTTTAAGGGCTGATACTGATTTCTTTTTCTGGAACAGTTCTAACTTGACAGTTTATCTTAAAGGGGACATGTTATCTAAAACTCACCTTTATTATCTTTTTGTGCTGCCATGTGAGTCTCTACTGCCTCAGTAAACACCCCAAACCTGAAAACAGTTCATCTATCCGTTTTCTGTCAGTGTTTGGTTTTAGGAAATATGTGATTAAAACAAGCGATTTCAAAAAGTTTGTGACATCACAAACAGGGAAAAAAAGAACCACTTCTCACGTGCAAGAAAGAGCAGCTGGTGAATGAGCAGCAGCTCTTATCCGAGCCCCTCCCAGATATCAGAGCTTCTCAGCCTATAGCAGCCATGAGCGGAGCATTGGTAGCATGACCAGCACTAGCTTTTATTCTTAAGTTGCTTTCAAAGGATACGCCATGGTGGCACATCAAGGTAACACTGCTGCCTCGGTGTGTCCTTTGAATGTGCCTTGGCGACATTGTGAAGTGAGAATATTTCGGCATTCATGACATCAAGCTTGATAATGTTACCACAATGCTGGACTTCTGAATAAAGGTCACGCCTTTGCGCAACATATTATGATGTCTTGATCATATATGGAATGTCCACCAAGCCCCAGCTGGCAATGGTATTTAAAATGCAAGTTAAACACGAGGAGTCCATTTCACACTTGTTAACAGTATCAGCTGAGACAGCAAACTGGTGAGATGCAGAGTTCTGGGTGATTCTGTCCATTAGAGCTTAACAAAACATGCTAAATAGTTTATGTAAGACTGGGAAGGACAGCCACAGCTTTTGGAGCGGCTTGCAAAAAAAAACTTTAGAAGAGTGGCCTCAACTGGAACAAAAATAAGTAGTCCAAGCTAGAAGGATGTCCGCATCAAGGACACATCCACAGAGCACAAAAATGTGAACTCCTTTCCCATACTCCCTTTATACAACCATTGTGTAATCTTTTCTAAAAAACACAGGATCTTGGTACATTGTTGCCACAGGCTGACCACTCATGAATGACCAAGGCTCTGTGATGTTGCGTACACTTTGCGTCAAAGTGGCGGTAACGTTTTTCAAAACGAGCTTTAAAGTGTCAAAGCCCTGAAACGGCTCATGAAAATGTCAAGAACAGAATCGCTTGCTTCTGTTGCTTGATGTGAGAGGGATTTTGCGCAAAGAACTTCATGATCATGTTTGATATAGACCATAGAACAATGACAACTTAATCAAAAGGTCCTGTTAGAGAGTTGACAAAATACTGTTTGCCCCCATTTCTAATCAACTTGAAAATGAATTTTCTCAAAGTAAAATCCTCCACATGTTAGCATGAATCACAACGTAGACATGGTGAGTTCATTGACTGGGAATTATGTGGTTTTGGTTTTACTTTGCTGCTTTACAGTAGTGCATTTATGGACCCAAAACATTTTTACTTAGATCTAACAGAGTCAAACCTAATGCAGCGGCTCCCAACCTTTTTCCATGAGGAACCCCTTACCGGTGTTGAAAACGAACCAAGGACCCCCCAAGCCCATCACCCAACCACAAGTACACATCAAAAATGTTTAATTACAAACTCTACACAGGCATACTGTGCTGTACCTCCTATACAGATTTTGATAATGCTATTGGGGGTGTTATTGGGATTTTATACATGTACATTTTACAAATATAATCTTAATAACTCAACAACATCAGCATGGACAAAGTTGTAGGGATCCCCGTTGGGGGTCACGGAACCCAGGTTGGTAACAACTGCTGTAATGGTGCTTAAAAATAACCTAACCTAGTACTCATATTAGATCTATGAACTAGAAAAGCTTTTTTTTCAGGTTATAACATTTGTATCTATCTCTGTCTTCAAGGCTCCTGCTTCTTCGATCATTTTGATGACCTCTGCCCCTCATGGCTCTCATCCATGAACCTCGTGCCCCCTCACCCTCCCTCTCTGGCTTCAACACACCCCTCTCCGACCCCCCATCTTTTCGCCGCCTCGATGCCGAAACACCCTGCACGCCGGAAATGGACCTGACCCCGACCCAGTGTGTCCTCAGAAATGTCCTCTCTTTAGATACCGGGGGTGCCGTGGAGCCCGGGGGTGATGGAGGAGGTGGAGGAGAGGGGAAAAGCACCAGACACAACCAGACGCCCAGCGAGGAACAACAGGAGCACTTTGCCAACAGTGTGCTGAAACTACATGAGCACGATGGAAGCAATGAACACACGGAAGGAGAGGGGCAGGAGGCGGACAGCTCTGTGGTCAGGAGCCAGGCGGATGATGCCAGGTTACAGTGCCAGTCCACGGGAGGGGGAGGGGGGTTTCTAGAAGGGCTCTTTGGGTGCTTGCGGCCTGTCTGGACTATGATCGGCAAGGCCTACTCCACGGAGCACAAACACGGCCTGGACGGTATGTCTTTATTTCTGTTTAACTAATGTCAGCCAGTCTTTCCAGTTTGGTTTCAGTTCAAAGCTTTGAACTGCTAATTAAACCATCTTATCTCCCAGTTTAATTACAATAGACATTATGTAGAAAAATTACTCCCACAAAGGCCAAGCTGTAAACTGACTCCCTAAAATAAATTAGCTGAATCCAGAAAAGGAAATTCTATCAAAGCTGCAAAGGCCCTATTTCCCCTGGTACCCCCCCCCCCCCCCCCCCAATAATCCCACCCATTTGCCACGCTTGTGCCCACCTCCCACCACATAACCCCCCTCCACCCACACATACACACAGACACACAGTGAAGCTAGCTCCCTGTGACACTGTGTTGTTTATGTCTGCAGCCACTACAAAAGCACAGGGCTCCCCGGGGACTCTTCCAAATCTGCTTCATGAATAATGCATGACCATGCTCTGACCCTATGCCTCTCATCTCTATTAACACAAAACCTGACACACACACACACACGCACACACACACACACACACACACACACACACACACACACACACGCTCAAACGTGGACAAGCAGGAGCCAAAGGATGAATGCATGCATACATAAATGCATCTACAAATACAAGCACTTAATAACCAACACTGATATTAGCATATAAAGTCAGATGAAATGCCAAACCTGGAAAGAAAGAAAAAAGGATAATAACACCGCACCTGACACCAGACATGGAGGTGGCAGCTTTCCACCTCCCCTCCCCTCCTCCTTCCATCCCTTATTGTCTCTCCTTTTCATCTTGTTCTGTTATCACTCGCAGCCCATCTGCACCTCGCCTCTTCCCTCCTCATCACACAATCAGGGAGTCACACACACACACACACTCGTGACACTAAAACAGATATAAAAAATGAAATAAACACAGCTTTTTGCTGTACCAGCCCACCTCACATCTAAACTCCCATTTTCTACTGTTGACTGAAGGAAATTACGTATCACAATAAAACCAAGGATGTTATTCCTCCAATTTTCTGAGGGATGAAGGGTTTCAGGCTGAATCTGGTTTTGTTTCAAACAGAAAATGGAAAATAGGAGGAGATCCTAATGTGTCATTTGAGGCCTGCTGTCTTTACTGTAGTACATTTGAGGAGCTCATGTAGAGAAGGAGTCCACAGTCAATCATTGGAGGTCATTAATCATTAATACCATCCTCATTAATATGATAAATGCGCCTGAATGCAGCTCACTCTGCTGCTGTTCTTCCTGGGTCGAGATCAGCAGCAGAGCAGTCGGTACACTTTGTGTTTATTAACAGGCTGTCTTCAGACACATGGACCCCTGCTGACCTATGGGGAATCCCCCCCCCCCCCCCCCCCATACCACACACACACACACACACACACACACACACCCTCCAACCACTACTGCTTCTCCTCCTCTCTGTTCACCCTACAACCGCATTAGCTTCTCAAATCCTGTCCTTCCTCCTAACCCCTCCTGAGCATTGGACCCGTTTCCTATCTTCCCACAATGGCAGTAAGCAGGATTTAGGGGCTGAGGGGGAATTACCCACGAGAGATTAGAGCGTCCCTGTCTGTCTGTTTATAGCCCCAAGTCTCAGGTTAGGAGGTTCATCACCAGAACAAGATATCAGCTGAGGTTGTGTGCTGCCGGGGCTTCAGGCAGATGTAATGTTCTGCTACAAAATGATGCAGTTAAATTATTTACGTTTGGCTTTCATTATAGTCTCTGCTATATACGGCTGTTTTTTTTTTCATCTTTTGATTACTTTTAGTGATGTTTATTGGTTTTAAAACTAATGATCCAGACTTTTTTGTATTATTGCCAAGATGGTCCCTGCATTGGAACTAGACCTTGAATGACATAACTTAGCTTTTTATTCCCTGTTTTAGTTTGTAACTTGCTTGTTAGCAGTTTAAGCTTAGCATTGAGCTACATCAGTAGCATTTACTAATGATTTGCAGTTCACACGATCACTATATATTTATTGGTAGTGTAAAACAACCACTTCTCTGTTGTTATTGAGCTGCTAACCTCTCACATCAGTGGCCTGTTGCTAAATATGTGAGTGCATACCGAACGGAAGACCCAGGTTAGTGCGGTGAGACCAACAACTGGAAGATCCAGTGGTTGCTGTTGGTCCGAAAGCAACTATTGGCGGAGGTTTTTAGACAAATGCGAGAGAACCACATCATTTTTTCATCTCTACTCTATATTTACAGCAATATGGTGTTAGAACATTAAGAGGCATGAAAAAAATGATTTAAGCTCATTTGTTTTCCAAATTTGCCATTGTAGCTTCAACTGCGTGTTCACAAATCAGAAAAATTTAGGCCGATTATGCTAAAAATGTCTCATACTGATCACTAACCAGCGTTTTAGTGCATTTCTATTGAAAATAATTAATTTTCATCTTCTAGAGATGTTTGTATTTTCTAAACGTGGAATAAAAAACAATCTCATTCGCCTTTCTCTTCAAAGTATCATATTTGAGGCGTAACCTCACCATATGATTTAGGTTTTAATCCAGGTGAAACTGATCTGAACTGAATAGTTTTGTATTAGTTGCTAAAAAATATTAAACTCAACAGTTTGTTTCTCTGTTCAGAGGAGTGGGAGGTCCCCTTTGAGGAGATATCGGACCTGCAGTGGGTGGGTAGCGGAGCCCAGGGTGCTGTCTTCCTCGGCAAATTGCACGGACAGGAAGTGGCTGTGAAAAAAGTGCGTAACATCAAAGAGACAGACATCAAGCACCTACGGAAGCTCAAACACCCCAACATCATCATGTTTAGGTGAGTGATTTGTTTAATTATGACTTAAGAAACCCGAAAACATCATTTAAACCCTAAATGTTTTTATAAATCTTTAAAAAATCTCTATGCATAAGATTATTAGAGATGATTATTAAGATCTTGCGTCTTCAAATGAAATTATGGTATAGAAAAACTTGTCCAGTTACTTTATCTTACTCATCGTTTCTACTTTTTCTCTCAGGGGGATTTGTACCCAGGCTCCTTGTTACTGCATCATCATGGAGTACTGTGCTCAGGGACAGCTGTATGAGGTGCTGAGAGCAGGAAGGCAGATCATGCCGTCCCTACTCATGGACTGGGCCATGGGCATCGCCGGGGGGATGAACTATCTTCACCTCCACAAGATCATCCACAGAGACCTCAAATCACCAAAGTGAGTTATTTTCAGACCCCGATCCTCAAGGGTGGTGAATCCATACGTTTTTCTTTCTGTCAATACACAGAGCAATGATGCGTTATTTGTTTTGCAGACCTGATTAAATGTCTGATTACAGCTGATTTGATTTAGTTGGTTCTTATTTTTGAGTTCCAGCTAGCCCAAGCAGGTAAATCTGTCCTTTCATTCCAGCATACTCATCACCTACGACGAGGCGGTGAAGATCTCAGATTTTGGTACGTCCAAGGAGCTCAGTGACAAGAGCACTAAGATGTCTTTTGCAGGGACCGTGGCCTGGATGGCCCCCGAGGTCATCCGCAACGAGCCAGTCTCGGAGAAGGTGGACATCTGGTAAGTGTTGCAACCTTCAGTTTTCATATTTTCCTTTATGATTCATCTTATCAGCCACCAAATCAACCCAGAGCCTTTTTAGCAGTGGTGTACTACAGAGCAGCACCAAGGATCCTGTTTCCAGAAAATCTATTCAACATGATGAATAATATCTCATTACATGAAATTCTAGAGGGTCTCTGTTGTATCTGATGGGTTGCCCTATGTTAAGTCCCGATCCCCCTCACTCCAGTACATTCTCTCTCTCCCTTCTGTTTTCTCTTTTACTGCATCCCCCCATCAGTCCTCCTCTCCATCCTGAAAGGAACGCTGGCTAATTTAATAATTGATCTGCCAGATGCTGCAGTGCTCAGGAGAGGCTGGAATAACCTTCCGAGCCTTCGGATGGGTTGGCCCTCGGCCAGCAGTGCATTAGCCGAGGAGTGAAAATGGGATTAAAAAGCTTTTGATGGTTGAAAGAAAGCAAAGCCTGGGCATGTAGGCTGCATTTTTGTTTAAATCTATGTAAATCGCTTGGTAGCTGTCCATAACACCAAAAAGAGAGCCAGAATTAACCCGGCTGTGGTTAAGCACTCTCATGCGTTGTGTACATTTGTTTATCTTTTCTGACATGTAGCATCAGCTGCTGCTACAAATCCCTTTGATTTTATGTGAAAGTGTTGTAAAATCACATAAAACGCAGCATAATGTGAGATTACCATATGAATATAACGCATATATAATACCTGAGCACTGTTATTTTCATTGACATGACATTATTTACAGTTTACAGTTTAATACAATAAAAAGGCATCAACAAATGCTAAAAATATGAGTATAAGAAAAGAAAACTGTGGGTTAAATATTGATAGACTAAATTTTAGGGGTGGGAATTTAACGTTTTAATTACAATTAATTAATTAGAAAAAAATAACACGTTGAAAACCCCTTGAACCAAAGCACCCCCAGTTGGAGGGGGTGGTAAAGTCTAGCATCACAGTGTATGCCCTATTTATCAATAAATATCATCAAGCTGCACCTCTAACAAAACTGCAGAGCCTGGGCTACAAGACCATATAAAACTTGTTATGTGCTCTAAACACAACTAAAACTACAGTAAATGAGTCGTGACAAATCACTCTTCATGAAGAAAAGAAAGAATAAAATCAAGATTTTTACCGTTATGTTTTCTAGTTCATAGAAAGCAGGCAGGCAGCAATTTAATCGATATGAACTTTATTACAGCCGGAGGAACAAGCGTACACACAGCATTCATCTTGTAACTTTCAGCAGAACTTCCCCTGAACTCTACACTACACCTCTTTAGCAGTGCTCTGCTGCCAGCTAGTGTTCAGTTCAGTACACTTCACTTACAATTACAGTGTTTACATCTACAAACCCTAACCCTTATCTACACGTTGCTGCAGGGGGCTGGTGTCTATCTCCAGCAGTCTCTGGGCAAACAAGCAGGGTACACCCTGGACAGGTTGCCAGTCTATCATAGAGCACCACAGAGACACACAGGATGAACAATCATGCACACACGCACTGACATCTAAGGACAATTTAAAGAGAACAATCAACTGTGAGAAGAAACCACGCGTACACAGGGAGAACATGCTAATTACTTCCATGCTCCCTGCCTCAAGGAAACAGCGCTAACCATTGCACCACTGTGCAGCTCTTGTTACCTTTATGATTGACCAAAGTAAACAAATAGACCTTGTTGGTGCTTGTTGGTATACTCATTAAAGTGTGGGTATGTTTTCTGTGCCTCACTAACATTATTTTTAATAAAACAATTTTCTTTAGTGCAACTTGCCTTAAATGATTAAAATGTGATTAATCAAGGTTAATTAATCACAAAGATTCTAATTAATTAGATTAATATTTTTTATCGAGTCCTGTCCCTAATAAATATAAAACACACCAAAAAAAACTAAACTTCAGAATAATGAAAATTGTATAGTAGATACTAATATGGGCTTTCACTAGTCTGAGTATCTTAACAATTTTAGTGTACACCGTTTAAAAATTAAGAATATGTTTACAAAAAATGAAATAGAATCATTTTTACAAGGAAGATAAATAAGACTGTCAGAATCTTCAGTTAAATATTGTGGAAAACTAAAATTAATGTTTGTTGTTTTCTCATTATTTGCTGTCATAATATTAAAAATAGCTTTTCCAGGTAAATGGGAATACATATTAGGTTTTTCAGGATTAATTCAAATTGAGTCAAAGTCAAACTCAAAAATACTTTATTAATCCCAGAAGAAAAGTAAGTGTTGTCGTAACTCAGTCATTTACCTCTTTTCAGGTGTGTTACTCCATTGACTTTATATGATGACGATGATGATGATTAGCTGGTATATGGGTTAGGGTTAGGCTAAAAATGACTAATAAAGGGTGAATGAAGTAAGTATCACAGAACTCTAGAATGTGCTATATAAATACAAGTCATTTACCACTTATAATTATTGTTTTTTTACATTATTATTATTATTATTATTATTATTATTATTATTATTATTATGGCTTTAATATCTCTGCTATCTCTTTATCAGTCATGGACTGATGACACATCTTCTCGTCTCATATAGCAATAAAGATTCAAACCAGCAAAGAGATCCTCACACACACCCGCAGTTATCCGTGCGATGCAATTGGCACCATGGTTACAGTGCACGGTTGTCACAGCAACCCCAAGAGTCACCAGCAACAGGCTTCCTGTAGTTACCCATCTCATGGGGCCAGTGTGTCGTGTGCGGACATCTTTCAGAAGCAAAGTTAAATAATGAAACACTAAACTAGAAAAAAATCCTTTATGAATAAATGTATAATTCAGAAGTTCCTGCTAAATATTTTAGCTAATTCAACAAAATGGACAAAACATACACCTTTATGTAAGCAGGCACCCTCATAATTTAATTAAGAGATTTATTTGTAGCATTCATTTATAGAGTAATAATCCTTGCTGCTTTTTCTTTTATCTTCACTCATCATTATTAATGTGTCTGAAAGATATCGTGCTCCATTTTCCTGAAGGTCATTTGGCGTTGTGCTGTGGGAGATGTTGACAGGGGAGGTGCCCTACAAGGATGTCGACTCCTCAGCTATCATCTGGGGAGTGGGCAACAACAGCCTGCAGCTGCCAGTACCTGACAGCTGTCCAGACAGCTTCAAACTGCTCCTGAGGCAATGCTGGTGAGGGAGGAGGAGGACGTGATAAAACAGGAAAAATAGAAGTGTATAAGACATGAAAGTCATTTAAAAAACAACAAATGTACCTGATTACAGGAACTGCAAACCAAGGAATAGACCCTCATTTCGACAGATACTTCTACATCTCGACATCGCCTCAGCAGATATTTTATCAACCCCACAAGAAACTTACTTTCAGTCTCAGGTGAGTTTTGTCAATCCACTGTTTTCAGAATAACTGTGAATTTTTTACTGAGCATTTTAAAATGATGAACCCATTTCACAGCGGACATTTGGACTTCAATCAGTGGGTTGCTCAGGTGAACAAGGGCTGCATTCCATTCAGAATAAGTTCTGTTCCTCAGCAGTTTTACAAAATAACTACAAACTGCAGGAGTGCCATTAGTGGTGAGTTATTTCACCTGAGCTTTCCCTTGCCTGCAAATCAAAACTTCTGCAGTGAAAACGTAATAAAATAAATCAGAAACAAACAAGCCTTTCTGTTAATTTTAAACTTTTTACATGCAACTTTAGACATTAGTGATAAAAAAGCAGGAATGAGGTCAAAGAGCTTTCAACAAGCTATCTTATTTGAACATTTGCAGAAAAAAATACTCATCATCTCTCCATTGTTAACAGATAAATAAATGAGCCTTAAGTGAAGTGCATGTGCTCTGTGGGTCTGATTCATGAACCAGCATCATGGTTTCTTATTCCGCTGTCAAGCTGCTGCTACTCTCTCCAGCCTGATGCAGTAACTTCATGCAGAGCCGAGTGCACGGCTGTAAAGGGGCTCCAGGCCTCCTGGGAGATCACTAATAATACCTGTCCTTTCAATCATGCCCCATTGTTGTTGGATGTTTTTTTTCTCCCCCTCTCTTGTCACACATGAGTGCTGATTTGTGCTTTTATATGAGGGCTACAGTGCACGGGTCAAAGGAAGAACCTTTTTCCACCCCAATCATATAAAAGTGTGATGGGAAAGGAGGGTGTGTGTTTATCTGTGTGCGATTGGGGGTGGTAGAAGCACATTATAAATCTATCAGATCACCACAAACCCAAAATAAAATATAATTCGGTATCCATCCAGAGACCACATATCCATTAATAACTAAAGCACACATGATTGTGTCTGTTTATCTTCTCTGTCTGGTTAAATTTCATGATGGAAAACATAAACCTCGTTCACTCTCTCCACTTCTTCGTCCTTCATGTCTCCCTGCCCCCCTCACTTCTCCCTCTTGTTCCATCCCTACGTAGTTTCCTCCTCTCTGGCCCATAATGGATTTTTCTTGTGACATTAGAAAGAAGAATTTGCTGCTAGAGTGTATTGATTGCTTTAATGGTGGAGAGCAGAGCAAAGGGAGAGGAAAAAGAGGGGACTGGAGACATAGACGAGTGCACACAGAGTCCATTAGGTTAATAAGAAGCACAAATTCGTACACACTTGCACACGCATGTGCAAGCACACGCTCATAAATCTGGTTTCCTTTGTGCATTGATATGACGAGTTTCAGATAACAGCTGTCATGCTCTGTTGTGCACAAGAAAATGCTCATGCTGCGACTCTCTTCCACTTTTCTTTTTGCATTAATGTCATGTCCATTCACACTTCTGCTCTTTGTGTCTCAATTATTATCTCACAGCCTAATGGGTTTTGTTTCAGTGGCAAAGCTTAATTGTTCTGCAAATTAAGAGGCTTTGTTCCATCTGAATCAATGTGCAGGGGGGTCATCAACACAGAATTTTTATCATTCGATCATTTTTAATTATCTCGCTGACAAAGTGAGAGGTGTCAGGATTCTCAAAGCAGGATTGGATAATAGAGTTAAAAAACAGATTATTAGAAAAATGTATGAAATTAAAATATTTAATTGTGACTAAATGATGATGAAGATACCTTTGGTTTTGTTTTACTGTAATGTGTGATTGCATTCATCTTTCTTTATATTCTTCAGATATAAACAGTTTATTTTTGATTTTGATCATTCTAACATTAGTAGCTTCATTAATTATTTTAATGATACTGAGCTTTATTTTATCATAAGTGTCATTGTGAGACATTCACAACACATACTCATGCAAAATATTTAGTGTTGTGTGAAAATGTGCATAACGTATCGTATCATTGCATGCCTTCAATTAATGTGTGTGTTCTTTAAGATGTTCCACGTAAATAATCTAAAATAGTCTGGAGCTTGTAATTCAAGCTGTGGTGTAACTTTGGTAGCAAAAGCACTAATCAATAGGGGGTGGGACAAGGACGCCGTTTGAAGCGAAAAGCAATATCTCTAAAACTATCATCAAGTTTGTTTTTCTTCTGTGACATTTCAAGGTGGGAGCTGCACAGTGGTGTAGTGCCTAACACTGTTGCCCTGCAGCAAGAAAGTTCTGGGTTCACATCCCAATCTGGGGTCTTTCTGCATGGAGTTTGCATGTTCTCCCTGTGCATGTGTGGGTTGTCTTCAAGTACTCCGGCTTCCTCCCACAGTCCAAAAACATGACAGTCAGGGTTGATTGGTCCCTCTAAAATTGTCCTCAGGTGTGTGTCTCTGTGTTGCCCTGCGATGGACTGGCAACCTGTCCAGGGTGTACTCCGCCTACTTGCCCGGAGACTGTTGGAGATAGGCACCAGCCCCCCACGACCCTGCGGTTATAGAACGTGGATCGTTGGATGGACTTTCCCTGATCCTTCAGTTTTTGTTTGTCCCACCAGGCTGAGTGGAGAGATGAGGTGAGACATCACTTTGAGAAGATCAAGTCCGAGGGGACGTGTCTTCACAGGCTGGATGAGGAGCTGATCAAGCGCCGTAGAGAAGAACTCAGGTGGGATATGCAGAAAACAGTTATAGAAAGAAGTAAGAACTTAAGACACATCGTGTCTAAAGAGCATGTTCACAGAGAAACTTAGTTTTTTAATAAGATAAGTCACTGAGTTTATCATGCAGGCTGAACATGAAAATTGTCTTCTACCCCAATTTCCTGCATTATTCCCCAAAGGAAAATAGAAGGGGAAACACTACGGTCAGAAAAAGCAACTCAGATCTGTCAAAATGTAAAATTTGCACGTGACGTTTGAGATAACCCTAACCTCATACAAAAATCATGCATGTTGTGTGCAAATAATTGTTCCACGCCACCACTTCTCTTTAGTAATGAACCTCAACTCGAGACCCGCGGGCCCGCCAGACCTTTCTGCCAGGCGCCCCAACCCTTTGGGCCCTAATGTCCCCCAGTTGAGGGACTTTGAAGTTTAGCAGCTAAATTCATGTCCCAAATATTTTTACGTTCTCCAAAGACAACAGTTTAAATGGAAAATAAATCGATTTTAAATACTAATAAATTAAGGTACAATAATACTTTAACTTTATTTTAGAAGAGCATCTGGCCCTCACAGTGTCTGCTGGAAAAAACTCTGGCCCTTGAACAAATTTAATTGAGGACCCCTGCTCTATATAATACTAATCTCTGAATTTAATTAGTTCGACAAGCAAAAATGTCCTTCGGCTGTTTGGCAAGAAGAATGCTGGTGCACATCCCAAAAGAAGGTCAGCTGGTTATAAAAGTATTTTTGGTGTTTTGTAACTAAAATATTCCGTATAAATTGTGTTGTGTTGTATTTAATGTTGTGATTCACCACTGCCAGGGCAAAAACCTCAATCATGCTGATAAACACATAGTTGATCTACTCAAAAACATCAGGAAGAAAATAAGCCATTCAGTCACCAGTAAAAACATAAAGTTTACATAGTTAAAGAATCGTAACTCTGAACAGTCTTTTATTTTGAAATTTACTGGATGCTTTACACTGACACTGTGTGATTTCCTGTCTAGCCCTGCATTAATTACAGAGCTTGACACCTCCCAGTGCAGGACCACAGCAGCTCAGTGGCCTAGTTGTGGAGTGTCCGCCCTGGAACTGGGAAATCAGATTTAAAATCCCGGTCAGGTCATACAAAAGATTTTAAAAATGGAACCCAATGCCTCCCTGCTTGACACTCAGACTTAAGGAGTTGGATTGGGGGTGTTAAACCACCAAATAGTTCCCAAGTGAGGCCGTGTCTGCAGCTTACCGCTCCCCATGGGGATGGGTCAAATGCGGAGGACAATTTTCACCGCACACCAGTGCGTGACAACTATAGGACTTTAATCTTTAATCGGAAACTTAATCCCCCAGAAGCTTGTCATGGCAAAACTAGAACCCTAACTTATATTTAATAGAATGTTTTAGGCACCTCTCTGTGCCCTGGCTAGTGTGAATCAACCCATAGGCTTCAATGGATTCTGTCTGAAGCAGAGACTTGCTGCAGCAGTAACACGCCTTCAGACGCTCTCAGTGTAGATTGGGGGTCAGCATTAACAACTCCACAACGTGGCTGAATTCCCTCAGGCTTGTGTTATTTGTGGAGATAAAACATCAACGTTGCAGAGTGAACAGAGGCGGTGAAAGACTTGTGTTGCTGTTAGCCAATCAGAGGCAAGCTGTTCGAATATCATGAATAAAAACGAGTAAGACTCCAGATCTGTTCTGCGCCCACACTCCTCCAGCTAACTTCTACTTTCTGAAACAGGAGCGCCAGAGCTTTTCCACAGAAAATAACTTACAAGGCATATTACAGACCAGAACAGATTTATCGATGCAAGTCAAAGAGAGCATTAAATCTGTGTGATAATTACAATCGTATTAGGAACCGTTGTAGATTATGCTTGTTTCTGCAGATTTATGACATTTCCCCACTTTCTCTGCATGCAGACACGCTCTGGACATCCGGGAGCACTATGAGCGGAAACTGGAGAGAGCCAATAACCTTTACATGGAACTCAATGCTATCATGCTACAACTGGAGATCAAAGAAAAGGAACTTCTCAAGTAAAAAAACTGAAATCCTTTTTCTTTAACAGACGCATCGGGTCTATGTTTTTGAAATCCCTGCATAGATCCTGAAATGCTTCTGACTGTTTAGCAGCTCTGTGCACACAACTTTTTTAATGAATAATAATGAATGTTTTTCAATGGCAGGAGGGAGCAGTCACTTGACAAGAAGCATCCAAGCTGCTTCAAGCACAGCTCCAGACAGTCGCCCTCCTCCATCTCGATGGAGAAACTCATGAAGAAACGTAACGTACCTCAGAAACTGCCCTCACACAACAAGAGGTGAGAAAAGTTATTTGCAATTACAGCTTTTATTTGAACTCATAGTAAATGTTACAAGATACTAAGAATCATGTGCATCCTGACCTTTTTTTTTTCTAGACCAGACCTATTGAAATCAGAGGTCATCCTCCCCAAACTGGACTCATCCATGACGCAAGTCACCATCCCCACCAAGGGCTCTACGTCCCCAGGGCGCTCCCGCCGAGGAAAACCCCGCTACAGGAAGGCTGGCAAAGGCAGTAGCGGTGACTTAGCTCAGCTTAAAGCCACTCTGTCCTCATCATTGGCAATGATCAACGCCACCTCATCCATTCCGAGCAGTAAGCACTGTTTGGACCCCAGCGTGGCGCTCAGAGGCCTGCAGCATGACTTGCTGGAAAAAAAGATGTCCTCCTCCAGTCCAGACCTCATCTCAACCACCTTAGAGGCTGAAGGGCGGAGAAAAGGGCAGGCCAGGCCGGGGCTGGACAGGGCGGGTAGTCAAAGCGCCTCAGCCGGGCTGGAAGAGAGAAGAGGTACTGATGGACAGGACAGTCGTGATGTTAGGGTAGCGACTGATGACCTGGCAGAAACACCCCCACGCAGTGACACGCCCAGTGAAGACGCAGCATCTATTCCATTCTCCAGTAGCCCTGATTCACCCTGTGGAAGAGGGGCAGCAGCGAGCAGGTCTTCTGGGCTCGGGAACGCTCGTGTGCCCCATGAGGGAGAGGAGAAAGAGGAGGGGACAGTAATCACACGCTCACCCAGAAGTCAGCGCCTCACACCGGCAGCGCTGCTCTACAGGGCAGCGGTCACACGCAGTCAGGTCAGACTCACAATGTGACCCATTTTTACCTTCAAAATATCCATTATCGACATTTATTTCTAAAGGATTTGAACATACATATTACATATCTCTTTCTTTGTACTACCCAAGTTATGAGACTGTAGTATGAAACAAAACAGCTTTTAGAGAAACAAAACTTAACTTTTCCTTCACAAGGCAGTTCCTAAATCTCAGATCTACTAATTTGAGAAATTAAAATGTGTTTTTTTTTTGTCCCGCAACAGAGACGTGGAGTCTCCTCAGAGGAAGAGGAGGGAGAAGTAGACAGTGAGGTGGAAATGCCAAGGAGACGGTATGAGTTCTTAAAGGAGATATATTATGCAAAACTCACCTTTTTAATATTTTTACTGCCCTTCTAATAACTACAAATGTGAGAAAAAAATCCATCCATCAATTTCCTGTCAGTGTTTAGTTTAAAGAAGTATGTACTTAAAAGAAGCAGTTTCAAGAAGTCTCCTTTTGTGATGTCACAAACTGGTAAATTAGAATAGAACTAGATAAATTGCATTTCTTGCAGAAATGCTGTTTGAATGCTGGATAGCTTAAACTGTTAGCTGAATCAGCTTAATAGCTGAACTGACACTGAAAGTAAGCAAAACTGTCAAAATGAGCTGAATGTTTTGAAATATTTAGAAGCAAAAAGCACCAAAAAGTGAATAAAGCACAAAAATTTAAGAACGGAGAAAAAAATCCTAAACAGCAGAAAACTGAAATCTGAACAATATTTAAAAATCTGGACAGCAAAAATGTCTAAACACTTGTTATTTGAGTAGGACTAGTTTAACAGTTTAATTTTTATATTTAGCTGAACTGTGAAATGATTCAGAAACTGATTGCTGAAGCTGCTGAATAGCTGAAATGAAGCTGAAACTAAGCTAAACTGTCAAAATGAGCTGAATGCATTTAATGATTTAGAAGCAAAAATCACCAAAAAGTGTAATAAAGCTCATAATGTAGGTGAAGAATGGCGAAAAAAATGCTAAAAAACAAACAAAATCTGAAATATTTGAATATTGTTTAAAAACTAGACAGTTGAAATGTTTACACACCTGGCATTTAATAGTAACATTTTCACAATTAGCTGAACAGTGAATTTTAGAAACATTTGCTGATATCTGAAACTGATAGATTAACATATGTTCAGATTGTGTAATGGATGGATGGATGGATAGATTCATTAGACCAAGACGATCAATTTGCTGCTGGAGAGCATAACTCTTTATCCATAGATTTGCAACACCTCTAATTCCATAACTATTTAGTTTCTTCAGTAACACGTTATGATCCACGCCCGGTATCAAACGCTTTTTTAAGTCAAGAAAAACTCCTATCGAATATTCTTTTTTTTTTCAATTGCTGTTACTATCTTCTATGTAAAGTCGATGAGTGAATGTGTTGTTGTCCTTTTTCTCCGAAATCCATATTGTTGTTCACACAATATGCTGTGTTTTGTAATAAAGTTTTCCAGCCTTATAAGGAATAATTTTTCTAATATTTTGGAAAATTGTGGTAGTAATGAGACCGGCCTATAATTTGAAAGTAGCTGTTTATTGCCAGATTTAAATATAGGTATAACTTTAGCTATTTTCATCTTGCGGGGAAATACACCTGTTTGCAGTGATAGGTTACCAATGCGAGCAATAGGTTTTGATATACAATCTATTAAGTCTTTAATTAGAAACATTTGGAGTCCATCACAATCAGTGGATTTCTTACTTTTAAATTTGTTAACAATATCAATAATTTCTCTTTCATCTGATTATTTTATAAATATGGTTTCCTCAATATTTATGGTCTAACTCTATGTTCCCATTTCGCTCGGAGACAACAATATCCCTTGCTAATTCAGGACCCACAATCACAACAATTATATTAAATTAATTTGCTATTATATTTGCATCACCGGTCACTGTGTTTTTGTTGTCCAAAAATTCTGTCGGATAATTCTTGTCACTGCTTCTATGTGTAATAATAGTGTTCAGTATTTTCCAAGTTTCCTTTACATTACTTTTATTTTCCTCCAAAATCTTACTGTAATGAGCTTTTTTACTGTTTCTCAATATTGTAATTAATTTATTTTTGTATTTTTTATAGTTTAACTCGCTCTCTAGAGTTTTTTTTCTTAAGAAATTTTCTATATAACATATTTTTCTTCTTATATGCTTGGAGTATTCCTTTTGTTACCCATGGTTTTTCCCTCTGATTTTGTTTCACAGGTTTTATTTTTAATGGACAATGCTTCTCAAACAAAGTCGACAAAAAACTTCATAGGCTGCATTTACATTGTCGATTGTTGTTACCCTTTCAATTTCAATATCATTTATCCTCAGATTAGAGTGGTGAGAAACATGTTTTTAATTTTGAATATTCTCAAAGAAATGAAGAAAACGGCCACAATGTTTGGAGTACATTAATGAATTATAGCTCAAAACGAAGGTATATCCGTTAGCTGCAAGCCAGCGTGCATCTCATTTCAATCGGACTTACGGTTTTCTCAAGACAATGCCAGAAATGGAGCAAAGGAGGGTCATTGCTCCTATCTCTGCTCATTATAATTTTTGTGATTTTTTCTGAAAATCTCAAGCCGTACCTCAACTTCTACCTGTGATTTTAGAAAAACTGTAATAGATATCAAAGACTTTTTAACCAGTAATAGCTGAAAGTCTTGTGAGTTTGTTGAAACTTGAAAGAAGTCTCTAGGTTAAAGTTAATCTATAAGAGTAAGAGTTCAAATAAGTGATAGGATTGAGCTGAAATTTGAGCAACCCCATTCATTTCAATGAGACCAAAGATCACAGAAAAAGCTGAATTTCTCAAAAAGTATAAATTATTTTAATTCCAAAAGTCATTGCTGGCATAAGCTGAACGAGGTGAACGTTTTGATACCAAAATTGTGTAAATAGTTGAAGAATTGTGTAAGTAGTTAAATGCCAAAAAATGTATGGAAGCAGAATAATAAACTATAAAGAGAAACAGGATTGTTTGAATGCTTTACAGCATTCAAACAATTACCTCTCACGTGCAAAAGAGAGCTGCTGCTGGAGAAGCAGTGGCTCTGCTAAAAACCCCTCCCAAATATCTGAGCTTTTAACCCTCTGGAGGCAGGTGTTGCAGATTAGTAACGTTAAACCTACCAGGTTACTCCACATACGCATTTCATGAGCATTTTTTAACTCAGAAGTACCCCTGAAGGACTTAGTTGTTCGTCCTTTTAACAAAACTTATTTTGAGCCTGAGAGGGTTAAACAGGGATCGGTGAGTGTGGTCAGCTCCAGCTTGTTTTCTTAAAGTGACAGAGCCCTTAAAACAACTCATTATGGAAGGCACTAAAAATGTCAAGAATAAAACCGCTTAAATTGTTTTAAGTGAGAGGAATTTGGTGCAGATTTTTACGAACGTATAACTTAAGAATAAAGTAATCATATGTCCCCTTAAAAACACCACAAAGAGTTCCTGAACACTCATCCTCCTCAAACCTTAAAAAAGTAGAAACCTCCAAATTTAAGCATGGATAATTACATATGACGCTTTCATCTCCTACTGTTCTGCCTTCATTTTTGCATGTGTTTCCCTGTTTATTGATGAATTTATAAGAATTCAAGCCACATCTTCTTGTCCGTCTCACACAGGCGAACTGTGAGCATCACCAAGTGTCAGTCCCTCTCGAACTTCAGCTTAGAAAACCTGTCAGTGTCAGATGGAGAGGAGGGAAACACCACTGATCACTCCCACAGTGGCACGCCCGACGTAGTCAGCACCAACACAGACGAGCGCCTGGACGACAAAAGTGACGACTTGCTGTCTCAGGGGTCGGAGATTCCAGCCGACCCATCTGACCCGACTCAGCTGGGCTCTGACGGGTTGTCAGAAAAAGAAGCTGTTCTACGACAAGTCAAAACACAACTCGCTTCGAGCGAACATAACTATGAGGTGAGTGAAAGACAAGATAACTAAAAAGAGTCGTATGTTGGGGCAGATATTTAGAATTCATCCCTTTATTTGTGTTGAACCAGGGCCTGTATGATGACTCGGACTGTGACAGTGCAGAGTTGGACCACTGCGGTGCAGAACCCAGCCAACCTCCAACCAACTGGTGACAACCCTCATATCCACCCAAACATCTGGCCTCTGCTGATCCCCTTCACTCAGAAAACCTGTCAAATTCAGGGCATTCAACAGGGAAAGGACACAGATGCTTCACCCATGGCTTTTCCATAGAAATGAGCTAAAGATCAGCTTTCCAGAGCGTGTCCATGCCTGAGCAACACATGTTTCAGTCTAAGAGGCCAATAACTAGACTCTTTATCACTGCTTGTTGTCATATTTCATGTAGATATTTAAAATTTTTTCCATTATAAAAATGTGTCATCTTGATTGTTTTTTATATAAACATGATTAGCATTATTCAGGGTTTTTTCCAAGTAGCTCATTCCCCGATGAAGCTTTTCGCACTTAAGTGTCATTAAACTTTTGATACTATTATGCACACGTTTTATTTATTCTTTGACACTGAACTGAGTGAAAGATCAATGTTTACATCTCATTTGTGATTATTTATATTTGGTTTTGTTTTACATTTTCTACTTTGCTTTATTGATATTATTGTAAATATCAAATGTAAAATGAACATTTTTTAAATGTGAGATTGTATAATTTAAGGTGCTGATGTCTCAGTAGGTGGCGCTGTTCTGTTTGACCATGGGCGAGTTTTTGGTGGTAGAATGTAACTGTAGCTGCTGTTCATCATGTCTGATCAGATAGCAGGAATGCTGCCAAGTATTCCACAGTAAAACTAAATCATTGTTTGAGGGTGTATAATAAATATATGTATAAGCATGCTTGTAAAAAGGGATGAAAACTCAAATTTAAAATTCTTGGATATAGACCAAAAACACTAATTTTTTGTAACTAATCAAAACACAAGAACAGATGTGGCAAAAGAAAAAAGATTTCTACAACCAACAATCTATGACAAAAACAACTCAAAATAACAGAAGTTCCTTTTGAAAAGAAAACTATTCCAAATATTTGTAGTATGCCAGTGTAAATGAAAGATAAATATCTCTTTTTAATAAACTAACAGCATTTAACAGCTCTAGTTATACATATTTCTGGCAGTAATTTACTGTTGGCAGGTAAATATAAAAAAACTAATAATAAATGACACTGCTTTATTTTCACGACATCGATAAGGAGGATAGTTTCTAATAGAATTAAGTTTGCACTAACGTTAACCCCTCACCAGCTGAGATCCCTGATGGTTTATTTTTTCAGTCATGTGAGGGCTTCCTGTGAGACAAACAGAATGAAACTGGTGCTGATGTACTCCTTGGAAACTTTTGATAATGAGCTTACTATTCAATAACCTTTCAGGTGACTCAATAAGCTAGAAAAGGCAGCTCGTTTTATTTTACGGTTATTTAGTCAGGCATTAAGTGTTTAAGTTTACATTTGTAGAGCTTTTATAAACTTTTCATGGCCCTAAGATTTGAAGCAAGAAATCATCCCATCAGGGTGAAATGTTGCCAAGAGACCAAACTACTGCCCTCTAGTGTTTCAGTCATGGAAGTGTATGTGTGCTTCCCAGGATGTGGATTTAAACTTCACTCAGTTGGACTTTGAGGGCTTTTTATACATCATTATTGTAAGTGTACAATAAATATATTTAAGAAACGCTTTAAAATAAACTTAAATGTAAAATGTCCACCTGTCTTATTTTGTCATTATATACATACATATTACATCAAGATGTAGTTTTAAACAACACACACACTAGGGGTGGGACATGATTAAAAAATGTATCTCATTAATCAGAGGCTTTGTAATTAATTAATCTTGATTAATCGTTCAAGAAAATTTGCCCATCAGCAATTTAATAAAACTAATGAATCAAACATGTAACCTAAAGTTTTTTTAATCTCTAAAAAAAAATTTATATTGGTGGTAGAATGTATGTTTGGTATGAAACTGATCCTTACTGGAGACAATGGCTAATAGGTTTGATGCCAACAAGGCTAGCTCAAGTCTGAAGAGCTACCATTAATATTTCAGTATGTGAATTTTTAATGTGTCTGAAAAAGGCTCATTTCCCACCAATTTCTAAAGTCAATTTGACTCATTTTGTTGCTTGAAGACTTCTTTAGATGTTCAGTTCAAGAAGTCCAGCCGTCCCAGGACTATCTTAGATAAATGATAATTCACTTCAACATCAGAGTGAGACAAATGTGATTTCTGCCAAGCTTCTTCGTTCATTGTGATTTTACATCCAAAAAGTAGTTAATCAGAGTGCTAACAGACTTCCTGTGTTCATGGAAGACATTTTAACCTTTCAGCATTTATCAGGACCAGCTTACTTACAACAAAATTCTTAATGACGTGTGGTTTGAGCATTTTACATCTTTATTTCAGCTTTTTTTTTAAACAATATGTGACACCCAGGTCTACAGTCTCAAACAACGTGCACAAAAGGTTTTCTGTCCTGCAAATTAAAAACAAATCTGAGTCGAGCAAAGCAAAGAGCAGGAACCTTGTGTTAACTCACAACCCTTTTCTTTGTTTAGTTCAAAGCATAAATCGTTTCACTCCTCAGCCTCATCACATTTATTTGACCAATCAGTGTCCAGAAGTTATTTCCACTTTGGTAGTTTTAAAAAAAAATTCTTCCATTTAAAACAAATATTTTAACTTTTTTTAAGTATATATCAATCTATACAAAAAAAGCGAGGCCAACCCTCTGCTTCTGATCCCTTGAACCGAGTCCAACCCCAAAAAATTGCCCATCCCAGGAAATATCAACACATTATCTCAAAGCAAGACGAGGTGGTGGGGGAGGGACCGGAATGACATGGAGAGGAGAGAAAACGTGATGAGTCTTAATGCACATTTGAAAATGATCTGAATAAATTAATCTTGAGTGTTAGAACATTTATCATAACCAGATATATTCAGTGACAGTGCATCTACAGCTATGTCTTCTCATCTGTGACATAACTCGCGTTACAAAGCACTTCAGCTGCACTTCTGTTGAAAAGGTGACACAGGGCGAAGGCGCCATTTCTTCTTAAAGCAAGTAAATATGGGCAAAAATAAAAACAAACAGAATGAAACAGTCACTATTCTTACTTTTTTGATTGTTTTTATTTTTCCTCTTTGTAAAGAAAAGACCTGTACAGAGCTAAATCTATGTCCTAATCAGTTTATTTTTAAACTCTACTTCTGTCATGGCAAAAAAATAAAAATAAAATAAAGTAAATAGGTCAACAAAAGCAAGACTAAAAACCCTGGAAAACCTAAAAGCCTAAAAAAAATTAAAACCCAATTATATGCTTCTTTTGATAAAAAAAACTAGAGGAAAAAATAAATAAACTGATGGCGCCTGAAGTGATTCGAAATGAGGAAGAGGACGTACAACAATATATAAACTCTGAAGTTGGGATAGTTGCATTGACTGCTTTATGGTAGCCGATGATAGAAAAGTGAGATTTAGTGCAGATGCAGTGTCCTATCAGTTGGCGGCCAGTCCTGTGGTCTCGGAGGAAAGCCTGGAGAAACAGACACCCAAACAGAAAGGAAGGCATGCAATCAGACAGAAAAGATCAACATCAAAATCATCCACTGTACATCACAATATAAACCTTTTTATGGAGTTTTATTTACCAGGAGAAATTACACTTATATAAAAACAGATCTCCTGTTTGAGGAAAGGGGATGCTTTACGATGCAAATGAGAAATTGAATCAAAATCTGAGTAGTTTACAGATGACAGGATCTACCTAACTCATGTTTCATGAAGCTGCAGAAGTGTTGAAGATGTAGCAAAAACTCACAAAATGGGAGGAAACGAGTCTTTCCTTTAGGATAAAAAAAAGCCAATTCAGCAAAGCTGCAACTAATTTGACTGCTTCGGTGAGAAGATTTTCCACCAGAAAAGAACAGAACAAATTATGGCACCATTTATAACTCAAACATGTATCATTATAAAGCATATCTGCTGTCCTTCAGTCTTGTAAATGGAATTTTTAGGGTTCACTTTTAAATGTGTATTTAAAAAAATAAAATAAATTGTGTGGTGTGTGTGTGTGTGTATATATATATATATATATATATATATATATATATATATACATACATACACACACACACACACACATACACGCTATCAAGCTTCTGCAGCTTCATATTTATGATAGAAATGTATTTTCCCCATCTTGTACTTCTTGAATGACTATTAATTAAATTAGTTCTAATCAGGCCTTTCCATCAGACATGCAAGCGTTACGTAATGTTCGCCATGTCTCGTACACAGAGTCATGAGTAATGGATAGGTGCATTTCCACCCGCCCCCAAAATGCACATTTAGGGCATGCCCAGAAGCATAGCATCTTGTCCTTTAGCTAAATTTATGCTTGGACTCCATTTTTTTATGTGCAACACTTCCAGAACCAGTGATGTTCAGCAGTTTTACTTAACTCGTCATCGTGTGAACTGGAAAAATCATGCATGGTTTTGTAATTCTCAAGCCATTTCATGACCACACGGATCAGCCGAGCGAACACAATGGTCGTTTTGAGTCGAAAGTGTTTCAAGTGGGAAGGAATGCACCACTGAACGTAAAACGTGTAATATGCAACATGTTGTTTACGCATCAAATGGAAAGCCTGGCCAATAGTTTCTTAAAGACCAAGTTCACTTGTTTTTTTTATACATTTGCAGCGGTGTAGTCTAAATGAATGGCTTGTGAGTCGATCTGTGGCGAAAAAAAGCACTGGCACTCCTGTTTCTGACAGTAGAATTTAGTCGGAGCAGAGGGGTGTAGCAGACGGGAGAATAGAGTTTATTTCCTGATTTTCAGACTTGCCTCTGATTGGCCAAGAGCAATGTTACTCTGCCACCGAGTCTCTTCACTTTGATGTTTTATATCCACAAAAAACACAAGTCTGAAGGAGTTCTGCTGTGTGACAGAGTTACGAATGCTAACAGTTAGCGTCTACTAGCTGAGACGTTCACTGATGTTTCCTGGACGCTAAACCAGCAACAGACTCCCCCTTGTTAGCAAAGATGGTGAGTCCATGAATGCCAATTTCCATTGTGACAGATGTGACTGGCTTTATCTGACCCAAGCAATTCTCAGTCTGTCAGAAGCTAAGGCAGGAAATGGGGGAGAATAATTTTAATTTTCAGCCTGCATGTGAGACCCAGAGTGGCCGATCATTTTCTAAAATAACAGATTTAAAAAAAAAATGTTTCTCAGTGAACTTGGTCTTTAATGGAGTTGTAGTAAGCGGATGCCACCAACACCATCCAAAGGGCTGACTTGGTGAATTTATACCTGAGGGAAAAAAAATTATATATATATATATATATTCCTTATAAGAAAATTAAAGTTATCCTCAAACACAATTATGTAAACCAACAGTCATTTAAAACTAAACTGGAAGAAAACTAATCTCACAAACACAACGTGACATCTTATGTGAGCCGCTACCTGAGCAGAGCTTTCACAAAAACATTTCAATGATTCAGTGAAATCATTCCCAGTCCATGCTAAGTTTACAGTCATTTAAAAATATAATGCACTCGACATGTCACATCTTAAAGAGACACGTAAGATCAAGCTACAATTATTTTACAAATATGGCGTCAATCATCTCTCTGGCTTTGTAACAAGGGGGTTGCTTTCTGCAGGAAGCGGGGCGTGTCACAGCCGGGTACAAAAGCAAGTGCAGGTACAGACAGAGCTCTGTCAGCACCTCAGCGGGAGGCGACTTAGGTTTCCTTCATTAGTAAGGGGAGAGCCTGCGCCTTTTAGACTTGGAGCCCAGCTCGGAGGCAACTTTGGGCTCAGTGGGGATTGAGTGCGGGGGGTTACTGGCCCCACTGACAACATGGAGGGCCAGGAGAGGCAGGGGCTTCAGACTGAGGAGACTTGACACACAGGCAGGAGAGCTGGGGAGCAGGGAGTCAGTGGAGGAAGAAGGAGCGGAGGAGGAAGAAGAGGGAGGAGGCGGCCCTGGAGCCAACAAGGACAGAGGGATGGAGGCTGTGGGGGGCACCACACATGAAGAAGAGGAAGAGGAGGAGAAGGAGGAGGTAGCAGCAGAGGAGGTGGTGGTGGTGGTGGTAGTAGTAGTAGTAGCAGTAGTAGAGGTGGAGGGAGGGCACAAGCTGGTCTGTTCAGGGTTCAAGGAGGAGGAGGAGGAAGAGGAGGAGGAGGGAGGTGGTTTAGAGGACTCTACACTGTAGAAAGAGAGACAAGGAGAGAGGGACAACACAGTCGGGATGGGTCACAGGGCAGGCTGGTGAGCAATGGGTGGGGAGGGGTGTTAGGGTGGGAGGAGGAATGGGGCAGGGTTTGGGGGTAAAAAAAATTCACTCAGGGATGTGACCAAGAGAAAAAAAAAGAAGAAAATAGCCTCAAATAATTTCTGTAGTGATGGATCAATGTGGAGGAGCAGGAAAATAACAAACCTCAGAGGAGATTTATAGATCAAATGAAGCTGGAAAGTAAACTTTATTTATGATTTCATGAAATTAAACCAGTCTTGTAAAATTAGTAAAACCTTGATCCAGCACAACATCTTCCTGATTTTCATTCTCATTCAGAAGCTACTCCGGGATCATCCCTGATTAAAAAAAGAAAAGCCAACACTACAAAATCTTTTTTTCTCCTAATCTCACCTGGCGTTGATGAGGTACTCAGCGAGACTGATGCTGGCAGGCGAGCCTGTGATGGTAACCTGGCGATCGGTTGATCCATCCACTGGATTTGCGATCTTGATCTGGGCACCAGACATTTGCCTGATCTCGTTGATCTTGGCTCCCTGGCGGCCAATGATGCATCCAATAAGCTGTGTTTGAAAAAAAAATGCAGAAAATTGACAGAACTGCAGTTACTAAATACATACAGGGATATTAGACCAACACCCTTAGTAAACATTGTACACACACTTAGGATACAACTTTTACCAACAGATTAAAAATACTTTGTTCTAACCACCAGAGAAACCTTCATGCTGAATGCTAATATGTTCTGGCTGTGCACAAAACTAGGAATCACTAATTGGTTAAATTCAAGTTCATGAGCCTCATATCTTGGGAAAAATGAGAATTTACAAAACTAATGTTTGAGTTTTAGCGATAGTGAGAAGAACTGCCATGACCTGGCCTGCCAGACTCGTCCTCTGTTTAATTCTGCACAGAGCACTAGTCCGGTTACTCACTGGCAGAGAGGCACATGAGGGGCGGGACTAGCCAGCTCTAAAATAACCAATCAGAAAAAAGGGTGGAAATGCCAACTGTACCGCGCGATGCTGTAGTTTTAAAACTGTAGTCAAAAATGGCGTCTGGCAACAGTGCAAACATCTTTCTTTAGAAGAAAGTCCTCTAGAGCTTCTACTTCTTGTGGTTTTCAAGATGTGTTCAAGTCATTTAGAACAGAGGAGAGCCGCAGCGAACTCCGCTTCAGACGCCATCTTCGTTGTTTTTGAGAAACTGATCGTCGCCGTGTGATTGCTCAGCGTTGACTGGCTCAGTTAAAAGTTCTCAGGGGGTGGGGTTATTTGAATGGGAGAGTTCCCAGACCCAATGTTTCCCATAAGGAAGCATGGGGTTGGCTGGCCAGGCTACAGGAGGACACAGGAAGTGAGGTACCTTGACTTCAGCTAACCTCCACATGGAACAACCAGCAGAAAAGAGATGAAAGTGATTTTTTTAAAGACTTTACAGCTTTTCTGAGTAAAAGATTTAAAACACTGAAGCAACACTGTTCGGGGTGAGACGTTAACACAAAGTTATATTCCATGCATCTACATGTTGCTGCCAAGAGCGGCACAGTGAGACTTCAGGTAGAAAAATGAAAGTCATCAACCAAACATAAGGTTGACGAAACTGCAGCTTCCTGAACATCATTATCCACGAGTCAAACAGGGCACAAATACTGATGGTAAACTTACGTCATTTGGAATGGTCATCTCGTGAGAACTGGTTTGAGCAGAAGCATCTATTCCTAGGAAGGAAAATAAAAATCTTGAAAGAACATTAAACAATAACAGACTTGGGACAAACATTTGATAGAACGCACTTCTTCAAAACTACAATGACCCCCACCCCCCCTTTCAGAAGTAAAACAAAAGAAAAATCTAATTAGTTCACAATTGAAGTTTATATCAAGTCAGAAAGGTGAGATGTTTCAGCTTAATTGATCAACATGTTTTCATTCAGGCCGGCGCGCCAGGCTTCGTACCAGTGAATCCCTGGTTGCCTGCTGCAATCGGGAAGGGAGTCTGCTGCATAGCCAGCTGGTGAAGCTTGGTGAGCTGTGGAGAAATAGCAGCAGAGGAAGACTGTGAGAGCGAGAGGAGGAGGCGGGGAGAGAAATGGAGGAAAAAACCACAAAGAGGGGAAAAAAACAGAATAAAAAAAATCAGTACAGACGGCTACACAGAGGAAAAACACAAAGAAAAAGATCTATATTTGAACAAAGCTTTGCATAAAAACAGGTTCATAACTTTCAGTGTGTTTTAGGACTTGTCTAGACATAATCCAAATCTTACGCAACACAATGGAAATGGGTCCCACTAACCACGCTTTTCCCTCAAAACAAAAAAGGAAATGCTCACATCACCTCCAAAAAGACTCCGGTTATATATATATATATATATATATATATATATATATATATATATATGCCTGCTTCAATCATTTGCGTGTGACTGTTACTGCCCTGGTGCAAGTATACCTAGACAGAGACTTGCAATGGGAACGAGAACCCACGGGTCCCAACGAAAACCTCATGAGAGAAGGTGGCTAAAAATAAATTGCAAGTCTCAAGATTGTCAGTCAGATGGAAAGTAAAAACAAAGTAGGCAACAGAATTAACAGGAGAGGATAAAACTAAAAGAAATGAAAACCCAATAAATGGAAAAACTTGTTACTCCGATATAAAACATTCCATGTAAACAAGTGTAGATCAGACAGTATATCGTTTTGTTTTAATAAAACGCCTGACCCCTCCTTTGCACCGAACAAGAATGTGTTGTGAAACGGCCGCAAAACGCACTACGTAGCAATTAGTCGCCATTATCATGGACGGGTTCCTTTCCACCGGCAGCTAAGTACAACATTGTGGACACATCCCAGAAGCAAAGGGACGCCATCATTACATTTACAGTTTGTTTTTTTTTAACACACTGCACTCCCAAAACAGACCAAACAGGAAGTCAAAACACGAAAGCAGTGAAAACATCCGGAGACTTTTAAAATAAAAGCCAAGTGCAGATAAACAGATATCATTTCCTGTGAAACCCCCGTAGCCGATGTAAAGAGAAAATAAACCGCAGACCTTTTTGGATACATGCAGCCGTTTTTCTACTGGGTTGGTTTTGTGTGGACTTTTGAAATCACGCGTGGTGTTGCAATTCTCCCGTGATTTTGTGACAGTGCGGGACATGCCACATGGAACGCTTTTGCTTCAGTTTTGTGTGGGAATTGCTCCTGGATGGAAGGAAGCTCGCAGGTAAAACACCTCCAATTTGTTACAAGCCGCTTTCGGGTCTGGTAGAAAGCTGGGATGAGAGTGGAACCGAGGTCGGACACAAAGAATGCGTGACTGGGTGGTGATAGAAGTTTACGGAAGAAGATTAGAGCCACTGGAGGAGAAAAATAAAAGAGCTCTGACGCTTTCTCAGAATTCAAATAGTCAGAAATCTGAGATTACCGTCATAATTATTCTTTTCAGTGGCCCTAATCTGCTTCTGTAGATGTTCATCAGGAGCTAGGGCTGAACAATTTTAGGGGACATGTTGATTTATGATTTTCTTCAAATCAAGATTAAACACAATAATCAAAAGGAACTGTAACATGACCCGAAATGACATACCGACCAAAACATTAGAGTGTTTTAACTCTAACTCAAAGATGAAAGCCATAAAGGTTTTTCTGGGCCTTCTGAATATTTTGTCTCACAAAACCACGTCTCCAAGATTACACACATTTTACTTTGAGTTCCTGTAACTAGGGCTGTAGCGAAGCCTCGACGAAGTCGACGGCTCGATTCTAAAAATTTGTCGACGTCAGATCCGGAAGTCGACGCACCGCGCCCACTTGTTGCATCCCCAGGAGTTTGTAAATAGAGGAGGAATCTGCCTGTTTTTCCTCTAGTTCGCCCTCTTCTCCGCCTTCACTAACATCTCCGCCAAATACCGAAGACCCGGAACAATGTCCGTCCACTACTAGATTATTTTCCTGTTTTGCCCCTTCGTCTCCCGGCAACGGACAACAACTTCCAGGGTCAGATGCGCTGCTTCGTCTCTATCGCAGATGTAGAAAATCACCGGGAGCGCTTCTCCCTTCATTAAGGAGCTTCTTTCAGACATTAGGAGAGCTGTTTTTGTGGTAGCAGTCTCTCCTCCGTACTGGTCTGTTTGCTGCTGGGTGTTTTTGGTTTATTTAAACTTGGTAACTTGAACTTAACGTTGGTAAAGCTACTGTTAGCATCTTCGCTAACAGCTTCTTGCGTTGGGATAAGCTTTTACGTTTTGGTTTAGAGTTCATCTTTTTTGTGGTGTAGATCTCCCTTTTATTACATTTAGAGTGTTGTGGGTTTTCGGTTTAGTGTAAAATATCACCGTGAGTTTGGTTTAACCCGTAACACCACTCGCCTCACGCACATAAGTGACCAAAACAAAGCAGCATGGAGACACTCCGTCTTCTACCACCTCTCAGGCAGCAGCCTGCACTCCCAAGTTCTACACGTCACCAGAACATAACCAACCAACACAATAAAAGCAGTGTTATACAAAATGGAAGGCCTGTAATGTTTATTCTCTTACAGTAAGAATTTATCAATTTTTTTGAGGAATTTATTTGAGATTTTCTGGTTTTTGTTAATTGTGCAATAGAAAAATAATCATTAGATTAATTTTCTAAATAGTCATTAGAATAGTCGACTATTCGATAAAATAATCGTCAGAATAATCGTTTTAAAAATAATCGTTTACCCCCAGCCCTACCTGTAACCCAGCTACAATTGGTGCCATCAGAAAAATTCAAGTGGTTTTTGGAAGAATTGAAGTTGCATTTTCAAGTGGACATGGTGTTATCGTAAATTCTCTTCAGAAAGCTGGCAAATCAGCTCGTGTGTCCCTACCCCTCACGGATACAAGCTGCACTGCGAGAAGACAATGAGCGACAGAGGAAAAACTGAGCACAGAGCAGCAGATTGTGCCCAAAAGACAACTACTGTAGTAGCCACAAGAAGAATAAACTAAAAAATGACCAAATTCACCGCTGTTCCAGCTCAAGCCTCGAGGTCCCACAACCCAGAAGTTCACTTCTTCCACCACTACACTTTAAAAAAAAAAAACAAGGAACATCCCCCAGATGTGTAAAATAGTTGATCATGGGTCAGTCAGTTAGGGCTGCTCAATTAATCGAATTTTAATCACGATTACGATCTGAGTTTTGAACGATTATAAAAAACAAAACAAGCCGATTATTTGCTCCTCCCGCCTGCGCTGCGCCGAGTTGCAAATGAAGCGCTCCTCCCACAGTGTTGCCAACTTTGTGACTTTGACGCTATTTCTAGCAGCTTTTCAGACCCCCTTCTTGACTTTTTAACTTAAAAGTACCTAGCAAACACCTCAGAAACATCTCTGGTAACCCTTAGCTACTTTCTGGATAACTGTCGTCGACATTTCCTGCAGGTTAGCTAAACACTCCGCCTGCTCTCCGGACCGTTCTTCAGGACATTAGGAAAGGGAATGATGTAGTGATGTGTCGGTCGCTAAAGACAGCTCTCGGAGCCGGCTCCCTGTTGGATTAACCAGAGTGAGTGACACACACACCACACCTGCGGACTCCTGAGCCACTAAAACGGCTAAATGTGCGCGTGCAGCATGCTAAACACACGAGCAGCTTGCCCTGATTGCTGTGAGACCGGGTTGGGGGGTGGGGGGTGCAGCTGTGGTTGGGACAATTATTACATTAATTGATGGACTTGTAAATAAATAGTTTATAAATAAGGTAGAAATAAGTTCCTCACGCTGATAAATAATAACTAATCTCTCTGAGGACACGGTGCTAGTGCACTCTCCAGCAGCACATTGACACGACTAAATACGTATTATGCAACATTTTGTGAACATCAATTTATTTGCATGTATTTGTTATAAATGCCACTGTATAATTCTTGCTGTCAGTATTTGCAAGATATTGGTATTTGGGTCTGTACTGTTAGACTTAAATGAGTTAAACCAAGGTCTATAGACCTTGGGTCATAAACTATGAGCTATAAGTATATTGGTCTTTTTATACTGGGAATCAGGAGTTATTTTAGTGATCATCTTGTTTCTTATTTTTGTCCTGATTGTGCCCTGAGCAATTTTATGACTGAATAAAAACAAATAAAATCAACATAAATTGAAAAATCGTCCTAAATAATCGTGATCTCAATTTCAGTCACAAAAATCGTGATTATTATTTTTGCCATAATCGAGCAGCCCTACAGTCAGTAGTACTGCCCAAAAATGCAGCTTTGATGATCCCATAATCTCATCTGAAATGTCTATCAGAAATCGATGGATTGTTCAACCCTACCGAGAGTGGAATTTAAGGGATTGGTCCCACACAGAGGGACTACTACTGAAGTGTACACCATAACTGCATATTCTGTCTGATCATCTTAAAAAAATTTTAAAAAAATCGGCAAAACATAAATTGAATACAAAGCAATCATCTAGGACACACTAATCATGCAAAATCCATCTGCACAAAGAGGAAAGACAGATTATGAGTCAGCAGCAGGGTCAGATTATTACTCATGGAACAGTGGAGATTCTGGACAATCACGGGCAGCAAAATAAATTCAGTTACATTAAGGAACGTGACAAAAACAGCTCTAAATGGATGTTAGAAATGGCACTGATCTGTAGCTAGAATGAGGGGAAAAATAACATCAGGAGGGAGGTTCATCAGCAGTTGCAGGCGGGGAAACACTGTGTGGGCAGGTTGGGGACTGCACATTTTGGGAGAGAACAGCTGTAATTATGGTTGGGAGTGGTGATGATGGGAAGGGTCAAGTAAAAATATCGGCAGCACTTACATCCGGCTGTGGGATCGCGTGCTGTCCTTGTACAGCATATGCCTGAAACATATGAAAACAAAGCTTTCATAGGCCCCACATCCGCCCCTGTTGGGCAACTTCATCACGTAATCCTTCTTTAGCACTACGCTACTTCAAGGCTTCAACAACTATTATTATTAAAGAGTAATAACTTGGATGTCTTGTCCAAAGTCTCCACATTTCTGGGGAAAGAAGTCTTAAGAGACATAAAATGGAATTAAGGAAAAATCAAAGAGGTTTGTTTTCTTTTTTAAAGCATAAAATAAAAGTATTTAGTAAGATAAAACAAACGTGTGATGTTAGGAGCTGAAGCATCAGAGTGTTTTGTTCAGACCAACATTAAAAAAAAAAAAAAAAAAGGTAAGAATGATGCTTCAAACTAAAACTGAGAAAAACAAAAACAAAAAAATAAAAATAAACAAGTGCCGGAGCAAGAAAATTCACATATTTAAAAGGTGTGCAACACTCATCCAGTATTGCAAATGCTGTGTGCGTGTGTGTTGGGGGGGGAGCAGAAGGGCTTGAATCAGCACAAAGAAGTCTGCTGGAGGAGAGTAGCAAAACACAGCAGAGTTTGAAGTCTTATTTCTTGATATTTGGACGTCTTGCCTCTTATTGGCTAACAGCAACACGACCCTACCAATGACTGTTTACTTTGCAGCATAGTTTTTTTTTCTTCCACACCTTTAAAGTTTGTATTCTGCTGTTACTTTGTGTTTACTAGAAGAGACTGCAGACAGTTAGTCATGCTAACCAATTATTTAGTTAAATCTGGTCATTAATGAAAAATAATCAAAAGTCCATAGTACAGGCAACAAATGCACCCTTAGACAAACAGTGCGTTCCATCTAATGTGTCATAAATACCTGTCCACCAGCAAAGATCACAGGGGATCCTGAAGGCTTGGGTCTGTAGGGGATAGTGACCCCTTTAGGGGGAGACTGTACAGGAGACAAAGTAAATAATAGTCATTAATGTCTAAAATACACATACACAAAAAATACCTATCAGGCATAACATTAGTAGTAAAATGGATTAAAAAAATTAAACAGTGAGATGGTAAAGCCATCTTAAACACACAAAAGCAGGAAAACAGAAGCATTCAGAACCTGACACAACAAACTCAAAGAAAATTTCCTTTGTTGAGGTCACTGATACAAGAGTCAACATACCTCAAGCATGACCACGCAGATCTGTTTTACACACTCAATTATTGACTGGGGAGTGCCAGCAATGGTGATGGCACGCTCCGTGGAGTTGGGTAGCATGTCTCCTGCCACTTGTACCTGAGCACCAGTTGACTGGAACGAAAAACATAAAATCAATCCTAAAATGTTAAAGGGACTTTACGGACTTTTGAATTTTTATGCTCGCGATTGCCCCCTCAGGCCAAAAGCGTAACGGCAGCTTCAATAGAAGGCTCGTGCACGAGGCGCGCATGCTGTACGTGCACACTCCTTAACAAAAATAACAGCTGAGACAGTCCCGTGTGTGTGTGTGTGTGTGTGTGTGTGTGTGTGTGTGTGTGGCCCGGAGGACAGACAGGAGAACGCGCAGCTAATTAAATAATTTGGTTCTGTACCTTTCTCTTCAGCACAGCCGACAAAGGTTTATGATGAGTCAGTCCTCCTGCATGCTCAAATCATTCCCTTCCCTTGCTTGAAAAATTGTTCCAAAATGAAAGTTGAACCCACATCTTTTTTATCTGTGAATTCAATGCCGTTCGGCGAGTCTCAAATAAAAATTTGGGCATCCTAGTGTAAAAAAATATACCATTAATGTAAAAAAGAAACTCTAAATGAACTATATTCACACCCAGAATCGAACCCAGGTCTTCTGCATGGGAGTCAGACATCCTACAAGATGAGCTACACTCTAGTAACATTCACAGTATCTATAACATTTATATCCTTGACACCTGAAACAACGTCAAACCAAAGAACAGTTCGAAGTGAAAATGGCTATTTTGTTGCTAATTTGCAAGAAATATCTAGAAGAAACTTCTACAGAAAGTAGCTAAGCGTCCTCAGAAATGTAGCTAGCTTCATCACTAGGCGTTAGGAACAGCGACAAAGTCGCCGAGTTGGCACTACCTCTCTCTGCTGCTAAATATACGGATAGCAAATGCTACGGGCTATGCCTGAGCGTGAACGCGCATGAAGCAGCCTGCTCGACCCAAGCAGCTCTTTTCTGTGATTTTACAGAAAAACAGGCAATCACAGTAAAAATGCCAGGGCTCATTCTACAGGACCAGGGCATTGCAGGAGAATGTATTAAGAAGAAATGTATTAGCTGTCAAACTTCCATGTCCCTTTAAGAAATAAAAGATGGCATAAAGCCAGCCTTTTTATTCTAGAATATACATTCTTCAAACTCACCTCTCGAATTTCCTTGATCTTGCAACCTCCTTTCCCAATGAGGGAGCCACACTGGCTGGCAGGCACCACAATGCGTAGGGTCACTGGTGGCTTGCTGGTAGCTGTGCTGTTTGTCATTGAGCTGCTTATATCCTGACAACAACAGTACAAAGCTTTAGATTAATCAAGTCCATAACTTAATCGGTTAACGTTATCCTGCAACCCTCAGTACACACCTCTTCCAACTTTTCAATGATCATGGAAAACGCTTTAAAGATGGCAGTGGTCGGACCTGCCAAAGTAATGATCCTCTCAGGACAATTGCCTTCAGAAATGTTGATGCGAGCGCCACTCTAAAAAAATTGTTGCCATTTGATTATAAAGATAAATTGTAGACATCTACAAATTAGAAACTTGACCTCTATTATTAGATTAGTGCAACAAGTATAAAATAACTTACCTCTTCTCTCATCTTCTTCACAGATTCACCTTTCTATTAGAGAATCAGATCAGTCAAATGTATTACAATTTGAAAACAAGACTGAGAACTGTGCAATCAATAATTTTTAAAGCTTACCTTTCCGATGATGCTTCCAACTTCCTAAATAAGAGTAAATGTGTCAGCAATTATTTTTATGTTGAATATGGTTTAGCAAGTTTGCAGTAAAATATTAAATTTGAAAGAGCCAGCTTTCAAACTGTTGCTTACAGGCCTCACAGCTTTGAAAATCACCATAACAGCCAACAGTAGGACTCACAACATGACAAGTGTGGAGCTATGCTGCCGTTAGAAAACGCCAGATGGACTTGAAACAAATGACTTGCAATGCCACTGAATTTTAAGATCTGATCATCAGAAAGTGGCATCTTGTTCTTTTGGGCTTCTTTTATTTATTTCTTTTAAATCAAATCAAAGATACTTTATTAATCCCAGAGGGATCATCAGTCATTAGAAAATCCATTTAACAAGGATGCAAATTATAAATTCCAATCATAACTATGATAGAAAAAGTATTTTGCCATCAGGATGTAAAAAAAAAAAAATAAAAAAAAATAAATAAATAAAAAAAAAACATGGCAAGTTTGAGATCTGCATATGAACGATAGAACTGGAAAGTAAATTTTTGAATAAAATACAAGCTGAGATTCAACCTGAAAATGTGTTTTACTTTTCTCCCAGCTAGCTTTGCTAAGAATTTATTAATTGGCCATCTCTCTTTTAGCATTGATATGATTCTGCTGAAACTTTTTTCTGACAGCCAGAAATAAATATTAAAAACTCAAGTTTCAATGCTGGACTTATATGGATCTGTGCACCAAACCAAACACGGGGAAGAAAATGATATCATATCCAAAGGTATTTAGTATACAACTGCTGAATGATGATCCATTAGGTGCTTCAAGATAGCCATTAAAATGACTTGCATAAAATTATATTTGAATAGAATCAAGTAGTATGTACTGGAGTCTCGTAATAAAACAAACTTTTCTGTTGTGCCATAAAATACAGGATCCAATCATCCAGCCAATGCCCTTTCACATCCCATTGGTCCATGAATCCCAAAGGGAAGACTTCATTTTCCATAAATAAAAATGTCATTTGCTCTTAGAATGCCCACGCAAGCAGCTGATGAATGACCTCACCTTGCCATGCATGAGCAGCCTAATGGTGAGGGTGACATTGAGCCCGCCTTCAATCACTCCAGAGTCCATAACGGCAACTATAGTGTCAGCACAAAACTGGAGTCTTTAGTCACAGAGATGAACCTAAAGCACATAAACAAAACAGTATTATAAACTTGGAGGGAGGAATGGAGACAATGTTAAAATACAATTAATTACCTACAATACAGAGTAAAATTTTACTTAAAAGCAAAAGGTTTTAAAGTCTGATGTCAAGTTTCTTTATTGCGCATGTGAGCAGAAACACACCAATTTAGGATCTCAGATAACCTTTTGCCCAGAATAGTCTTCTGGGATACAAACATAGCATTACTAAGTTTTCACAACTTAAAAGATAAATATGCAAAGGCTTCTAAATTAATCAAGTTCATTAAGCAATTATTTTACTTGATCACATCAACACTTTTAGTTGGTGGTAGAAAAACACTCACATTGACAACCATTCTATCGCTCAGTGGAAAGTTTCTACCAAACAGGTTTCATTATTTGAGGACATCGTTTATGCAATGTCTGTGACGATGCAGGAAAACATGAAATGAGCTATTTTGCTGCTTAGGTGCATGCCTTGAATCGTTTTAAGACGAGTGAAACAAAGTGATTTAGTGTCGATGGCTAAACTCCAAATACGAAGAATAGCACATGCTCGTGTGGTAAAACTCGTCATAAGCTTTTTGACAAGTTTATCAACAACTGCACGTCTAATTATCGTATTGTTGCTAATAAAACCAACTGTGCTAATCACGTAACAAAATTACAACTATACATTACTAAATACTAAAGACATTGATAGTTGTGACTGTGGAGTTTAGTTTTAAGTATTTATTTTAATAATAGAAGCTAGTTGAAAGTATGTTAGCTTTTTAGCATTCGGGTGGTAAAAATGAATGGAGCATGCTTGTTAGCAACGCCAGCTAGTTAGCTTACTTCGTCAACATAAATATCTGCTGGTAAATAGGTTAAATCCGTGAGAACGTACTCAGATCTTCTCTTAACCAAATGTAACGATAAATAATGAGTATTATCTTTTTATAAACCAACGTAAACGGGGGGGGGGGTGAACCGTGGCTGCTAAAGCTAAGCTAACCCCCATCACTGCGAACAGTGACTGCGTGTTCATCACCACGCGGCCTGCTAGCATAAGCAGCAGCTACAGGGCGCGATTTCTTTCCGCTACTTCGGACCATAACAAATTTGAGGAAAAACACGCAAAAAAAATTCTAACTCACCTGCTTCTCGGGCTGCAAAGTGAAAGGGGGGAGGGTTGGGGTTGTAAGGGTAGAAGGGGAGAGGTTCGGGAGGGTAGAAACCCGGGGGAGAGTTTAAAAAGGACTCGGGGAAGAGGGAAGAGTGATGCGAGATCGAGCTCCACTCCTTTATACAAAGACAACAAAATTGTAACCTTTCAACTTTAACCCCGCACGCATCGTAACTCCCCACACAGCCTGACCCGTGGAGGTTCTAGTGCGACGCAAAGGGTATCAACGTAAATAAAATATCTAGAAAGATAAATTTTGAAGAAGTTTATTTAAAAAAAATATTAAAACTATTAGAATGATTTAAAATGCCTCAACAGAAAGAAAATGTTAGGAGTCTCTTACAGCTTACTTGATTAGATTAGTTTTCAACAATGTGTTAAATATTTTCAAATTGTGATAATTGTAGCATAAATAGAAATAAATGTTTATATTTATATACGTATTAAAGAGTCTCACTACAATTTGATGTTGACTTATTTTTTTCTAATCCTTTAAAAAACAATGGATGCGAGAAAGATAAAACACAGTATTGCCTTTATTTGGATTCACTTTATTGCACAGGTTAAAAGATTTTCTACTTTTATCAGTACATTTTAGAGTATTTGCATAGAACAGTTTCAGAGCAAAGCAGAATAACTGTTTTGCAGACACATTTAGTTGTAAGCACAAAGTTAAGACATTTAGAGAATAAAATAGGATCACATACATCACTCCTGTGAAATAAACTGAGAAAAGAAATGTTGCAAAACAGAATAACTACAAACTGAGGCTTTTTAGTGTCATAAATAAACCTTAAAATACTGCAACTAAAAGTGACAAGGTATTTTAAGCATTTTGCATTCTGCAGGGTGTTGTTGAGCCAAAAGGGTCTCAGTCAGAATCACTGCTGCCACTGCTGCTGCTGGATGACTGTAAAGGAAACAAATATTTTGATAACTTTATTACAATCAATTTAATAAACTGAATAATTGAATATCAAATTTTATAATACATAAATGCAGTAATTATAATAAAAATAGTTTGAGATGAGGAGGATAACCTTTACTGCAGGATAACAATAGAAATTTATACAATCAACACTATTGTACCATAATTCACATGTGACAAATCAAAGATCCAACACCATTTTTAATATTTCTACTAAATCTTCCAAAAAGCACAAAATGATTCATTTCAAACTTAAGTCAAGTTCCATTTTCTAAATGTATTACCTTGCTAAGTGACTATGTAATCTGATTACAGAAACCTGAGAGAATGCAAACTGTTCAAGATTATTTAAACACAGGGTCAAGACAAACAGCTGTCAAAAATAAAGTCATCCATCTTTTTATGCATTTGCTGAAATCTTCACACCCTTCACTTTTACTACACACATAGCTTCTACACTGAACTCATAAATCCCTTCAGAAAAATTGTGTACCGTTGTTTATATGCAACAGTATGAACACCTAGATAAGTTCCCTTACTTGCAGTATTAGGAAATGTAAAGAATACAAATAATGCATGACATGATTTGCTGTACTGCTTATGTATTTGTTTTTTATGATAGTTCTGTGCAAAAAACTACAAATCTGTCATGCCTAATTTAAGCTGGTATATCTTCATAACTGTCCAGCAACTAGCACTTGTTTATTTGACTGCTTGCTGTTGTATAGTTTCAGTTTTGACTCTCTTCATCTCATTGTTCTGTTGATCTAGAAATACATATTCTTTCATTCCCTGTTTAATGACAATGTGTATTTCCTGAACTGACTGATCTAAAGAAGAGGACCTGGGCAGGTTCATTTGTTTCTGTATTAGTATTTCAGCAGCAGGAGGGATCATTTTCATTTTTTATATTCTTACTTAAAATCTGAACACACCTTGCCATGTTTGTGGTGTCCATGCTTGTGAGCTTTCTTCAGCTTCTTCATCTTCTTATGAGCTTTGTGTTCACCCAATGCCATTCCAAGCCCCATTCCTCCAGCTAAACCTCCAGCCAAGGGAAGCAACCCACCATGATGATCTTTGTGCTGATCTTTGTGCTGGCCTTTGTGGTGACCTTTGTTGTGACCCCCTTTGGGTGAATGTGGATAAGGACCAGGATAAACACCTCCAGGGGGGGCCACTGGATATACACCTGGAGCCATAGGATAAGTATTGGGTACAGGAGTTACATAGGCCACCCCCCCTGGAGTTGCATATGGCCCCACAGCTGGGTAGTACACAGAATTTGGTGCCGGTAGGACAGTCCCTGGTGGAGGAACAGCCGGGTTTATGGAATTGTAAGGGGGAGGGAAGGCAGGGTTGTGTTGGACTGGAGGAGGGCCTGAAACAAAAAGCACAAGATCACAACTCATGCCTGAGATCAGAAAGGGTGTGAAGCAAAGAGAATCCAAATGCAAAATAAAAATATGAGTGTTACTTGCGAAATCTGATATCTTACCTTGATTTGGCCACATAGTTTCAGTTTATTTGATCAGAAAATGAAATCAGGTTTCACACAAAGTTCTACAGAAACAAACAGATTATATAGTTGATTCATTTAATTAGTTTTTAAACATGTCTTTAAAAAAACTAAACACAAAACTATACGTGCTTATTTTTCAAACTACTTAAAGAAAAAAAATTGTTTAATAATAATGATTAGAATAAGAACACCAGCAAAGTAAGATTTCAAGGTGAAAGTAATAGAAAGAAAACAGCCTCGCTTTTTATGTAGGACTGCTGTAGCGATATAAAGAAATGTACCTGCGCAAGCTGAAAACCGAGAACACGTCAAATAACCTACACCTTAGGGTAGGTTAGGGATTATGTTCAACTGAACAGATACATAATTAACAAAATGCCATCGATCTGACTCATGAGACAAAGTAAATAATGTTTTGTCAAGTAAACAAACTGTTCTTGTATCTTTACTATACTAGTAATACCTAAGTATACGTAGAGATCTTACCTCTGCTGTTGCTGAGTATGGAACTTGAAGTTTCGTGTTTGACTTCCGCATTTTATGTTGGGGCCACAGACCTGAATATGTAGGGCGCTGCAGAGCGTAAGCGTCACCACGTAAGCGTCACCGCCATATTGGATGGGTCTCCTCATCAATGCGGAGTGGTAACATCCGTTTTTGTGCAGCCTACAAACACCGTGCGGGCGGTGTTAAATGTGACTCCTCACACACGACGTACCGCCTCCCTTCGTGCAGCCCGAACCATCAAAGCACACTCACCTACATTTCTGTCTGACATAAAGAGTGAAGTAACCTGCGCCGCACGTGAGGGGAAATCCTGGCTGAGCTGAAAGTTTGCGTTGGTAGAGTGATGAATAAAGTGGTAAAATAAGTACATTTTCTTGCGCTATAAGTTACTGTTTGAACATAAATGCCTCTGAAGATAATTCACTCGTTTATTCACAGGTGTTGGAATGAACTCTGACATGAGGAAATTAGCTGACTTGTTTACGGAGGATTCAGAAAATGATGCGACATTTTATGGCTTTTCTGACTCTGAATTCGTAGATACGGTACGTTTTTATTTTTTAACAAATATTTTAGATTAGTCATGTCGACATGTGTGATGTATGGCAGAGAACGGCTGCCCTTTTAATTGTTTTACAGTATTTCAACAAGAATTTTAACTTTTTTTCTGTTAAGCTACTAGAAATTTTCTCAACAAGTAATTTTTACATTTCCAAACAGCGTTTAGATTATGACGATGAAGTCCAGCTTGACATGTCCCCCAAGGAACAGCAGAAAACCACATCTGCAGGCCTTCCACCTTTCAGACTGAGGGTTGCATTACGCTGTGTGCCTTCCATCCAGCTGTCCACAGGTCATGATGCAGAAGACAGTGAGAAAATAACAACTAGAAGAGGAGTGAAGAGGCTGAGAAACACCAGTAAAACTAAAAAGGACAGAGCTGTAAAACGTGAAGAAGAGGAGTCAACAGTTGGCCATCCTTCTCTGTCTGAGGAGCGTGGATCTGATTCAGACGAAGATGTTTTTGATAATTTTCTGTTAAAGAGAGAGCAGAACATCAAGGCTAACAAAGCAATGGTGACTCAGAAACATTTAAATTTTAGTTGGAAGTCAGTAATTAGAAATCTGTAATTTGAAAAACACTGCATTTAAACCCAATAATGGTCAATTAGTGCTTAAAACTTTTAACAGATACCACATTCTCAACAGCTCAAAACCTCTATTAGAGGAGCCAATAAAGAGGATAACTGATTTTTTTGTTATTTGATCCTGATACTGGGGTCCAGAAACCTAATTTGATATATTTTGCTGGCAAGTCATTCTGATCAAGCAAGTAAAACAATAATAATGCATATAAAATACTTAGATTTTTAAGGCTGTAACTCTGGCATGTTATTTATATTACACTGCTGATTTTCAAAAGGGAATTTTTTTGAATTATTATTTTTACAGTTGGCTCAGCTGATGGCAGATCTGCAGAAAATTCCAGAAGGTGCAGGGATTTTCAAAAGATCAGGCAAACGGAAGGCAAAAGTAAGACACTCTGTGAGTGCACTGAAAAAAGGCAAATTTGTTAAACATCACTAGTCTTAGCTAATTTTCAAAACTCAGCATACCTGTAAAGACATCTTTACTCCACTAGGGAACAGTAGATTGTGCTGATTCTTCCAAATTCACAGCGTCCACCACATACTGATCTGACTGGAGAGGAGTCCAGAAGGTATCCAGAACGAGCTTCCCGCAGACAAACACGTTCCATGAGGAAAGGTCAGGATCCCTCATCCTCTGAGGAGGTAGATGTGGAGCTCAGTTTGGAGGAAGAGCTACTAGAGGTCAGTGAAGCCATTTACCTAATAACTAAAAGGCAAGAAATTCAGGCAATTGTCACGCTTTTTTTGTTAGAAGTATAGGAAATACATGTTTTACACTGCAGAAATAAAGCAGCATTGAATTTATGAATTTAGAAATAATACTTAAAAAGACTTAAAGTCTTAAATGGTAAATGGCTTGTATTTGATATAGCGCCTTCTAGAGTCCTGCCCCCCCCCCCCCCCCCCAGGCGCTTTACAACACAATCAGTCATTCACCCATTCACACACACATTCACACACTGGAGGGGATGAGCTAAGATGTAGCCAAAGCTACCCTGGGGCGCACTGATAGAGGCGAGGCTGTCGAGCACAGGCGCCACCGGTCCCTCCGACCACCACCAGCAGGCAAGGTGGGTTAAGTGTCTTGCTCAAGTACACAACGACAGCGACAGACTGAGCGGGGCTCGAACCTGCAACCGTCTGATTATGGGGCGAGCACTTAACTCCTGTGTCACCGCCACCTTAAAAGTTGTGCTGAATTTTACTGCTGAAACAAATACTTCAAATACATTTCTCATGTCTTTTTATTTTATTTTATTTTTTTTACTTATTTGAGGCTTCATTAAATGCAGGTACCACTCAACAGAATATTCCAATACAAAAATATTTGATAACTGCAGCCCTACTGTATTAACTTCAGTGTATTGCATTTCTCCTCAAAAGTTTTATTTGTCCACTATTTTGAATAAATAATGTAGCCTAAATGAAGTTTGACGGAACAAATAAGTGAGAGTGCAAGATCCTACTTTAAGGAGAGGACTTTCATTTAATTGAGTTCTGATTTTCATTGTTTATTGTTTAACAGTCACCTTAAAAAAGTTTATAATGGTTTTAAAATATTAAAACTCAATTTCCATACCACGGTCAATAAGGTCTACTAGGAATTTATCTGCACAACTTTTAAAATCCATCAAACCCTGTTTTGTTGATACAAGTTAAAAGTCCAACCCAGCAGATTTGGTTAAAAGTTAAAACAAACTCAATAAAACCTCATAAAAGTTGTTCCCACGTTAAACCATGAAGCTTTATATAAAAGCATAATTGCTGATGAGCTTTCTTTAAACGCGAGTCAATGTGGGGGTCCACCTCATCCCCAGACATGAGCACAGGCTAGATGACTGATATTTTTCCTAAAATCAATAACAAAATAATAAATCGTTCTAAGGCCTTTGTGCTGTGGTCTTTGTTTATATTTTTTGCCTCTTTGCGAACATCCATTTGTAAATGTCTTCATTTCAGGTGATCGGTCATAATATTTGGAATGTTTGTTGGTTTTGTTTGAGAAAGAAAAACAATTTCATTGCACAAAAATTCAGCCCATCTGTTTTAGGTGCGCAGAGCCCCACGGCATCGGTCCACTCCACGACCCAATCAGAGCAAGCCTCATGTAATCCGTCCAGTAGAGGACATCAAAGACGATGAGCTTCAGCTGGTTGCAGACAATATGACTGATAAAGTGTACAACAGTGCCACAGTAAGTTCACAGTTGGACATGATTTCTACCTTAAACCTTTTTATTTTCAAACATCTACTGTGTAGGACACACTGTCTGCACTGCTGTATGAAAATGGTAGCTTACCGATCTGATGGTTTCTGTGATGAGGTAGCAGTATTTCGTGACACGGTTCCTACAACAGCCATATTGAGTTTCACTTGAACTGTGTCTTTATCTTACGTTTATTTTTATGTCTTCAGAATTGGAACAGAGAACTTGATCTTAATGGTTTTCTTGCATTGATGTGATGAAAGAACTTCCTGCATTTAGTGTTTTCTGGTTATAGCAATGGTAGCTAGAGGAATTTAAGACATTGCTTTCTCTGAGATTTAAGATTTTCTTGCAAAATAGATTCAAAGTTCTTAATATAGTGTGGTCAGTTTGAGCACAGGTGCATGAGAATGTAAATTTTAATATTTTGTGTGTGATTTAGCTGACTTTTCTCTGCATTTTCAGGGTTCTACATGCCATCAGTGCAGGCAGAAAACCATCGATACAAAGACGTGCTGCCGTAGCGAAGACTGCCGTGGGATTCGGGGTCAGTTCTGTGGGCCATGTTTGAGGAACAGATACGGAGAAGACGTGAGGAAAGCGCTGCTGGATCCGGTCAGACCTTTGATATGCCAGTGCTCTCTACACATGTGCTGGCACATGACACAAAAATAGTTTGAGGAACACACATGCACAGACCGTCAAGAACAAAAATGTTTATTTGAATGAAGATGGAAACTTTTCATACAGCTTTTTAAAAGTATCAGCAGTAGCTTTTAAGGCACGGGAACAGAAACTTTATTTTAAATTCTCAATTGGTTTGTTGTCTCTTGATCTTCATCTCTTTCCAAATTCAACACAGATATTCTAACCTGAAGGTCTGTTGTCCAGCACTGAGTTGTTTCCCTCCTCCAACACACCTGATTCAGTGACTGAATAACCCTGTTAAGCAGCTCATGAAGCTCTGCAAAAACCTGTTTTAAAATCAGATGTGTTGGGGCCGTGAAACGACAAAAGCATTTTCTGCATAGCGGACCTCCAGTACCAGGATTGGTCATCACAGTTTTAACAAGTTAAAACACAAATATGTTAAACACAATACAAGTATGTCACATGGCCTTGCATAACATAAGTGGTAGCATTAGCTCATGAGGTCTCTTTGATTCCAGCTCCTTTCTGGGAATTCTGCCATTGTGTCAGTTCACCTGACGTGGTTGTGGTCAGGCTATGATGTAACTTGCCATCACCAGCAGAATGTGAAAGAATATTGGATTTTTTGGAAAGTTCTTTAAAAGGAACCCAGGTTACAAAACTTTTTGGTTCTTAAAAGATAAATGTTAGTATCGTTTATATTAAAGTGGTGTAAAAAACCTTCTTAATGTCTTCATCTTTATAAAATTTGTAAAAATATTTTAACTCGTAAGTCGCCATTGTTGTTAGCGTCACAATGCACTCTGGGTAGTGACGTCATATGGTTGTACCCCGGTTGCACCGGCCGGCTTTGGGACCCTGTAGTGACTGTTGAGCGACATCAACGTGTCGTCTGTTCAGCCTTTTCAGTTTGAACCAGAGTGAAACATTAACGAGGACATCACTGACCATGTTTCACAAAACAAGCATCAAAATGAAGAGCAAGAAGGGCGGGATGAAGCGAGTGCAGGACAAAACCGGTGGTGCGTGTGCGGCAAATGTGTCTCCGTGGTAACCGAGAAGGAGCGTGTTTGTTAAGAGCTCACATTTTTGTCAGCAGAAGGTAATGGTAAGCTATCGTGTGATCAAACTTATTCAATTATGAATAATTTTGGAGAATTTTAGCATCCAGAGCTGTCGTGTGCTTCATAGATGATTAGGATATTCAGAGAAACGACTTAAATCATTTTTGCTGATATGTTTGGAGAACACTGTATTGCTACACTTACTGCTTGTTTTACTGACGGGAGAGGTGAACGTTCAGCTTCATCCGTGATGAGTGGCTTGTCGGATGGTTCACTGAACGTGACAGAAGCGGCAGCTGCAGGAGCGGGTTGTCGGCTCAGGAGAGCGTCCAGCGTCTCTTGTCTCTCCGAGAGTGTTTAGGCTCCTTGTGTGGGAAAATGGTCAGTAAAGCATTTAGTTTTAGCCTTCTCTTTTACCCAGCTGCTCCGGTGAGCTCTTTAAGTAGTTGTGGTCAACTATAAGCCTCAAACGCATCAGGAGAGAATTGTTGGGAACACAGCCGCGGATCTTTGGGAAGTTGTGTCCGTCCACAGGCATCTTCCCACTGCTTTCTCCTCTACTTGCCAGTGGGAAAGCTGTGTAAACTCACATCACTCCCTTTGTTGCCCTTTGACTGTAAATTGCATCCAAAAGCAGCATAATGCAGCATTTTACTTAATTATTAATACAGTGAGCGCGTAAACAAACACTAGTGTCAATAGCTATTCTTCCAAGAGCAACCAATATACGTCATCGCCCCCAGAGTGCATTGCGTGTGGAAAACATGGCATCCTGCGTATGTAAAAAAATGCACTAAATATTACAGATTTATTATAAATGGCTATATTTTGTGTGTTTCTAACAACATATTTTGGTACAATAGAAAATTTGTGGCTTATTAGGGCATACACGTCCTCATAGCTGGAGTTCCTTTCAAGTGCCTTGAAAAGCACAATATTTTATTCCATCCATCCATCCACTGTCTTACGCTTATCCAGAGTCGGGTCGCAGAGCAACAGCCTAAGTCAAGAGGCACAGACTTCCCTCCCTCCAGCCACGCGGGCCAGCTCTTCCGGGGAAACCCCGAGGCGTCCCCTAGCTAGGCGAGAGACATAGTCCCATCGACATGTCCTGGGTCTTCCTTTAGGTCTCCTCCCGGTTGGATGTACCTGGAAAACCTCTCCAGGGAGGCGTCCTAATCAGATGCCCGGCCACTTCAACTGGGTCTTCTTGACATGGAGGAGCAGCAGATCTACTTTGCGCCTCTCCCAGATGACCGAGCTTCTCACCCTATGTCTAAGAAAGAGCCCAGACACCCTGTGGAGAAAACTCATTTCGGCCGCTTGTATCCGCGATCTTGTTCTTTCGGTCACTACCCAAAGCTCGTCACTATAGGTGAGGGTTGGAACGTAGATTGACCGGTAAATTGAGAGGTTCACCTTCTGGCTGACGAAGGTGAACTTTAACTTTCACTACTGCGTTTTCAGTGCTGTGATACTCTGCAGTTCCTCAAACAGATCACCAGTGTTTAGAATGCTCACATACTCGACAGGCCACTATTTTCTCAAGAACTTTAAATACTGTATAAATGGAAGGTTAGAGATTTGTCTATAATTCATAAGGTCATCTTAATTTCTTTTCAAAATTAACACTGGGCTGGAATATCATGGAAGCAGAGAATCTCTGGTGAAATGCTTCTCTTGCAGCACACTCTGACCTAGAGAAGTTCCTGTCAGCTGTAGATGTTATCAGCTGGACATTATGTGGTGGAGAGAGATAAAAATGCCAGCACAAATATCAAAACATACATCCAAACAAAACACTGAAGCATAGAGCACTGAGCCGCTGCTTCTGTGCATGCCGCCAGCTATGTTTATCCTCAATTATTTCTCCTGTTGTCATTCAGGTTTTTGGAGGGATGGCGTGGCTTCTTGTGTTTAGAAAAAGTACATCTGTGCTGTTTTGTTTTAGATTCTGTTCTGTGAAAATTGCTGTTTCAACTGGCTGGAGGGGAGAGAGGGCCGTGGCTGCAGCTTGTAGCAGGGGGAGGGGAGTATAGGCGGATAACAAATGCCGTCGCTAAGTTGGTGTTGAAGACTTGGCAGCCCCGCAAGCTCAAACATGGTTGACTCTGGAACCAGGAAGAGAAAAGGTGGCACTGTTTGTCAACAGTAACTACACTCCTTCTTGGCCATTAAAAAAACAAACAACAAAAAAAAAAAACAGAAAACCTGGCAACTCCCCAGCCGGCTGAAAAGGAGATCTGTATCATTGTAACCATTCCTGCAACATGATGGACACAATATACTTTTTTGTGATTATTTAATTCTTAAATTCTGACATATTGCACCTTTTAACCCAATCAATTTCATCCTCAGAATTGGACGTGTCCTCCCTGTCGAGGAATTTGCAATTGTAGTTTTTGCCGGCAGCGGGAAGGCCGATACCCAACTGGTATTTTGTTCCCCCTGGCTCAATACCACGGCTTCTCTGACGTCCATTCCTACCTCACCAGGTTGGGCAACCACACAGCTAAACACAATTTAAAGAGGTGTTGTCTAGCATGGCTGTTACACAATCCTGTACTCAAGGACAAAGTTTCCACATTTTCTTTCTCAAACATGCTAAATGAGCTCATCATGGTGTCTAATTCTGCAGAAGCATATTTAAGACATTTTCATTTGAACCAAGTAGAAAAACAGAATTATGCTGGGCAGTGACGCTCAAAAGTTGAATTTGGTGATTTCTGATCTAGCAGAATAGGTTTCAAATAATTTATCATGAGAAAAGTCTTGAAGCTCGGCAGTGTGTAACATCTGACTTGAGTTTTATCTGAAAATTTCATTGATAATTTAATTTTAATATCTAAAGTGTCTTTTTGTCCTTACAGCCTCCGTAATAAACTGGAGGGAGAATCCTGAAGGAGATGCTGTTCAAGTACTACTGTGTTCTTTCATGTGCTGAAGTTTTATCAGTTTTATACATTCAGCCTGTTTTAAATAAATGCGGTTTTTATCCAACTCTGAGTGTGATTAAAATGAAGTAAAAAACTGAGAAAGAATCAGCTCCTCTAAATCTGAGACCATGGTCTTGATTTGGAAAAGGGTAGAATGCCTTCTCCGGGTCAGGGATGAGATCCTGCTCCAAGTAGAGGAGTTTAAGTATGTCAAGGTCTTGTTTACGAGTGAGGGAAAACTGGAGCGTGAGATCGATAGGTGGATAGGCGCTGCATCTGCAGTGATGCGGGTGTTGTACCGGTCTGTCGAGGTGACGAGAGAGCTGAGCCAGAAGGCAAAGCTCTCGAATAACCGGTCGATCTACGTTCTTACCCTCACCTATGGTCACGATCTTTGGGTAGTGACCAAAAGAACGAGATCGCGGATACAAGCGGCCGAAATTCTCTATTGGCTGGTAAATGTAAACATAAACCCAGTGTCATGTCTGCCAAAAATAATTATTAGATTATTTTTCAATTAAAATATAGCTTTTAAAGGAAATACTGTACCTTCATTCTGCACACCTTTAAATGCCCTGTGGAGGTATTGTTTAAAAAATATATAGTTTTTTTAATAAATTTTTCCCGGCACAGTTCCAGTCATTCTGAAAACTACTTTTAATGACAAATAAATGCTTTGTGACCTTAACCTTAAAATAATGGAAAAACAGGACCTCAAAAACACACATGATTGACTTTACTTAAATTCATTTATTGAGCAGGGTAATAGAAATCTAATTAAATACACTTTAGGTATTACATAGAACTGTTTCAGATCAAAGCAGAATAACTTTTGCAGCCACATACAGTAGTGAGAACAAAGACATTTAGAGAATAAATGGGATTGCATGCATCACTCCTGTAATAAATATACTGAGAAAGAAATTTCTACCAAACAAAAAAGCATTAAGGCTTCTCATTGTTACAAATAAACCATAAAACACTAATTGTGCACGGTAAGTGGTCAAAATTATGCATTTGGTTTATAGAAGAGTTGCATTTGTAGATGGCAGCATTCTGCTGGATGTTGAGCTGAGGGCCTCAGTCTGCCTCTCTGCTGCTGCTGCTGAAAACTAAAGAAAAAAAATGTCCATTTAAGAAGCAGAACACTTAGATTTCTAACTTAATACTATATGTTATCTTGATTACATTAAAACTTTTAGAGAAGAATAGATTTACTTTTTTGCAGCCATGTATCCAACAATGTAACATTAGACATTCACACAATCATAAATTACTGAGGAACTAAAACATTTTCAATTCTGCAAATTCACAGCAAAAATTGTCTAAAAAACACTTCAATTAATCCATTGTTTAATTTAAGTTGCATTTCATGTGTAATACTTGACCATGTGACCTAAACAGATAGCAGTACACTGTAGATCATATGACACACACACAGTGTGAAGGCAGCTGTCAAAAGTCCAACGAAGACTTTACATCCATTATTTTATGCATTTGCTGAAGTCAGCATGCCCTTTGCTTTCCATAATTTCCTACACAGAAACTTGTGAATCCATTCAGAAATGTTTTATTGAGAACAGTCTGCATTATGAATCCAAAGAAGTTTCCTTGGAGTTTTAGGAAATGTAAACAATTAAAATGAAGCTTGATGTCATTCTCTGGTAATGTGGGCTTTTGTTCTTCTTTATTTACTCTGTAAATAAAAAAATGCATGCAAAATAACCTTTCAAAAAATCACATTTTCAACATTGAAATGAGGCATAACATTTTCTAGCAATTTTTTTTACTATTTTTTCAGATATTATGTTATTGTTAAATAAAATTCTTTGCATAAAAAGCAACTATAAATAAATCACCCCATTTTAAATTGGTATTCCTTTGTAACTGCAGCAACTGGTACTTGACTTTGGCAATTTGACTGCTTTGCCGTCCTGCTCTCATTGTCCTGTTGGTCCAGTAGAAACGGATATTCTTTCATTTCCTTTTTAATGACATGTTTCCTGTATTACCTGTACAGACTGACTTAAAAAGCAAGTCACCCCCTACCAGAGTATTACTCCACTCACACTTACTGTTTGGAAAAATACAACAAAAGCTGTTGCCTAGCAGACCGAAAGGGCGGAGCCGCTAACAAACACACGCACGCGCACGCACGCACGCGCACACACGCGCTCACAACGACATTGGGACATCATATGGTACCAGCTAACGTTCTAGGGTACCTCTTAGCCAATAGCGATGGCAGATTTAATTTCAAATGCATTGCAGAGTTTTTACCTGACAACGGCACAACACTGACAGTTTTAGGCAGAAAATTAAAATTTTAACAAAAATGCACTAAAGTGCTAAACTATTCACTACACGTGTCTGCAGCATTATTAGTCACACATTTATATAGTTTATCAGAAAAAAAATTGATTTGGTGGTGACTTGCTCTTTAACAAAGAGGACCTGGGCAGATCCACTTGTTTCAGGAATCAGCATATCAGGAGAGACCATTAATAAGCCCTCACACCATCTTACCTTGTTCAAAATCTGACCTCACATTGTCACGTTAGTGGTGGTGGTAGTAGTGGTGGTGATGGTGTCCATGCTTGTGGTGTCCAAACCCGTGGTGTCCAAACCCGTGGTGTCCATTCTCGTGGTGTCCAATCTCGTGGTGTTCATGCATGGGGTGTTCATGCATGTGGTGTTCACACTCGTGGTGGTCATGTTTATGAGCTTCATGTTTACCCAACATCACTCCAAGACCCAATCCCCCAGCTAAACCTCCAACAAGAGGAAGTAATCCACCATGTTTACATTTTTTGTGATCTTTATGGTGATCCCCTTTGGTACAATATGGGCAAGGACCTGGCTGAAACCCCCCAGAAGGTACTACTAGATAAGCATTAGCTCCAGGAGCTCCATAGGGCACCCCTCCTGGAGTTGCATATGGTCCCATGGCTGGATTCATGGGAGCTGGGTATTGGCCTGCAGGGTACCCAGCATTTGTTGCTTGGGGGTAGACAACTGGTGGAGGAACAGCAGAGTATGCAGGAGGACCTGGCACACAAAAGCGCAATTATATACCTCAAACCTGGAATCAAAGATAACGTACTTCAAAGAGAATCTAAAATGTACAAAAATACAAGGGTTACAATGCATTTAATGTCCCACCTTGATTTGGCCACATCGTTCCACTGCTTATTTGATCAGAACATGAAATCAGGTTTCACACAAAGCCCTGAAGAGACAACATAATTATACAGATTATTAATTTGAAGAAGTAAGATAATAAACACATTTTAGAAGCAAAAGAAAAGTTGGGCATGCATATTTTCCAACCTACTAAAACTTGATTGTATCAAAATCAGTTGACTGTTGCTCAAAGAAAGGAAAAAGAAAAAAAAACTGTTTAATCAGTGTTTTTCTACAATTATTATTTATTGAATTGTGTGTTTACATTTTTTTCAGTATTTGATTCATAGTATTATGCTTGTTTTAATCCAAAAACTAAAAAAATAAATCAATATCTTATTCTACAAATATTTTTCCTTAGCAATCATTTTCTTTAGCAATAAAATATTACAACTATCCGTAAAAAATGAATTTCAATATAATCCCGATTTAAATTACTGGCAATGCAGGTATATTAGATTAGACCTGTATTACTGCACTTGTTAAGACTGAATCACTCATCAGCTTGGTTTGGTGCTACATTATCCTTCAAGAAAGCTTCAAGCAAAAAACTTCAGTGACTGCAGTGAAAACTACAATATTTTCATAGAAATACAGGATGACTTTTGATTGCTGAAAACAAGTTAGCTGAACCTGCTTAAGATTTGAAGTGAAGTTCAAATGGAGATGAACTGTGAAAATTAACATTAGATGGTTTAGAGAATTTAGCAGATCGCTGGACACAGAAACTAAAAGAATATTAACATTCTTTAGTCATTTCATCACCAAACTAAGAACAACAAACACACCCCAGGTGATCTCCCTCCTGTCTAGCAGACCCTTTTGTTTGAACTCACAGGTGCAGTAGCAGCGATCCCAGCCTGGCCAGGGAGAGTGCACATGGGTGTAACAGGTGCATTTCAACAGGCCAAACAATTTAATACAAATTTGAATGTGTAATGTGAAAATTATTAAAGCTTGAATTTAAAAAAATCATAAAAGAAAAGACCAGAGAAGTTGAGTTGAGGTTTGAAAAGTAGAAATATTTCTGAAATTTTAAAGGATTTTGTGGTTTTTTTATTTAAAAAAATTCCACAATAAAAGTTGAATATTTCGAGAACGGAAGTTAAAATAAAGTCACAGCTGGGAAAAAGAAAACCTTGAACTGTGTTAGTTAAAATAGAGAAATTTTAGAACTAGCTGCAAATCAAAAACATGTGGAGTTGAAAGTCAGAATAAAGACAAACGGGAACCAAAACCACGTCTAGAATTGCTGTTAATTAGGTTTAGCTGCACAAGTTTTCTAAAACCTGCGACCACATTCATGATCCATTGTCATTAAAAAAAAAAGGTTTGTGTTCAATCAATATTCAAACTATGAAGTTGGCAAATTTACTACAAATTTTACAGAAAAGGCGACTTAAAAAATGTATTAGATCTGAATCATGATTGTTAGAAATCATGAATCTGTATCCACAACACAACATTTTCTAGGATCTTTAGAATAATTTGTAGGTTTGTCTGGAGATCTTACCTTTGCTGTTGGGTCTGACAAAAGATGCAGTTTGGTGGTTGTTTTCCGCATTTACCTGGATGGAAGATGCTAAACCCACGCCCTCAGAACACGTGATGTGTTTTACGTGCTGTGTTTTACGTGCTGTGTTTTACGTACTGGCAAAGGTGAAAAGTGGCTCAACTGGTTCAAGAGTTATTTTGTTACATTCCTTGACAGACGTGTTTTTGTTTTATGTTTTAAGCAACACGATGTAGGGCAGCTGACACCCACACCAGAAATCTTCCAAATAGGTGGGGTGGTATTTGTTTGCGCTAATTTGTGTCATCACATTTTTTGTTGGTGCTGCTATCGTTTTTGAAACATTCAAGATTATTTTATAGGTCATTCAGGGAATCACCATCCCTCCCCGCTGCTCTAAAAGGAGCTAGGCTGGTTTACTTTTCATTGTTCAGTGTTGAGTTTTCAGTAAATTAATAAAAAAAACTATTCCCGCTGCCGCACCTAAGTCGTAATGTGCATTTAATGTATTCGGACATAAAAAATGAATGACATTGTAAAAAATAAAGTTCTGTACATTACAAAAGTAGGTAGGTGGACTTTTTGTCAAAATAAATATTCATCATGAACACGATATTTTTTAGAAACGAACATCGATATTTGTCTAATTTACACTCGGTCATTTCAAAAAGACATTTTCCTGTTTTTTTTTTTTTTATTTCTTCCCGTGTCCTGTCTGGCTGTGAAGCAAACAGAATTAATGTCTGAATGCTGGTGACAAGCCTACAAATTCAAATTCAAAGATACTTTACTAACCCCAGAGGGAAATCAGAGATTACAGATTTACTCTCAGGTGGAGCATCAAAGCTTCTGCTTTTAATGTCACGCCTGATACTTAAAACTTTATTGTTATTGTTTTTTGTGAATGCTTGTAATTCAGATCGGACACGGAGACAGAGGTGACAGAGAAAGGAAGAGACAAAAGGAAGGGGGGGTCCACAAAAATAAACAATCAGTGATGAACAAGAGTCTGCATCTAGACCTGCAGAAGGAGAAAAAAAAGGGACACACAACAACACAACAGGAGCAAACTATCACTGCGTCAACCTGATGAGGAAATATTAAATCAACATTATTTTACTTAAGAATCAAACAATAATAAATCACAGTGCATTAAGTGCCAACCACAGCCTCAAGACATGTGTTGAACGTGCCCAAGTCCATACTTATGAGAGCACAATGTGAGCACCTGTGTGTGTACACGCGCTTGTATATGTAAGGTTTCTCTATAGGAGCATCCAATAGAGAGTGTGAGGGGCCACAGATCTGCCCCCTAAAGATGTGTAGGAGACAGGGGGAGCTCCAAGTCTCAGAGATCCAGGAGCTGCCCCAGAGCGCAGGGACCCCAGGGAGACTGTAACCAGAAAAGCCCCAGCCCCCCTCGAGAGGCGCAGAGGATCACCCCGGGGGGCCACAACCAGCAGCCGGCAGAGTCCCAGGGGATATCAGCAGCAAGCCCACAGGCCCGCCCGCAGCCTCCTACCCCCAAGTCGTTTGAGCCCGGAACCCAGCGACTCGGGACCCAGAGGTGACCAGCCCCGCCGGGGACCCAACAGAGCCCATGGATTCAGATCCCACCAGGCAGCCACCGAGATTAATCAGGCAGACACCAAAAATCTTAAACCCCCTGACCCGGGAGCTACGAACACTCAGGCAGACCAAGGCACCACTCTCCACACCAAGTGTGGCGGGGGAGGGGAGGCGAAATGTGTAGCAGCAAAAGAAGTCCCAGGAGAGGGGAGGAGTCAAAGGCCCCACATGACATATACAGTCATACACAAACACAGTCACACACTCCCTCCCTCATGCTCACACATACACATACAACCCAAGACGTACAAAAATGCACGCCAGACACCCACTCATTCTCCCCATACACACCCTATTCACTCTGGTCCCGGTACTGCTGCACATGGGGTACAACCATCACCGGTTCCCATTTCGACCCTTCCTGTTGGGGTGCTTATGAGCAGGCTTCCCCACCCAACGCCAAGCAAAGCGACCCACCACCCCAGACCCCAGCCAGATGGCCAGATGCCCCTCCTAGCCTCCAGCCCCGGGAAGCCAAGCAACGATGGAAGGGTGCTAAGACCCCTAGTCTCCCTCCCCCTGCTCCAATACAGTGTTGGTGCGTGTTGATGAGGTGTATTTGTGGCTGAGGTGAGCGGGCAGTGCAGGCATTGTCTGGCCTACACCAGTTGATGCCACCACACCACCCCTCTTCCCCCCACAGTCCTCTGTGTCTAAGTGCAGTTTAAAATTAGAAGTGGGCACCGGCACTTGGAATGAGGCTGAAATCCCCTTGCCAAATGCCGTTGAATGTGCTCACTCCCAAGGCCCTAAGTGTGTGTTTGTGTGGAATGTCATTGGTGGAAGTGTTTAATGTGCAAATAAAAGTGGGGGGCAGTCTGCCACAGGAATGCGGAAATGAGGTCCATACCTGCACCTCCTGACTTGTCCACCCCCCAAGGTGCTATGCGCATGTTTGTGTGAAGATGTGAGGTAGCAGGAGGAGAAAATGTATGGGGATGGGGTTGAATGGCTAGTTGGCCTAAGCCATCCAGGGAGCCAGCTCCCCCACTGGCCCCAATAGGTACCTCCGTTGCCAAAATGCTACCCAGGGCATGGAGACCCCAGCCCATCTTGCCAGGGCCCAAAGCAGAAGCATTGCAGAGTTCCACAGAGTCCGAGGGCACAACCCAGTCCCACCCCAGCAGAATATCTACTCCCATCCCTGCATTTGCACAACTTCCAGAATATATAAGACACAGGACATCCAGGTAAGGTTGGGTTCTCCCCCTCCTGGACATCCCCCTCCCCCGTGATGGGACAGCCGAGGAGCCAAGGTCTACCTGAGGCCCCTGAACCCGGGCCAGGCACTGCCGGATGTTCCCGCCTTCTTCACGGCAGCATACAGCATTCCAGCAATACCAAGTTGAACAGCATAACATTTTTATTTATAACCCCCCCCCCCCCCCCCCCCCCCACACACACACACACACACACACACACACCATTGCCACCACCCTGAATGAAGGATGTCACTTGACTGGTAATGTTTTGACCCTCAATTTCACTGTCAAAGTTGGAGATATGTACCAAAAAAACTATGTAAATGTGTGGGCGATGGGGGTCATCTTACCCTAGAAATCTAGACAAACCGTTACATTAGCAAAAATGGTCAGTAGTAGTAGAAAAATATCGATGTGGCAATATATTGCAATATTTTTTCCTGCGATATTGGATCAATATTTAAAAGCCATGTATCAAGTTTTTGGAAGAGTTTGCATGCAAACATTTGTGTTTTCTTTTGGTGCAAATCAAATGCCGACCTCTAGTTGGCAACAGTGTACATTGGGTTTTGTTTCCACCACTGAAATGTAAATCCCTCTATCATGGTTCAGATCAGGCACGTGCAGAGGGGGGTGCGGAGGGTGCTTGAGACCCTGCCCCTTTTGTCCGAAGTGCCCAAAGTGCCCTTTTTCCGGTCGTTCGTCAGATTTTACAGTACAAAACTGTTATACTGTGAGAAAAATCGGGCACTAGGACCATGCGGAGGCAGCCGCCTCAAGCTGAAGGCTATTTTCCCTTAGACCCGCCTACAAGCTCACTGATTGGCTCTGCCGCATCATACTAACGTGTGATTGGTTGTCCTTGCTGTCGCTCTACCTTGTAGCCATGGAGACGACAGACCGGTGTTTTCCCTGCGGACAGGAGTCTGCTTTCATCTAACTGTAAGTTTTTTTCTGCCTGCTTCACATCATCTGGATAGATTTTAATATCAGAGCTTTTGTTTACGTGAGTTTGAGTCCGTGGTTAGTGTGTGTGGAGCAGAGTCAGGTAGCTGCATGTCTGGGACAGAAAATGAGACAGAGTACTTCTCCTGAAGTGTTGCAGAAACTCAAAGAATCACGGATGTGTCTCACTCTAGATTCTCCGGGTCATAACTTCTGAATTCCTAATCGAATAAAAATACATGATGTAATTCATGTTACTCCAAAAATCGCTATTAGAAGGAAACGTGCTTTGCAGCGTCACAGAAAGAAACGCGCGACGGGAGAGCGAGAACCTAAAGGAGGAGATGATCTGATCATCTTCATCAGCAGCTTTTATAAAGTTATGGAAACTTCACAAATAAAATCCACCTGGTTGGTCAGGTGTCCCAGAAGGCTGTTTCTGTAGATGGTGACATGAGGAGGGACAGATTAAAGTCACACTGGTTTTTATTTGAACACTCAACTGTTTACTAAATGATTCAACTTCATTCCAGCATTATTTATACGTACAATAAATATTTATTTAGCTGAAAATATCATTTTATCAGTGCAGAATTTTATTAGTTGACTTTTTGTAATGAAATGTTTAGATTTAACCTTTTATCTGCTTATTGGTCTTCATAATGCTGGTAGAAAGTTGTGAAGTAGCCCATGAGTGTTATTTTATGATACCTAGTATTTATTTTACTGTATCCCGTTCTCTGGACCAGAGTGTAGACCTGTGGTCACAGACAGGCTGCAGTCATTAAACTGGTTAACATGAGGTCAGGGGTCACACTGTTTTCTGAGTGTTTGCAACACAGTTCTGAGTTTAAATGGTTCTTTTGACATAGTTTGCTCAAGTCATTTTGAAGTTCCTGTTTAGTAATAAATGTAAAGAAAATTCAAATCTAATTTTTTTTCATTTAAGCTGCAGTTTTACAGACTTTAATAAACATAAACACTAAATACAAAGCAGACACTGAAAGCTGAGGTTGTTCTGAAAAAAGGAGCAGAGTTACTAACATTTTACACTTTTATTACAATTTTAAAGCCATAAAACAAAAAAAAATACTTGTTATATTTATGGTCATAAGAGGGTTAAACGTGATAAATTTTCCACCTCCCACAAAGAGATGGTAAAAGTGAATGTGAGCATGATTATATACGTTTTATTACTTTATCATGTATTTTTTATTATTGACTATTACTCCAAAGAGTTCAGATGAAGGCAACTGGACTTCTTTGGTTTCTTTAAAACATTTCACTTCTCCTCTGAGGAGCTTTGTCAGTTCTAACTGGAATATGGGAGAGTCAAGCTCATAAGCTGTAGCTGTTTGTTGTTATTTAAAGAGCAGAAACTACACTGAGTACCCCACCTCTCCATCTCCTGATGAGTCGTTAGCCTCTATTGATGGTGAGTCATCGTGTTGATTAGATGCAGGAAGATGTGACCTAGACTGAAACTGAATGAGATTCAAAAAAAAGTTCTAATCTTTTAAACAACGCTGTTGGTCCTCTTGGTCCTTGTTCTGGTTTTCTAAAACCCTGTGTTAAAAACCTTGGTGTGTTTTCAGATGGTTCTTTTAATCTTTACAGACAGGTGAGTGCAGTGGTCCAAACAGGTTTTTATCATTTAAGGCAGATAGCAAAGGTGAAGCCATACCTTCCTGCTAAAGTCCTCGAACATGTCATCCACCTGTTCGTGTCTTGCCGATTGGACTACTGCAACTCCCTGCATTCTGGCCTGGACCAGTCCTCCCCACACCAACTTCAGCTGGTCCAAAATGCAGCGGCTCGCTTGCTGACTGGAACCAGCAAGTGGGATCACATAACCCCGGTTCTGGCCTCTCTCCATTGGCTTCCTGTCTCTTACAGGATCCGTTTCAAAATTTTACTTTTTGTTTTTAAATCCCTTCATGGCCTGGCCCCAGTTTACATCTCTGAGCTGCTGTCCGCTTACGTCCCTGCCAGAACCATGAGGTCCAGCTCTCAAGCTCTTTTAACAGTTCCAAAAACCCGCCACAAGACTCGCGGCGACAGAGCGTTCTCTGTGGTTGGGCCCAAACTGTGGAACAAGCTACCTCTCAACATCAGGACCCCACAGAATCTAGAGCATTTTAAATCCCTTCTTAAGACGCAATTTTTTGATTTGGCTTTTAATGCAGGTTGACTTGAGCATCTTATTAGTTTTTAACAGTTTTTATCATAGATTGTGACTGGTGTGTGCTCATCTTATTTTAGGTTTTTATTGTTGATTTGTTGTATCTTGATTTGTTTTACCTTGTACAGCGCTTTGGTGTAGCTTTGCTGCTGTAAATGCACTCTGTAAGTAAAATTGACCTTGACCTTGACCAAAGCTGCATTATTGGTTCTGGAAAGGTGAAATCTAAGCCCCGCCTCTATTTAAAGTGGGGTTTTCACGTTTTGACATAGATAGCTTCTTTTACTCCTCTCTCAAATCATCTGTCTTCTCTGTCCAGAATGTGGACTTTGTCATCTTCAAAGGTGTGTCCCTTGTCCTTCAGGTGGAGGTGGATTGCAGAGTTTTGACCTGAAGAGGTGGCTCTCCTGTGTTGTGTTATGTTCTTGTGTAATTGTTGTTTAGTTTCTCTAATGTAAACATCTGGACAGTGCTCCTACACTGGACTGCATAAACGACCCCGCTGAGCTTCTGTTTGGGTGTTTTGTCTTTAGGATGGACCAGGTTCTGTCTGAGGGTGTTGTTGGGTTTAAAGTTTACCGGGATGTTGTGTTTGGAGAAGATTCTTCTAAGTTTCTCTGAGACTCCTGCCACGTACGTGATGATGGTGCATTTGTGTGAAGGGTGTTGTTGTTAGATTGGTAGCAGAGCTCTCATGTTTAGTGTTAAGTTCAGTGAGATCATAGAACGGGATCAAGAATTTTCTACTGACAGGAAAAAGATCTCAGCTAACATAGCCGTAGATCACAATGGATAACTCTCTGTGGTTGCATTTATTTTACATTTATTTTACTACCTCTTACTAGAGCTGTCTTTAGTAAGCACAAAATATCTTTGGTTGTACACCTGTGCAATAGCAATAAAGTATCTTGATTTCTGTTAAATGTACTTCCTGAATGAGTGACCTTTTCAGGCTAAAATAACAAATACAGACAGAAGGACAACTTATTTCTTCTTTTATAATGTGTTGCATCACCACCTGGTATCAGAACAGGACTCAGTATTGGAAGATAATCAAAAATCAAACAACTTGGACTCGGATCAGGGGCAAAAATGTGGTTGTAACACCTCTAGATATAAGTCAGCTTTAAAAACTAAAACTATTATTTATGAACTAACATTAACACTAATGACACTAATTTATATATTTTTATTATGTTGTTTGAACCCAAGGGTCTCATTATCTGAATGTTCTAACTTATTGGATTGCTCTATAAGTGCCCCTTTTTTTACTTTGAGCACCCGCCCCGTCAAAGGTCTCTGCACGGCCCTGTTTCAGATACCTCATGTTGAACATGTTACATATCAGTTTGGACTGTTTATTGAATTTTCTTATAATTAATTCAGTCCAAAAAAATCGCTAATATTGTCTGGCTGAATTTATCTCAATATTTCATGATATATTGTATTGTCTCCCCTGTATCGTCATACGTATTGTATCGCCACAATTTTACCAATACACATCCCTAATAAATAGTAAAAGGCACTTCACAACACAATCATTCACCCATTCACACATACATTCACACACTGATGGGGATGAGCTACAATGTAGCCACAGCTGCCGTAGGGCACACTGACAGAGGTGAGGCCTGCCTAAGTTTTCTCTGCAGGTCAGTCTAGCTGCATTCCATCGTAGCCTCAGCAGATTTCTCATTGGCCCAGCAGTATTGTGTTATGCCAACTGCAGTGCTCGATCGGTCAGGTGGGTGAAATTATGCAACTGAGCCAAGAAGGCGGCAGCTCATTTGAAATGGCTTTGATATCCATGTTGGACCATTTAGACTTAAGCTTTGTTTTGAGTGAAGAGGAGTTATAGGTAGTGTGTAACAACAGTTAAACAGTGTTTGGCTTTTGTTGTTTTTATGACCCATAGTAGCATCACTCAAACATGTTCTGTATTAGTTTCCTTCACTCTGTCATTTTCCATACTTTTTCAGATTTTAGAACACCAAAACTAAAATGTCAAGCTTTTCAAGAAGACAAGACACAGAACTTAATTTGATTTGGATTCATTTATTGAGCAGAGAAACAGAACATCTAATTTTGTAAGTACATTTTAGAGTATTTGCATTTAAGTTTCAGATCAGAGCAGAACTTTTTTGGAGCCATAAACAGTAGTGATCACCAAGTTTGACAATTGGAGAATAAATGGGTTCATAAAGAATGTCTCATTTATGATAAACATAAAGAGAAATGAACTTTTAACAAACCAAAAAGAAACACAGGCTTTTCACTTTCACCATTAATCTTTAGAATAATGTAAATCTGCAGCTAAAAGTGCTAAACGCAATTGTATGCCTTAATAGTTGCAGTTTACGAAAGGAGCATGCTGGATGGTGAGCTGGGGGCCTCAGTCTGAATCACCGCTTCTGCTGGAAGACTTGAGAAAAAAAATCTAATTAGTATTTTTGAAAAATGTATTGGAATCTATTTGACTAGGAGAAAAATTGAATATCTAACTTTGTAATACATTCTAAAATAACTAACTTTTTTGCAGCCTTGTACAGCAGTGAATTAAGAAGAAGAAGAAGAAGATATCATTTCTATAGCACCTCTCAAGATAAAAATCACGAGGCGCTTAAGCATAACATTAGACATTTAAACAATCTACACTACTTAACATGTGAAAAGTCTGAGAGAAATAAAACATTTAAATTCTGCTAACAGCAAAAATCATCCCAAAACAAAAATTCTTTTTCATCAAAAACAAATGTTAAATTTAAAGATCTACTTATTTTAACATGCTGTTATATCGTCAAATTCTTATTTAAAACGTGACCTCACCTTGTTACGTTAGTGGTGGTGGTTCCCATACCCGTGGTTCCCATGTCCGTGATTCCCATGTCCGTGGTTCCCATGTCCGTGGTTCCCATGCCCGTGGTTCCCATGTCCATGGATCCCATGTCCGTGGTGCCCATGCCCGTGGTGTCCAGGCTTATGAGCTTTGTGCTCACCCATCATCACTTCATCTCTGTTGGGACAGTATGGGTGAGGATCTAGCTGAACACCTCCAGGAGGGACCACTGGATATCCACCAGGATAGGCATTGGCCCCATGAGGTCCACAGGGCATCCCTCCTGGAGGTGCATATGGCATCATGGATGGATTCATTGGAGCTGGGTATTGACCTGCAGGGTCAGGATATGGTGCCTGGGGATAGCCCCCTGGTGAAGGAACAACACAAAAGCACAGTTAAACACCTGCATGGGATCAGGTAGCCTAGGAATCTAGACAGACCGTAGCAGTAAATATTTTGCTGTGCTTGTCAGTCTAGCCACGCTCCATTGCAGGCTCAGTAGGCCCTAACAAATTAGCTTTAGCCAATCGTAGCACTCTGTGGAGAGACGTTGGCCGAGCTTAGCATTCAAGCTGCTGCGATGCAGAAGAACAAAAATGGTGGTGCCAGCTCAGGAACAGTGCTCATTTGAAACAGCTTTGGCATCAACTTTGGACTTGGACTTTTCTTTGAAACATTTGCAGACAGTGGTACTTTGGACATTCATTTAAAAAAAGAATGTGTTTGTGTCTTCTTTGTCTTTGACAGTGTATAGCAGATTGATTTTCGTAGCGATAAATACGTGACATTGTTTGTTACTCTGATTGGTCTTCCTAGAACAACCGTTGATTCCACTCAACCACCGAGCTCTGTCTATGGGGCATGGCCAGACTATATAGGATGGCTTGTAAGGGTTGGGATAATGTACAACAGAGATCCCACAATGTAAATCAAAAAGATGTCTGATGATAAATTTGATATCATACCTTGATTTGGCCACATAGTTTCACTGTTGCTTTGATCAGCAAATGAAATCGGGTTTCACACAATGTCCTATACAGACAAAAAATACATATAAGGTTTATTCAATTAATGAAGTAAGAGAGTAAAAATGAAGCTCCAAGGTATAACTAAATGTTTTAAATGTAAATTCATTCTGCACTAAAAATAGGCAAACATATTTTCTACCCTACATAAGTTAAAATAAACTTAAAAAAAAAACAAAGAAAATCTATTTCTTAAATGTATTTTTTTTCTTTCTTGGTTATTTAGCAATATAATACTATAACTATGCTTAAAACCTTTCCGTGTAATCCTTAAATGAGATTGCAAATAGAAATGTTTTTTATATTTGAAAAGGATTTTTGTGGCTTTTCTTCAGAAAAATTCCTCAGAAAGCTGAATATTTTGACAACTATGAAAGCTAAAATAACAAAGTTATAGCTGGTAAAAGGAGAAGAAGCTGAACAATGTTTATTGAAATAGCAGAAAAATTGCAGAACTAGCGCTGGCGATTAAAAAAAAAATACGGATGTAGAAGTTGAAAGTCAGAATAAAGACAAACAGGAAGCATAACTGCCTCTGAAAACAGAGATTGTTTTCTGATTATTAAGAGCAAATTTACCACAATTTTACCAGAAAAAGGTATAAAAGTTTTTAAAAAGTACTAGATCTGTATCATGATTGTTAGAAATCAAGAATCTTTTATCCAATAAACAGCATTAGAATATTTAGTATAATTTGTAGGTTTCACTGGAAGTCTTACCTCTGCTGCTGGGTCTGAGAAACTGGTGTTGCTACATTTACTTGTAGGGAAGGTGCATAAACCAAACGCCCTCTGTTAAAGAACGTGACGTGTTTAACATAATGGCAAATATGCTGAAATGAAAAGTAGCTCAACTGGTTCAAGATGTATCCTGTGACAATTTTTCAATAGTTGTGTATTTACTTTTGTTTGGTATGCAAGCAACATAATGTAGGACGGGTCAACATGGTGGCTATGCAAAGGCGTGTGTGTGTGCGCGCGTGTGTGTGTTTTCAACAGCTATGAGCCAAAATGAAGAAAAAAAATCCAGTGGGTTCATGAGTCTCCAGAACAAAGAAAATGCGAATGTTTCAATGGGACTAAACAATGGAATATTTTGAAAAATATAATAGAATCTATTTAATATTGCAAAACAAATGTATATATAACTTTTTATTGCATTAACCATTGCAGGAATGAGCAGAACAACTTTATTGCAGCCATGTGCGCTAGTGAGCATAACATTAGACATTTACACAATCAACACTATTGTGTCAAACTTCATGTGTTCAGTCTAAGAGAAAAAAAACATTTTACATCAGTTCTGCAAATTAACTGCAAAAATAAATGAGTTTAAATGATCTAATAACCTACCAACCCATACCTCCAGCTAAACCTCCAACAAGGGAATGTACCCCACTATGATGGTGACCCTTTTGTTGATCATATTGTGGATCTTTTTGGTGAGAATGACCAATGTGGAAACCTTTGTGGTGATCCCCCATTGGGAGGGTAAGGGCCTGGATAAACACCTCCTGGAGGGGCCATTGGATATCCAACAGGAAAAGCAATAGCCCTAGGAGCTCCATAGGGCATCCCTCCTGGAGGTGCATATGGCCCCATGGCTGGGTTCATGAGGACTGGGTATTGACCTGAAGAGTACCCAGGATTCAGTGCCTGCCCCCTGGTGGAACAGCAGGGTATGCAGAGTTGTAAACAGGAGCATCTGAAACAACAGCACAATTTTACATAGCAGAACCCTGTGTCAGAACCAAACAAGGTGAAGCTGGTTATAGCTACTATTCTTGACACAGATGGAATCAGCTTCCTTATTACCTCAAATGTGCCCCAACTCTAGTAACTTTTAAATCAAAATTGAGAACTTTCATGTATTCATCAGGCTTTGAATAAAGGTTTCTTAATGTGCACCTTCTTCACTGTAACTGCTCACCCTTTAACTTTGCTTTAAAAAAATCTTATTCTTACATTTTTACATTTCTTATTTGTGTATTGAAGTTTGATCTAATCTTATCTGTGTATTTAAATTGGATTTTAAAATCTGCTGTTTTGTGCTGTCACGGTGATTTGAATATTTTATGTTCTTGCTGTTCTTGCTCCTGGCAAGCAAATAGAATTGCTTCTGTATACGAAATGTACCATTACAAATAAAGCTGCCTTGCCTTTCTTAGAATTGGAAGTTCTAAACGAACATGTTGTTCTCCTTGACTCAAGACATCAGTGCTCGCCAGTCGACTTTCAAGAAACTCCTTAAGACCCAGCTCTTCAGAGAACATCTTCTGAACTAGGACCCTCCCTGCACCTGTCCCCTCCCTCTACTGTCCACTCCTTGTTCACCTGCCCCTGAGTCATTATGCTGCCTCACTGCCACCTAGGATTGACTGATTAGTGTTTGTTGTTAGCCTCAAGGGCAATTTGCTGGCTTCATTATCACTTGTAAGTCACTTTGGACAAACGTGTCTGCTAAATACATGAACATAGTTACTTCTAGCCTACAATCATAGAACACCAAGTAACAGGAGAGTGTGACCACCATGATAGACAACTCGGCAGTTAAACTGTGGCCCCGTTCCCACCTGGTTAGGTAGGAATCGGGAGAAGCTGTGAGACACAGGGAACAAAAAGACAGTTGAGCACAAACAATTTTTGGAAAACAAATGGATTAACAGAAACCTGGCCCCAGGGGAATGCAGAAAGGATATTTTTAAAGATTAAAACAAATGTTTATTCTAAGCAAAACCAATTATGAACACATAAGAAACCAGATGTGTGTGAAGATGTAAAAATACACACACACATGCATCAGCTTCTGCACATTCTCCACGATCCTGTTTACTTGCCCCACATCATTTTGCTTGGATGTCTGAAGTCAAGGACTGATTTGTCACAAAATTTTGAACCAGTTGAGCTAAGTTTTATTCCGTCAACCAGTTGAGCTAAGTTTTATTCCGTCACCTTTGCCTGCGATCAAAATGTCACATGTCCTTAAACAGAGGCTGTGGATTCATGCATTTTCCCTACAATTGTTGAGAAATTCAACATAAGAAAAACTGAGCCAGTTGAGTCACTTTTCACCTTTGCCATTACGTAAAACACGTCACCTGTTCTTTAGGAGAGGGCATGGGTTTATGCATCTTCCCTACAGACCCAACAGCAGAGGCAAGATCTCCAGTGAAACATACACATTATACTGAATATCCTAGAAAAAGTTTTTACTGTAGATTCTCGACTTTTATCATGTTACATAACTTTCTGATGTAATTTTGTTAAGTATTTATGTAAAATCCCCGTTTGTGACATAATAGATCATAAATGTGTTCTCAGGTGTTTTATATCTCTTTTAACCCTTTAACTGTGGTCAACCATGTGGTAGAGCATGTTTGCTATGTTTTCTTTAAATTTGTACTGAACACAAATGAAAAAATAAACTACAAAACTAAATAAATTCCAAAACATATGAAGATAATTCAATAAAAATTTATTAGCATACATTATTATTGTGCATTATTATCAGATGGTATTGGTGAATGGTCTGTTGTATAGAACTAACCCCCCAAGGCACTTCACAAAACAATAAGTAATTCAACGCGCACACACACATTCACCGTCGCTCTAACCACCACCATCAGGGAATGTGCACACAAACAGTTGAGTCAAAAATAATCCAATCTGGGTTGTTTTATAACTCACCTGCAGGATGATTATAGCACCAGCCCAGCTGGAGTTGTTTTGAACCAGCAAGATGGGTTGGTCCATTTAACCCAACCGCTCAATATAAAACCCAAATACGGGGTCAAATTAACTAAAATCCTGGCTTGTTATACTTTGTCAAATTATCAAACATGCCTAATTAATTAGAACACATTACAGTGCAATGTATAAAAACCTCTTCATATTCCTGATGGTGGCTCCAGCGTACCACCATTGAAGAGGTAAGGACTCGATGATTGCTGTGTAGGACTGCCTCATTAACTGTACTGGTAGGTTGAATTTCTTCAGCTGCTTCAGGAAGTACATCCTCTGCTGGGCCTTTTTTATGATGGTGGTGACGGTGGGCTCCCACTTGAGGTTCTGCGTAATGGTGGTGCCCAGGAAGCAACAGGGTTATGGAGGGAGTGGGGCTGTGTACATTCTAAAGTCCACAACAACCTCTGATGTCTTCTGGGTGTTTAGCACCAGGTTGTTGTGGCTGCACCAGGACATCAGCCGTTTGACCTCCATTCTATAGGCAGACTCATCCCTGTCCGAGATTAATCTGATGGTGGTGTGGTCTGCAAACTTGACTAGCTTGACAGAATTGTAGTTGGAGGTGCAGCTGTTGGTGTACAGGGAGCTGAGCAAGAACACAACCCTGAGGGGAACCGGTGCTGATGGTCTGCCGGTCCGAGATATTCTTCACCAGCCTCACTTGCTCCTTCCTGTCATTCAGAAAATCAGTGATCCACCTTCAGGTGGGGTCAGCCACATTCATCTGGGTCAATTTGTCTTGGAGCAGGTCTGGGAGGATTGTATTGAAGGCAGAGCTGACTATGCCCAACTTTAGTTTATTATAACAAAAACATTTAAAAGTCTTTACAAAAAATAAAAACTGCAAAGTCATATGAAAAAATTAGTGACGACTCTCCAGGAGGCAGCCATGGATGTTTTAAAAGAATTTATTTTAAAGTTAACAAGTTAGGACTTGAGCAGAAATGGGTAGGGAAACTTAACGGAGAAAAAAAACATGCACCAACAACCACTGGACAAGCAGGGTATCGGGGCTTTGGGGGTGCCACTGGTTCCACGCAACATGATGCAGGGCAGGCCAGTTTTACTCACGAGGTTCAAAAGAGTTGTGGAAGATGTGCAGAATATGGTGTGTTTACACCTTCACACACATCTGGTTGCTATAGTTCTTGTTTCATAAGATTTTTTATGCTATTGTCCAGAAAAAAAAACATTTTCACTGCATTCATCTTTTTATCAGGTGTTTTTTTGTTTTCTAAAACCCAATTTTTGCATTCCCCTAAAGCAGGTTCCTTTTTATCCATTTGGTTTTCTTAGAATTGTTAGTGCTCGACTGACATTTTGTTCCTCTTGTCACAGCTTCTCTGTCTATTCCTACCTAACCAGGTGTGGGTGAGGTCACAGTTTAACTTAGGGTGTTGTCCACCATCGTCAGTCCTGCCCTCCAGGAGTTAGATGCTTTCCTGCTCCAACAGAATAAATGAGCTCATCATGACATCATGGTTATGACCCATTCACTTGAATCGGGTGTTGGATTTGGTGTCCTCTGACCTAGCAGTAAAGGTTTCAAATCACGTATGTATCATGGAAAAGTCTTTAGAACTTTTCCATCTGAACTGGAACTGAAAACTTTATTCATAATTTGATGTTAATGTTTAAAATCCTAAAGTTTCTGTCCTTACAGCCTGTACTAACTTGAAGGGAGAAAAGATGGTAAAGAGGCAGACGTTAGAAGTTAGTAATGAAATGAGATCAATTTAATCCAGCTGTTTAATCCAGCATAATATAAATTTACTCATTAAAATGAGAATAAGAGCATTTATCTAAATAACCTGTTTCACTTTTTATGCTTGCTGCTTCAACTAACCCGCTGTCATCTGGACAAGCAGGCAGCACTGTGAGGGTCATGTTCTTTGATTTCTCCAGTGCATTTAACACAATTCAGCCGGATGTACTTTGCCAGAAACTCCAGAAGACACAGGTGGGGGGTGGGGCTCAACTATTGCCTGGATTAAAGACTACCTGACAAACAGACTACAGTTTGTGAGGCTGAAGAACTGCACATCAAACCAGGCAATCAGTAACACTGGAGCACCACAGGGGACTGTACTCTCACCATTCCTTTTCACCCTGTACACCTCAGACTTCCAGTACAAATCAGAGACCTGTCATCTACAGAAATACTCAGATGACTCTGCAGTTGTTGGGTGTATTAGATGGACAGGAAGCTGAGTACAGAGAGCTGGTGGAGCGCTTTGTGGCATGGTGTGGAAACAATCATCTGACCTTGAACGTGAACAAAGGAGATGATTTTAGACTTCAGAAGAAACAGGGTGGAGTCAAACACTGTTTCCATCATGGGAGAAGTGGGGGTGGTTGAGGAATATAAATACCTTGGAGTTCACCTGGACAACAGACTGGAGAAAACAGCGAAGCCGTTTACAAGAAGGGACACAGCAGACTGCACTTCTTGAGGACGCTTAGGTCCTTCAGTGTCTGTAGCAAGATGCTGCAGATCTTCTACAAGTCTGTTGTTAAGAGTGTAATCTCTTCAGCCATCGTCTGTTGGGGTAGCAGGGACCTGAAAAGGCTCAACAGCCTAATAACAAAGGCTGGTTCTGTTCTGGGGACGACAGTGGAACCACTGGAGGAGATAATGCAAAGAAGGATTCTCCAGAGAATCAAGAAAATGATGGACAACCCTGAGCATTCTCTTCACAAGACTGTCCGACAACGGAAGTGTCTTCAGTCAGAGGCTTCTTCAGTTTTGCTGCAACACTGACCGCTACTGGAGATCCTTCCTGCCAACAGCCATTGTAATATACAATAACTCTTTGATGACTTGATTATTATTATTATGCTGAGCTATTACAGCAATTTCCCTCTGGGATTAATAAAGTATTTTTGAATCGAATTGAACTTATACATACATTGCACACATTACATTTATTTACAAAACAATTACAAATCCAATGATGGGAAAAATATTCAAATTTGTTGTGAGAGTACAATCTGGAGCAACAGGACATGTATTCAAGGTTCGCTTCAAGCCAGATCTTTTCCAGTTATAATTTTGGCATTTATTATTAAAAGTTTAAAAAAAAAAAACTTTTCCATGTTTTACTTCTGAGTATAAAACTTTGGTTTGGAGCATCTCTAGTCACGATTTTATGGAAATCATTGCAAAATAATTCAGTGTAAAAGTAAATGGCAAACAAAAAAACATCTGCAAAACAAAGTCCATGAAAACAAGTGTACCGCAGGACTTAAAGGAAACTGGACTAGAACACGACAGACTCTTGAGGTTTACATATTTAATCTGCATTTGTAGATATATGTAAAAATAAGATTTAAGATTGATTTTGCATGAAACATACAGACAACTGAAAGACAATCATGTAATATAATCTTAGCTGTGCTAAGACGCTCTGTAGCATTTACCAAAAAACATATATACAAAAAAAATTAATGTTGCTTTTAGATATTAAAGCATGATGGCTTGAATGTGTGTGAACTTACAAAAGAAGTTAACGAGTTATTTAAGTACTTCAGCGCTCTGACATGAACACCCTTACACAGATTAGAGCTTCTGGCCTCAGCCAGCCATGACTTAATGTGCACAGACATTAATTGGATGATGAAAATACAAGTTATGAATGTATTCCGCAACAGCGGTTAAAAAAACATGTTTGCTGCTGAAGCTTCTCCTTTTTATGAAGAGATCTTTCATTTTGAGATGATTTGGGCCAACTAGCCTGAGGGGACCTGACACGGCAGCTCGCTGTGACGGGTCAGGAAACTCCTGAGGTGAACGACGAGAAATAGCAAAGCTCACAGCCCCAGGAAAATAAAATTAAAAGTAGAGTCTGACTTAGTGTCATCTCTTCACTGAAGTAGTTTGTACAAAGAATTTCACAATCTACAAATTCATCATGAAGTGTGCTGATCTGTTATTGCAGATGGGAAACGGAGGCTGGATCTTTTTGAGAAACAGATGTTAGTGTAATGCCACTTCCACACAGGGGAAATGGGATTTCACAGTGATTTATCTAGATCTGAATCCCACTCACCCACCTCTGAGCCCTAAATGCCAAAGGTACCAAAATATAAGATTAAAGTCAACTTTCTGCATCAGATTTACAAACTCGCCTACAAAAAAAGTTCTGGAACGATGCCCTTTTTTTTAACCCCACAAAGTCCAGTTAGAACAACAATCCACCAACAGCACTGTTCTCCACTGTTTCTAGAAGCTGTTGCCATTGATCTGGTGAAGGTCCACTTGCATCATATTGATACCGCTGTTGGCTAACCGAGCTAGGCTTTCTGCAGATAAGGTTTCCATGGTGACGATTGTGTGCTGGTCGTTGGCCGATCCCATACCATTTTCTGTTGCTGCTGATGGGGACGCAGCATCAGCTGAGACAGTTGTGCTGGTGCTGGTAACGGGGGCCATTTTCTTGTTCATATGAGTCTTGATATGCTTTGACAGGTGGTCGCTGCGCATGAAGCGCTTTGGGCACTCGGTGCAAGCAAACCTTTTCTCACCTAAAGAAAAAAAAATTAAGTTTAAACACCCACAACACACACACACACACACACACACACACACACACACACACACACACACACACACACACGAGTGCTTGGAGAAAGATGGCAGCATGTATCTAATGAGGTTTATTTTCTGTTCTGTTTACCTCGGCTGAGGTTTCAAAGGGAATGACATACTAGATTTTACTAATTAAGCAACTGGAAATATGCATGTGACTTTTATTTTGAAATTTTCTGGATATATTACATAGCTTTTGTGTTTGACTTCCCATCTGGCCCAATCTGAACTGCTGAGCTTGATGCGCTCTGAAAGCTTGATTAAAAAAATAGACTTGAAGCGTAGATTTAGCAGAGAGACACATCACTACGCTTCTGGGAATGGTCTAGAACGTGACGCTTTCCTTTATAACGGCAAGTAATAGCCGCATACTATGCTCCACTGACATTACACGTCCGATGGGAAAGCCGATAATACTGTTGGCTACATTTACAAATATTTGGTGACACTGTGTAGTAGTTGAGGGGAAATTACATCTGTACCACATTCTGGTGCAAGAAATATAGATCAAATCACACAAGTATACGTTCTGAAGTCATACCTCTCCCTAGAAACTAAATTTTGTGTTTTTCTGGCTCATGGGGAGTGCAGACACATTTTTTCCTCCTCTCCTCCTAACTTATCCTCAAGGCTCTTTGTCTCTGTGCTGGGTGCACGGCTGCTTCTGCATTTTTTCTGGAAACTGAAATGACTAAAATGGACCTGGTCAGTTGGTCACTCAACGCGATTGATAAAATTTTTTCAACGATGCAAACGGGAGAAGGGGCTCCCAGATGCCCCTCTGGGACAGACCCAGTTGGACACATCATGGACTCCTGGAAACAGTGGAACTTGATCTGTTTATCTCAGCTGTCTGTGGAGGATTCTGAAGACGTGTGGATATTCGTGGTGTTGGTGTCAGGTTTCCTAGCCTAGGAGGCTTCCTGGCTTACCGGAAAATTAACGAGCTGTCGAGGAATATTGGCTTGCTCCCGGAGCTCAGAGATGGTTTGCACCGCGCTGTGAATTCACAGACTGACATAATTGTCGAGATTAATAGTAAGCTTGGAACTTTGGCCGAGATTCATGCTTTGGCACAAAAGACGGATGCCATCAAGGAAAAAGTGGACGAATCAGCACGGATTGGGATAGATTAATGTATGCCATTATTGGGATTTTGAGAGGTTGAGGACCAAGGAACTCTAATACAGAGAGGAAATTATCTCTGTCTGGCCCCAAAACAATTTCTAATCTGAATCTGGTGCCCTTGAGCCTGTAAGGCTCCAACGAATACTCCCCCTCAGAAAAAATGTGGAATGCTGTCGCTAACTGTCTCCTATCCCAGCCTGGGCGGGACTTCGGACTGTGAAGGCTGACGAATTGTTCCAGGAGTCACTGCACACTCCAAACCTCAATGACCCCCCCCCCCCCCCCCCCCCCAGACTGAAGTGACGAGCGCTGCTTATCGGGGCTGCAGGAACTGAAGTGTGGATAGTCCCAAACCCACCACCCCACCTAGTGGACACAAGTTGTATAATGTCTAAAGTCTGTTGCATTTCTGTCTGTGTTTTTTGCAGAGCAAAGCTGCCCTCCCTGTGGAGGGTAACTCTGAAGTGCCTTTTTTCCCTCCACCTGAACCAATCCTCATGTAACCCTCTGATCTCTATTAAGGTAGCACGACTCGTGTTGCGAATGACCACAGTCACCAATTCTTGTCATGTGTCTTGCCCATGTATGTCTGATCTCTGAATTGTGTGTACTGAAACTCTAATTTCCCTCTGGGATTAATAAAGTATCTCTGAATTTTACCTGTGTGTGTTCTCTTATGGCGCTGAAGCTCATCTGAACGAGTGAACCGTTTGCCACAGAACGCCCAGCTGCAGACAAAGGGACGTTCTCCAGTGTGCCAGCGGAGATGTGCTCTGAGGTGGGATGTCTTGCCGTAAATTTTCCCACAGCCACTAATGTGACAAATGTGCTGCTTCTTTTTATTTGGGTCTCTGTTGGACAAATAAAATAAACAATTGCCAAAACATGAGTTTGAAAGAATTATTTGCTTCCAAATTTCTAGGTCAAATTACCCTCTGTATCGAAGTAAGAATGGACACTAACCCCAAAATTCCACTATCTCCGCTCCGCTGCGCTCCGGCACGAACTCCGCAGCAAAATCGATCCCGTTGTAATCAATCAGAGCTGTTCCACTACTGTGGCCATGCGGCGCAGTGCGCCGCCCGCCGTTCCGCCATCTGGCAAAAATAGGATCGATTCTATTTTTGCCGGACGCCGGAACACCTCCGCAGTCAATGGACAGAAACCACAACCGCCCAACAGGAAAAGGAGTAAACACAGCTTCCGTTATTTCACAATAAATTGATTAAAAAAAAGGAGTTTTTTGTTTCATATGCACAGGTTTAACAACTTTTAACAACTATCAATGGCGGCTGAACTTTAAATGCACAAAAATAAGCCATAAATACAGTTTCTACTATCAAAGTAGTCACCCTTTGTTGATCCAAGCACTGCTGATCTCTCAACACAAATGATGGGCAGATTAAACAGTTCATTTCGATGCTTCTCCCACACAACGGGTCGGGTGTTTGGATCTAAGTTCCACGTTTATTGCTCGGACTGTATTGCAAGATCTCGAAAATCCCGCGCATGCCCGTTTGCGCACCTCAGGTCTCCGCACCGGAGCGGGTACCAGTAAAAATTGAGTTCGGAAGGGAGCGGCTGCGGAAGGCGGGGGCGGAGCGGAGGTAGTGGAATTTTGGGGTAATGGAAGATTGCAGGAACTTAAAACATTAGTTCTCCATTCTATCATCACCAATGCTCACTCGTCTCTTGGTGATTTCCATAGTGGAAAATGAATAAACAACGTATAACAGTCAAAACACTTGGACAACACTTGTCCTTTTATCCAAACTTATTTTGAGCCTGAGAGGGTTAAAAAAAAAACACATGAGCAATTAAATGGTTTCAAACAGCAAACCTGAATTACCTCACCACTAGATGTCACTAAATCTCATGTAATGAAAGAAAAATAGACATTTTTTGACCAGCATTGACAAATGTACTTACGAAATGTTTTTTTTTTAAAGATAAAAGCATGTTTTGTTTTTGTGAAAAACTAATTACAAATAACATTTCATCATAAGAACATAAAAACTCAGAGAGTTACATTAAAATCTGACCAGGATGACATTATAACATAACCTTCAGTCACTCACCGGGCCTCTCCATCTTTGCAGAAAGGACAAGTGCAGGCTTCTCTGCGGTTCCGGCGCCCCTGAGAGGGTGGGCTCATGCTTGCATCTTCCATAACTGCACTACTGTCCAAACTTTCTCCAGCAGTCAGCAACGGCTGCTCACCTACACCCATGAAGGAAGAGCGTGGGAAAAAGTGTTGAGGATTTTCTTTGTCTGAAGAAATTTTATTTATCAAACAACCACACTTTTCAGCAAGGTTTCTACTTAATTTTTTATGACAATAACAAGTTGCCGTTAATTGTCTGCAGCTTAGCCAGAATGGCTGAACAACTGGTCAATGCATTTTGCATCCATGGGAAGAGAACACCAAAAACTCAGCTTCATCTCCACATAGCTGGCTAACTGGAGAGGATTATAGTGTTTTGTTGTACCATTGTAAACAAAACCATTCAACCAATTTGAATGATACGAATGTTTAAGCTTTTTTTTTACCCTCCACACTTGTGTAAATGCTAGTGTAAAGTCAGCTCTGACACTGAAAGGTGAATCAGATATTCCATAATTGATTTCTCACAATTGTTGGAATTTGCTCAATTTAGGAGCAACAAACACAAACAGGGTTGAGAGAAGAGGGGAATGGTCCTGTGCTGTAATCAGGGTAACTGCAGGTTGAAGTGAGCCAAATTTAAGACTTTTTAAGACCTTTTTTAAGGCCACTTTGACCAAATTTAAGCTATTTTTTAAAATGTAATTTCTGCTATAATTTCCTAACCACGCCACGAACGTGGGATTAGCCATCCAGTTACCATTAAACTTGCACTTCTCCATGGCGTAAGCTCCCACTAGCTTAACCAGCGAATGTGCTCATCTAAAAATAGCTCCCTTTCACAACCAACTGAATATGTGCGGTTCCGCTTACACCAACATCGTACACAAAAAATGCTGAACACTAACTAGAAATTCACAAAAATGTCATAGAAATAAAACAGTCTAGTTTATTGGGTCTTTGGTAATTTAAGACCTTTGGAAACTGTATTTAAGGATTATTTGTCATTTTTAAGGATTTTCAAAGCCTTAAATTTGGAAAAGTCAATTTAAGACTTTTTAAGGACCCGCGGATACCCTGTGTAATACAGTAACTATGCCAAACTGCCTTCAGTGTAATTTAACTATCAGATGAAGAAATCGAACACAAACAGCTTGTTTACAGTTTAAGGCTCAGGGAAAACTCAGATAGTAGAACTGGTTTAACCAGAATTTAACTTGCATGCAAAGTGAAGCGATACCAAACATCGAAACCTCATTTTAAAGATACTAATCCTGAGACATTGTTGTTGTTTGCATGTACTTTTTCTCTTTTTGCATCTAAATTTTATCATATTTAGGAAATAAATGGTTCGTAAACAGTCATGATAAAATGTGGGCTAATTAAATAGAAATGACACAAATTTGTTTTCCATAACTCAGGAGTTATAGAAAGCATGGTCCTACTGTTGACTGGAGGTTATTATAAAGCATATTGAGACACATAATGAGAAACTTATAAACAAGCTGGTCTAACCTGATGCACCTGTGATGTTGATGGGGATTCCCTGCAGAGGATGCATCTGCAGCCCTGTGCTTCCAAGTGAGTTGAGATTTATGGTCTGAAGATTTGGGATCTGCACCGGTACCGTTCCAGCTCCGGTAGCTCCTTGAGTCTGCCCGAGCTGGGGCAGAGACTGCACTGGGGCTAGTGTTATCTGTGCACCTGCTGGACTCTGGATGTGAAGGGTCTGCCAGCTAACCTGGCCATTAGGGCCTACAGTGCGCAGGAGGATAGGCCCTGTGTTTGGCATAATCTGAAGGTTTTGAAGCCCCTCTTGGCTGAGTGTTGGAGCTGCAAACACCTGACCACCTGCACTTGCAACGGTACTGGCTTGTATGGTCTGAAGAGGTGCTCCACTTTGAATAACCTGAGGAGACTGAATGAGGATTTGTTGAGGCTGCTGCTCTGCTCTGTTGTCTGGCTGAATTGGGACACCAAGAGAGGAGGCTGGGTTTTGCTGGAACGTTCTGCTCCCTGATCCGTTACTCTTCTGTGTGGCAATTCCATAAGAAGAGGTTTGAGTGGTGATGGTGGATTCGCTGGTCATGTAACTGGTCCCACTATTAGAAGATGCTGGCTGTGGAGATTGCTGTACGTGCTGGTTCCCACCCGTTTCTCCACTACCATTTGCATCCCCTCCAGTAGAACCTGTACTGACAGGCACCAAAGTGATGTTTCCATTCAAGGATACTGGCATGTTTGCCAGAAACTGGGGCTGATTTTGTAAAACACCATTGCCTAAGATGTTCTGAATGGGGATGGCTCCCTGAAGGACACTGGGCATGGTTATGATGTTTCCAGCTGCACCAGCTCTATTGGATGCAGCAATAATCTGCTGGCCATTTGGAGAGGACACTATCTGAAACTGTTGTCCTTGTCCTGCTGCAGCAGGTTCCTGTTGAGCATGTGCAAAGTGCAGCGGTTGGCCATCTACTGTCTGAAATTGGGGTATTACTTGGTACTGTATATTAGGCATCACACCTGATATGGTGGTTAGAACCTGCTGACCTGGCACAGATGGGGCCTGAGCTACTACATACTGCTGTGGCTGCTGACCCTGAGTACTTGATGGTGACAGCACCTGTCTGCTTTTGCCATTGTCTCCTGTCATCACCCCTGAGGAATCAGTGGTGATTGTGTTAGAGCCGGAGGATGCTTGAACGCTTAGAGGAACGACCTGCCAGCCGTTGGCACTGGAGGTGAAGACACCCGGGTTTATTTCCAGCTGTTGGTCTGCGGTAGAATCGTTTTCTCCAGGGGTGTCGATTCGACTGCACGTGGCTGCCAGCAAGGCCAAAGGAGACGGCTGCTGTGAGTCCTATAATCAGTATAAATGAAGATCAAACAGGAAAATGTAAACAGACAATAATAACAGAGCATGCTATCTTACATCTATAGAGACAATTGAGTGCCAGAAATTCTGATGTGAACATTTGTTGCTGCACAAGTTTTTAGCAGACTTTCCTGAACAAAATGGATGAATTTCATATTTCAAACCAATTTTGACAGTTACTGTGATACTCTTTAGCTTTTTCTACAATGTTTGGCCTTTGCTGGGATGGCTCCAGCATACACATCAGCCTTGCTTTCTAAACATGTTCTGCCAAGATCCCGTCGCTCAGCCGATCCCAGTCTCTTAGTAGTCTCGAGGATTTAGACTGGGGGGTGACCATGCCTTCTCTGTTTTTTTTTCAATAGACTTTTGAACTCTGGAGATTAAACATGTTCCCTCCTTGTAATGCTTCAAAGCTGGATGGTTTTTGTATCACTTTTCATTTTCCGTCTGTTAGTGGCTTATTTTTGTAACTGTATATTATTACCGTTTAGTGTGCTTTAAATTTTAGGTTTCCTTTGTACTGGTTTTATGTTTGTATTTGATTTACTTACTTTTCCATTCTCTACTTTTACCTTTTTATGTGCGTCATGCAATTTTGTGTTTTGCCTTGATTGGCAGCATGAAGGTGCTTTATAAATGAATGAATAAAACTACTCATGTAAAATCACATCCCCCAAAGCCCCATGAACTCTTTTGTCCACGCATATTCAAACTGGAGAACAATAAAAGCAACCCTAATTATTATAAACAAGATGTTTACAGCAACACAAATAAAGTGGAACATAAATTATATCTTAAACTGTGCAAGGGGATCACATGTTCTAGCATATTGTATATTGGACCTGTTAAAAAATAGGAAGAAAGGCATGATGTTTCAAGTTAAAACAAATTAGGTTCCTTATTCTAAAAGAAATCTAGCTTGTTTAGTGAAAACCATAATATCACTGCGTTTAAGTCTAGCGAGTTTCATTGAAGCGCTTGTAGGGGAGTGGGCTTCACAGAGAAAACGCATTGGGTGAGGGGACATGGGAGGGAGGGACCACATTTTCCGGAGCAGCGGCGGGCTCGGCTTCCCCTCCCCCCAAGCCCACCCATCTCCCTCCCACACTTGATTTTCGCCCTATAAACTAGCACACTTCACTAGCCACCCCCTCCAAGGAGAGCCAAATGGGCCGAGCGAAACATACAAGAAGTGCCCGGGTTAGATGGGAACACCCCGTGTGGGCGAAATTTACCTGCCCAGTTCCCACCCCGATGACATGTGCTCTGGTGAGAAAATCAACAACCCGCTCAGGTCCAGACACACACGCACAGACGAACACAACAAATTCAACAAGTGGCACACACGATGAGAACGAAATGTCGCTAAGTGGTTAACTTACTTGTGAGTTTGTGTTTCGCTTCTGGCTGAATCCTCCGCCGCTCTCCACAGCGGCCATTTCACCCTGCTGCTGCTGCTGATCTGCGGAAGAACACTTGTAAGACTTCTTGGAACATAATAGATCAGTTATACACGAAAACAAAAATCAAACAAAGAAAAACGACTACATGTTTCACAACAAGTCAACTTAAGAATGCTTTGTGGAAGATTCGGGTTGGAAAACATTTCAAGCCCTCACAAGGCCAGTTAGCTTGTGAGCTAACGTGAACTCAGCACAAGTAATAAACAATAAACTAGTTAAGCATTAATTAAGTGCACCAACGCAGTTTCCACCGTTCTGATAAAACATTACCGCTATTTTTTGTTTGAGGAATACCATAACCTACAATTCTAAAGAGGGGACAGCGTCGTTTTCGAAAGAACCACTAACAAGTAGCGTTAAGTAACAATAAACTAACGTCACTTTAAAACTGCTTCAGACTAGACAACAATGCAGCGCAAAATCCACCACTTAATACAAATAACACGATGTTGCTACGTCATACCCTTGAGTTATAAGTACGCACGTAGTATGCCTCCAAGTTTTAAAAGTCCACTTACTGCTCATAATTAGAAGACGGGAGGAGTTTCTGCTCTTTTTTCAGCTTGACAACTTTTCACAACTTCACACAAACTTAAGTTCCCCCTCCCTTTGAAGTAGGCGTATGAGTGCGTTCGATTTATGTAAACTAGATTCGAGATAGTGCAATGAACTTCTCAAACCTATTTCAAGTTAGACTACTTTTTAACTAGAGATTATAAAAATATAATTTGTGAAACTTAAGTGAGCCAGTAGATGACATTTTGAAAGAATGCTGGGTTTTCTTGGCGCTTAAAGTAAAACCGACTCCTGAACTTATCATAGACATGTACAAGTTACAAGGCAGAAATGAAACGGTAGAGTGAGTACCGCCACACATGCTGTAAATAATTCAATTCAAACCGATTTAAACTCGGAATATTTAAGATTTTTTTTTCTTTTTCGTTTGGTAGTACGCGTACCGTACTGTGCCGAAAATAAAAACAAGCGCTCCTCAATCAGCAATACGGGTGATGGAATAATCCATTGTCCAATAGAATTGTTTGTCTCGCCTAAAGAGCACCAGTTGACTAATCTAATTTCACCATAGTTGGAGGGGTGGGCGGGATTAAGCACGGTAGGTTGTGCTCTTGAGCATGATTGACGTCGGGTTATTTGTTTTCCGCTAAAACGACGTCACTATAGTTTAGTCCACGTAAATACTGATAATTCGCTTAGCCCCGTCTTGAAGTGGAGTCAAATTTCAACAGTGAAACAACGCCAAACGTTGTTAATGTCTCTGGCCACAGAGGTGGGAAGTAAGGAGGGCTGAACGAGTGCTTGAGTCTTGCCTCCGTGGCCGTTGGCCACTCCCTTGTGGCTTTGTGAGTCGGTAAACAGTAATGTGGCGGGAGGAGTCAGAAAGGGTGGAGAAGAACCCTCATAACACTCACCACACTGGCTACTATGCTGGGCTGGGAGTGGAAGATGGTTGGACTGGGAGGGCTTTTATCTCTGCTAGGGGCTGTCATTGAAATAGCACATGTGTCCATGTATAAACATGTCAGAGGGTGGAGTCCATACATCCATACCACCCTGGCCTGTCTGTTTACACACACACACACACACACACACACACACACACACACACACACACACACACACACACACAATTGAATTTGATTGATTTAGTCAGGTTCAATATTGTGTTCAAATTGCTATGTTTAATCCTGTTATGTAGAACAATTAAGTGCCTTCTGGTTTCTATGCTTATCACAGGATTTATCTATGTTATCACTTCACAAGTACTCTAAAGAATTGCTGTTGGGTAAAAAGTTAGCACAAAAAATGTGCTAAAATCAGGAAATATCAAATAAACAGGATATAACCGGGGCAGTGCTAGTGGAAGGTGTCCAAGGTGTGCCAGTGCCACCCTGACAGCAATCATGGACCTCGTGCCGCAGAGCCTTAACATTAAGTTCTGCTTATTTGAACAAAAGCATGTCAAAGCATTTATCTGGTATAGTAGATGCTTATACAAATATTTTCTTGTTGTTATACCAAAATAATAACCCAGATAACACATTTTGTGCAAAAAAGTCATACTCTGAGACATATTGGAAAGGTGTTGTATACAAAGTGATTGCCATTGTAGATAATAAACGCTGAAAAACTGAAAGACAATGTTTGGAGTGTTTTCTTACAACAGTGCCTCTGTAGCAGCAGCTGGCCACAGCCTGGACCCTCCTTATGATAGTCTAGACTCTAGAGCAGGGGTGTCAAATATGCGGCCCGCGGGCCGGATCCGGCCCGCAAGCGGGTTAAATCCGGCCCGCGAGATGATTGTGTAAACTTTATTTTCATACTTTACAATGTAGAGTGAAAATAAACTTATCTTTGTGAGCAAGTTTTCTCTGTAATGAGTATAAATAAAACAAAGCTGCACTCAAGGCTCACACAAGAACTTGAATCACATCCTGAAGTTGGCTGCCACTCAGGATGTGACTTCTGATATTGATGTGCTGGTGAAAGCTAAAAGATGTAAAGTAAAATGAGTCAAATATATTTTAAGTGCTGCACGAAACTGATCTAGCCATGTGATCTGTAAGCTCTTTTAATCACTAAGGAATGTATTTTTTATTGATTGATTTTTTTTATTTTTTTCAAATTTTCAAGTACACTTCAGGTGTTGTACTTGTACCATTTTGGATACATTGTCCTCAGGCTCCAGCCTTGTTTTATATTGGTTGTATTAAAACAAAGAAAACAATCTGAAGTTGTTTTTAATTTACCGGTCCGGCCCACTTGGAACTAGATTTCTCGCAATGTGGCCCCTGAGCTAAAATGAGTTTGACACCCCTGCTCTAGAGCCTCCCATGGTACATTGACGGTGGCAAAAATTCCACCATCCTCTGCAAAGGCCAGAGTGTGCTTTTCAGATAATTGCAAGTACATCTATTTTCAAACGGTTAAAGAATGACACAGGAAGCACACATATGGTCAGCTTTTAGAGCTGGCCTGTTTCAAACTATTCAGTGGACATACATGCAAAGTAATATAAGGGATCAATTTCATTGTCCCTTCTTGATCAATGTTAGCTTTTGAAGATTATCTGTGCATGAATGATCTTTTTTAATTCTTATTGACTAGAAATAATGTCATTGACACTTTGGTGATTAAGTGGCTCTCTAAACGTTTCTTCAATGGAGACATCGTAGGTGGATTTTTGGTGAAGTTTTCATCAACTAATCATTTATAGCTTACTGTTGATCTTTTGAGCAAAATTAGCAAAATGTCACAACATACGTTTTTTATTTGCAGGAAATCACCAAAAATGCACTTTCATGACACAATCTGACGCACCACTGATAATTATCTTGCAAGTGCTCAGATAAAGTTGGTTAAAGATAAACAACAAGTTTTCATTGCGTTTATTTATGAACGACCCGTAATGATAATCTATTCAAGGGAGAATCTCACTTCAAGTTTATTGAGGGAATTTCAATTGCGTTGCAGCGTGTTTCCTGTTTTGTATAGGCGATAAACTAAAGCCTGATTCATGCTTCTGCGCAGTGGCGGAGCTTGATATGTGCAACATGTGCGGCCGAACAGGGCGGCAGTCTGCAGGGGGCGGCATTTAATTTCCTTTTTTTTTTTTTCCTAAAAAAATTTTTTTTTAGCATCAACCAATACATAAACAAAACATAGAAATCGCATGTTCTTAATAATAATAGTGATGATAATAATATTTCTGTAATAAAAGCACAACAAAGTGTAACCCATATCAACTACTCCCTGTCACATGACCCACGTCAGCTGATGTGAGGTCCCTCTCCTGATTGGCTCCTTCCAAGTTGCGGCAACCATGAAAGCTGCTCCTGCCGTAAGCTTGTTGCTTGTAGAACGGTGTTGGAAAACAAAGCGTTTTTTCCCCCTCAATTCATTTATACTCTCATTTTACCTCAGCGGTAAGTGTTCTTAACATCTACCAATAACACCCTTTTACTTGTCAGTGACCAGTCGATCGTTTTCGCTATAAAAAAATGACCTTGTTCGGCGGAGTTCCCACCGCGAGCAGAACTCCGGTTCGAAAACGCTGTTTTTGAAACACTTTTATTTACTTATGCACTTTAATGGGCTTAACTTGAAACCAAGAGCAATCGAATGATTATTGTTATGTGTTGCCTTGAATTCGGCTATGCTGTCTGTCAGACAGTTGTTTTCCTTTATTGTTGTTTTTGTATTTGTTTGTAGCAAACGCTACTGGAATGTACAGATTGAGCTACGTAGCCAAGATGATTAATAATTGACCTGTTGTACATTCGTGATATGTTTACCGGTAAACTGAATCAAACTTGATGTGCTAATGAACATTTCTCTGGCCTACAGGTCAGGTTTTTTTTCCCCATGTTGAACTGATCTTCTTCATATTGAAGTGGCAAGCTGGTAGGACCATTCTTTCTTCTTGGAATCGGGAAATTAGCTATTATTTACCCCATGAAAAACGGAGGGGCAGCGGGCCGCTGGAGGTGCCCTGCTAGTATGATCCCGTTTAAACTGTAAACTGCCATAAAATAAAAACTATAATAGCTAGAGCGGTCTTTTTTTAGCTGAAAGTTGAGACTCTCGCCTTTCAGCACATCTGTACTGTACAAGTCGATGATGCCGACATGTTGCGTTAAGTGTGTCTATTTCAGTAGAACTTTGACAAGTGGTGAGAAGGTGGCCAGGAGCTGGATGTTGTATTCAGTTAGCAAACGTTGTTATATATACACTCCACACAATCTGAAACAAAGTTGTAGGTGTACTGTTTTTTCGTGTGTGTGTGTGTGTGTGTGTGTGTGTGGGGGGGGGGGGGGGGGGGGGGGTCACAGGGGTATCTCGCACAGGGCGCCATTTAGGCCAGCTCCGCCTCTGCTTCTGCGTCAGTGCGGAGACACGCAACGCCATTATCTGTCCTTGCGGGCCAGCTGGAGAGCCCCGCAAGGACGTACGGAGTTCTGCGCGCCGCATCGCCGCGCTTCACCCGTGACATTTCCTGGAAGTACATATCTGCGCATCTTGCTGGTTGCAGGATGTGCCGCAGCTGCGTCCCACGCTGATAAGTTCTGTTTCAGATGAGATGCAAAGTCACTTCCTATAAACGCATCGGCCCGAGCAGCTGCGATCCGCGCAAACTCGGCTCACATTAACGAGTTTAAGAGTTGAAAACTCGTAATCGCACGGCTCACTCACTGATAAACTAACCTGAGAGCGCTTTGACAATGGAGCTACTGGATATGAAGCTGCGGGTCTCAGTGCGTCTGACAGGCAACGAGAGGAAAGAGCGCTGAGAGAGAGAGAGAGAGAGCTAACAGAACTGAAAGCTGCAGCGTGGTTTACGGTAAAACTCCCTCTTTCTTTGTTAATAATTTTCTTTTTGTTCAAGAATAAATTCAACTAGATTTCACAGAAAACAGGAAAAATCGGAGTGAATTCATTTTTGGGTTTCATCCTGAAAGCTTCAGATTTCGTGCCTGGTAGTTAGTTACTACAATGACTGACAGGAATTCCAGAGTCCATATGCCAACGCACACTTTTGCATTTGATGTTGTGGTCTATAGGCCTCATTCTCATTAAATAACAAGGACAGCTCCAGTTGATCAATGTTCTCTGGTTCTTCTGCCTCTATAGCTTGATGCCCCATCATGCTGTTAGACCGTTGGTGAGTCAAGGTGATGGAGAGCTCGTTGTCCACGGTAAAGCGGCGAGCCTGGATCAACAGCTGCAGACAGTGGTCCACATTAGAGGATGCCGACGGACTGCTCAACCTTCCATCAGCCTCGGTGGCGGACGACGATGTTTTTTCTGACGGTTAGAGTAAAGTCAGAACTAAAATATTTCAACTAACCCACACATGATTACACAAATGTTAAATCCAAAACTGAATCAGGGATTATTTCCACAGGAGGTTTCACTGGAAAGATTGAGAACTGGCTTCTTGATTGTGGGTGAGTGTTTTTGTAATAAGCAGATTTGTTTAAGTTCAGACTTGTGAAACACGAGGTCTAACTCACTGGAAACTTTATGTCAAACTGCAGCAAGCAGAGAATGGAAACTCTCTGAAGTCAGGTGCATACAGGAAGATAAGGCTGCACAGTGGCCACGGCATAGAACAACCTGAGATGATGCACTCTTTAATGTTCCACTGGAAAATAGAAAGAAGGTCACTCATCCAAAACATATATGCATTGAGATGATCATGGGAGAAGTTCATGATGTGAATGTCCTTTAGTGATTGGGGAGTAATTTTGCAAGAAGTCACATGACAAAATCCTTGCCCCTGAATGGCTCTCTTATTACTTGGGAAGTGCGTTTCAAAAGAGACATTGCAGTTAAACACATTTTCACAATTAGATGTGAGCAGTCCACTTTGAGATTATATCTGCATGGAGGAAGTTGTTAGACTTTAGCGGGCTGTTAACAGCTGATAACAGAAAGTCCAGCTATCATTTTCATAAGAAGCTAGTCATAAAACACTGCAGCCACACTTTTGGCAAAAGCATGCAAATCTCACTGACGTATGTGTGTACTTACAATTAAAATGTGTCGCACAGATCAGATGTCTGCCCAGAAAACAGCCATCAGCTCAGTTTTGGTGAGTATGAACACTTGTACTGCGTCTCAGAGTTGAGATGTCACATTAAAGTAGAAGGTTAATTTTAAACTTCATTTGCTTTACATTACCATACTGATAAATTACCGATTATTCAAATGATAGGAGAATAGAAGATTATTTTAATTCTGTTACAATAATATGGTAATCAAGGTGAGAAAAATGATCATATTTAACAAGCTAATAATAAAGCCTTTGATTGTGATGTTGAAGCAAATTGTCGCGAGTTGGTGTAGGAGGATGTTTAGGACCCAAGATGCAGATAACCAGATGAACGAGGCAGGAGGTGGATGATGACAATGAAATCCTTTATGTAAGAGTAGTCCAAGAGTTAGGGAGCCAAAACCAAAAATTCAAAAATTCTAAACTGAGTAATGAAAAACACTAGAGAACTAGAAACACTGAAATCACTATAAACTCTGGAAACACTAGAAGCTAGGAACACGGACGAGACTGACAAGAACAACGGACCGACAAAACACTGGACAGGGTTATATACACTGGGGAGGATGAGAGGGAGATGAACTGCAGGTGTGTGGGGAGAGAGAGACCAGGTGAACACAATTACTAATCAGGGAGGAAACTAACATGGCCTAAGAATAAAACCTAAGACAAGAAGAGCAGGAAACATAACTAATAATCTAAGGGGGGAGAAAAACCACAAACACCAGTGGGAAAAACACACTAAATCATGAACAGCTGTAACTAAAGGAAAATTACCTAAGAGAAAAAACCTAAAGACCAGAAAGGCAGCAAACATAACTAATATTCTAAGGGGGAAGCTGAAAATAAAGGAAAACACTACAGAAAGAAAAACTACAGGGGCGTGACTAAAGGGGGCCAAGGGAGCACAGGACCTGGGAGGGGGATGCCTGAGGAGGGAAACCTAGGGCTGAAGATCTGGGGGCAAATGGGGAACACCAGGAGACACATGAGGAAGATGCAGACAAGGACACATGAGGGCGCTAGGAGACACAAAAGGAGAACCTAGAGAGGGATAGAGAACAGAAGGAGACACGTGAGGGGAGATGCAGACGCAGACCATGACACAAATATTGGAAATATGTATGTAAATGAATGTAATTAAAGATTTTCACATATTTTAGTGGGTCAGTCACTCAGCTTATTTTTTTGTGTAGAGTCTGTTCTGCAGGGCAACAACTTAGCTGATGACCTGAGTCTTGGTGCTGATGGTAAACACACACACACACACACACACACACACACACACACACACACACACACACACACACACACACACACACACACACACACACACACACACACACACACACACACACACACAAACACACACACACAAAGGCATGCATGTACACAAACGCACTGATGCACACATGCACGCACACATGAACACAGGCATGCATGCATGCACACAAACACACTAGTGCACACACACACACACACACACACACACACACACACACACACACACACACACACACACACACACACACACACACACACACACACACGAATAAAGGCATGCATGCACACAAACGCACTAATGCACGCATGCACACACACATGAACACAGGCATGCATGCATGCACACAAACACACTGCACGTACACACACACACACACACACACATACATGAACGTACACACACACACACACATATACATGAATGCACGCACGCACACACTGGCACATACACGTATACACATTTACATATACACACACACATGCATGCTGGGACATACATACACACACACATGCATGCATATATCTACACCAGTGGTATTTGCAACCATCACCTACAACCCATGATAATTCAGTTTAATGTCATCTTACATGGTTTAATCTCATAAATTAAAAGCAGCAATTCTGCTAAATTTACATTTCTAGTGCAAAGAATTGTTATTTTCATAAGAATTTGTTTAAATTGGAGGCTAAACCATTAACAGAGATTGCAGATCACCTGCATTTGTCAGCCTCTCATATGAACAGAACTTTATGATCTGATAACATTTTATTGGACAAAAGCCAGCAAGTGTTTTCTTTAACTTCCTGGTTCCCACCTTGACCGAAATCAGCTGGAAGCTGAACTGCAGCTTTTGGTTTTTACCTGCTGACACCAAGTTCATCCAAAAGTCCAAAGTGATCCTACTAGATTGCATCAGGGAGGCAAGGGAACGTCTCCCGTGTCCTAATTAAAATCTGTAACTTTATGATCTCTGTGTCTTCCTGTTTATGTATCGTGTTGCAGCTCATAAAGAACAACAAACAAAATAAAGAAATTAATAATCAGATTAGGACTTAATGCAGATTTACTACACTTACACAATGTGAAATGTGATTGTTCTTTATTTCATAAACAAATGATTTTGTCCTTTTAGCCTCTATTGTATATGGGAGCCACGTTCCACCTGAAGCTGGGTAAGAATGAACACTTTAACTCTGTTACCTACTGATCACATTTATTACAGTTCCAGTCAAAATTGTGAGTTATGTTTCACCACACCCTGAGGCTGTTTCTGTTGAAGTTGTAGTTTCTGACCGTTTAAAGCTCAAATGTTTGCAAATATTAATCAGATCATCTTTTTTCCCCTCCCTTGTGCTTCGGTTTCCATAAAACCTGCCACATCCTTCCCTCAGAAAACAGTTAAGCAGGTTCAGCAGCAGGTTTGTTCACTTCCTCCTCAGCTCAAAGTGAACGTGTTAAAAATAATGCAGCTAACTCTTTTCATCAGCATTGTTCTACTGAAGAATCACTGTAATATTATTTCTGCTCCGCTTGGGTTTATGTTTAGTACGCCTTGCCAGAGACTATGTCCACCGTCGCTGAACCTGGGCCACAGCATGGCCTCTAGCTGCCTGTCCACTTTCTCACGGAAAACTGTGTCAAGGTGAGATTTCTGCAAAAATCTAGAGATCCAGGCCAAATGTTTCTACTACTAGTCTACCTAAAGGACTAAGTTGCAGCTTGATTGTTTCCATGCTGCATTTTAGTGTAGTTAACTAACCATCGTGCCTCTTTTAGTGTGTCTGAAGTTTTGGAGTTGTGTTCAGAGGATGCTGAGGAGACTCTTTACGAGTTGGGTTTTGGTAGTGAAGAGCCCCAGGTCACTGTGCGCATCCCTCCTCGATTCCTCACCTTTCCATCTCAGGCTCAGGGCATCAACTTCCGCCTCTTCCTGGACGCTCAGATACGACGGATACGAGAGGAAGACCCCAGCCTTTCTCTTGCCAGTAGGACCTTACTTTACTTTACTGGCGCGGCACGTCTGTCTCTCATGTGCCCCAGGTTTAAGACTCCAAATCCTGCTGTTTTCTGCCTCCTTCTCCTCTAACTAGCTTCTACTTCCTGAAACAGGAGCGCCAGAGCCTTTTTTCCACAATGACTCACAAAGTATTCATGCAAATTTATTGAAAAAAAAATGTGAATGAGAGCTTTAACCCTCTCAGGCTCAAAATAAGTTTTGATAAAAGGACGAACAACTAAGTCATTCAGGGGTACTTCTGTGTTAAAAATGCTCATGACATACGTACGTGGAGTAACCTGGTAGGTAGGTTTTAACTGTTGCAAATCTGCAACACCTGCCTCCACAGGGTTAAAAATGTTTTGTCATAATCGTTTGACGTGTAACGATGAAAAATAATTCTGTGACATCTTGTTTTGACAGGTCGTTTCAGACAAGTGCAAGTGCTAACAGCCATGGCCAATGCTTTCTATTCCCTCTACTCCCACGTGTCCCGCACTCCCCTCCAGAAGCTGGAGACTCCAGAGTGTCACATCTCATCTCCTATGGAGAGAATTGAACGGTTCAGGACCAGCATTCGGAGCGAGCCGCGCTCTCCTGTGGAGAGGCTGAAGGACACCGTCAACAAGATGTGCCTCTACACCGGCTCACCCCGTGGGTCAGAATCCACATCTCCACAGCCCTCGCCCAAGAAGAGACCCAGTCTCTCTGAATTTGGAGATGTAGCCCTTAAAACCAAGACTGGTTTTAAGCTGGACTTGGAGGAACTGGATCGGGGCGGTTCAGTGGTGGATTTTAAGCAGATAACAGATGGTAGGAAACTGGAGGAAGCACAGCAGATTGTTGCTGATGCGGGCAATAATCAGAAGGACACTGACATCTGTCGTGTGAAGATGCTGGGCAGCAAACAAACAGATAATGCTATCGGTGGAAAGTGTGTCAGGCAAACTGATCTCAAAAAAGTTAGTCAACATGTAAGAACATCTCTAGAGTCTTCGTTATCAGGAGAAACTGTGATAGAAACAGACCATCTGCTGCCCTCACGTCTGCAAGATCAGGACTCGTGTTTGGATCAAAGTAAGACAAGGACAGCTAAGATAAACCCTGTTGACAAAGTTACATGTGATCTAATCTGCCCGCAAATAATCGAGAGCGTACATCCAGTGCCGTTCTGCTGTCAGAACACACACGATACGGAGAGCTTGCTTCATATCACCTCTGTGGGAGAAAGCTCAGATACAACCTTTCCTGATTCGCCCAAACTTCACACACACACTCTCATCTCTGAGCCCAGTGGAACGCCTTCACAGGTGGATGCTTCCAGATCACTTCCTGTCCTGGAGCCCGATGGCAGCTGCGCTCATTATTGCATCACTGTGACTAGCACGGAGGGGGAAGATGTGTCTTTGAGTTCAGTGAACACAGCAGATATCCACTCTACTTCGCCCTTTTCATCCAGGCAGACGTCCGACGAGTCATTTGACGAGAGGGAGAGATGGTATCTAAACCCGACGGCGCATCGAGGCCTGGACAAATTCTCCAGAAACCAGCGGCAGGTCAACTCATTTGAACTGGAGGAGGTACAGATGACTGGCTGCAGTAATTAACGAGTTTGTTAAAACCCCATAGCAAACTATTTATCTATAAAATGCTTTAAACACGGCATTGCAACCGACCAAAGAGCTGTACGTGAAGAATAACAACACTGGCAAAAACAAGCACACAAACCATAACACACATTAAAACAAGCAGCTAAAGAAGGTCAACCAAACAGGGTGGTACCAGTTGATAAAAGCATACTGTTTAGCGTCCTAGGCAACAGTAGCTCAGGAGGTACAGTGGGTTGTCCAGTAATTGGAAGGTTACAGGTTCAATCCCGGCTCCAACCACAGAATGCTACTGTTGTGTCCTTGGGCAAGATGCTTAACCCGCCTTGACTGCTGGTGATTATCAGAGAGATCAGAGGCGCCAATGTTCAGTAGGCCTCACCTCTATCAGTGCACCCCAGGGCAGTTGTGGCTACATTGTAGCTCATCACCACCAGTGTGTTAATGTGTGTGTGAATGGGTGAATGACTGATTGTATTGTGAAGCGCCTTGGGGGGTTGTAGTATCTAAGAACCCTGGAAGGAAGGACTGCAAAATAAGGGAAAAGCCAGGTGTGATATAAAAACGGTAACGGAGGACGCTTGCCTAACCTGATGAGGTCGCGAGTTCCTCAGTTTTGGAACAAAAAGAAAAACTCTTTCCCCATGGGACTTGCAGTGTGCCTTGCGGACGGTGAGAGTGAGCCGATCTGAAGACCTAAAAGCACGAGGAGGGTGGTAAAGATGATGCAACTCAACCAGACAGGGAGGAGTCAGACCGCTCAGAGATTTGAATGCAAAAAGCAGAGGTGACCCTGAACTGAATGGGAAACCAGTGGAGAGATGTAAGGATAGGTGCAATGTGCTGTAGGCTCCCGTCAGGAACCCTGCTGCTGAACTTTGGGTAACCTGAAATGTGGACAGAGAAGCCATGACAGCACGAGCAGGAATGTGCAACAAACGGTCCATATTGACAAGGATGGGCAGTTTTAATTAATAAAACAAATTAGGAAAATGTGTGGGCTTCGGTGGGCAAGGCAAGGTGATTTTAGTGGAGGAGTTCAAAATGGAAAAAGGACAATGAGGTTTAAAGTTGTGGAACATTCAAACATTTGTTAGTGATTATTTCTGATTATAATCTGTCAATTTGAGTTTTTCATGCAGGCTAAACATGAAAATAGTCTCCTACACCTATCTCCTGCATGAAATAGACGATGGAACTCTAGGATTAGAAAAACCTGACAGATCTACGTAACTGTCACTTAACATTCATAGACTCACCCATCTTGACTCGTGACGGGGAAGGCTGTTGTTAGCTTAGCGTCTAGGAAACAGCCGAGAACTCCTCGGCTAGCAGAAGCTAACTGTTAGCATTAGCAACTCAACCACATAACAGAACTCCTCCAGGCATGTGTTATTTGTGGAGTAAAAAACGGAAAGATTTCTGCATGTTTGGCCTTTTGATATATTTCAGTACGTTTTACAATACGGTAGCATTTTCCCAACACTCGCACAACCAGAGGGTTGTGGGATCGCGTCCCGCTCACTCTGCTGCAGTTGTTGTCCTTGGGCTCCTTGACCCATGTTGCCTGCTTGTGGTGTTCAGCAGCCTCTCCTCTGACAGGGCAGCTGTGGCTCATCATCAGCAGGGTGTGATTGTGTATGTGAATGACTGACTGTGTTGTGAAGTGCCATTGGGGTTGTAGAAACCTAGATGGCGCTATAGAAATACAGACATTTAACATTTAACTCCATACAAGTAGGATTCAAAACTGCAGCCTTCTTGATATGAGGCAACCGTGCTACCATGCAGTCACAGCTTTGAATGAAACACAAAAATTAAACAAATAAAACCATGACAACTAAATAGAAAATCAACAAATAAAGCTCTTTTATCAGTTAATAAGCAGTAAATAAGTTTAGTACATATCATGTACTATATTACCTTTTATAACAGTTTGTAAACTTAACTTTATTCTGTTTCTTAAGGTTCACAGTGCAGGAGAAGATGATGTTGGACAATTAGAAGCTATAAGCACAGCCAGCTCACCGTCATTCAAAAAAGATTCACACAAAGGTGAGAGAGAGAGATTAACTGAGCAGGATTGCTCTTCAGAGGGGAAATGGTGCCTTTCTGTGCTAATTCAGGTCAAACTGCAGCTGCAAAGCCAGTTTTTGTTTGTAACACGTGAAGTTAAACCATCTGCATGTATGTTTGTGTAGGTGAGGTGGTCCGGGGTGACAGCGTGCAGTCTGACAGCAGTGGCTACGCGGATGAAGAAGTCTGCTCTTTAACAGAAAGACACAACAGATGATGGAAAAGCAAAAAGACAAAGAATTGCAGAAGTTTCTGTCAACTTATTCCTGCCCTGAAGATTTGATGGTTTAGAAAACTTAGTTTCAAACTAGTGGGGAAAAATAATCTGCATACATGTAAAATGTTGTAAATCATAAAGAGTTCAACACAACAGGAAGTGGATGGAGTACTTGAGTGGAATGGTTCTTTAATCAGGTGAAAACAACAGTAAAATTACAATATTTTGTTAAAAATGGCAAGTTAGGAGTTCATATTTCATTTACATTTTTGTTACAGGATTTAAAACTGCAGCACAAAAAATGTAGCACCCAAAGTTAAAAAACATTGTTTAACTTCCTCCTTTACAATAATCAGAGGTGGTTGTACTTTAAGAATATTTTTGGTTCCTTACTGAAAAGTGTTCACTCTGTCATTTACAGGGTGAAAACATCACTGCACAGTCTAAAATAACTAATTGATCCAAATAACAAGACATTTTCTTATTAATTTGGGGCTAAACGTGTAGATTTGGTGACATCATCACACTGAAACTAAAATTTAAACTATCAAAATAAAAGTCAAACACTGGGTTAAATTCTAGGCGTCACAAACACAAACGTCTTGAGGTAATTATACTCAGCACGAGTCTAACAGCTTTATTCACCTGGTCTGAGATCACAAAGCTTATCAGGGTTTGGTATTCTAAATGTATTTTAAAAAAAGGATCATATTTTATTTCATGACAAGTACTTCAAAACAGAAAAGACCTTTACAAAACTCAAAAAAAGTTACTAGAATTTGTCAAAGATGGTTCATTCATGGATATTCGCTCCGACGTTGATTTTGTTGTAAAATAAAACACAAAGATTTGAGGAAAAAAACGACAAAGTCAAATTTCTCCATTAATTTGAACTCAAATCAGATAAGCTGATTATTTTAAAACATACTTAAAATTATTAATTTCAACTAACATCATTTGTGACATATGACTCAAAAGTGCATCATTTATGACGTCATGTATATATTTTAAACTTCATATGTAAGAAAACAGCTAATTATATGAAGGATAAATGGGCTAAAAACAATTTTTTTTCCTAAAACAATCTGTCACAAGTACACAAAATATCAAGGGAGTGGGTTTGAGTTTTAGGCTGTGAGATTTTCACCAGCTGGACAACAAATGAACTAGAGATAAACTTGTGTTTAGCTTCAAGGCAGGATAAAAATGTCTCTTAACCAATCTGAGGTCAAAAAGCCTCTACTGTACAACAAGGAGGTGTACATTGGCATCGCGTGGTGGCGAGTTCGGGTCTGCGGACAAAAAACGCGCCCAGGTGTCTCATTTTCCTCCTGCCATGATTTTAAGGTACTGCAGTGCATTGTGAGCCGCGTGGGCTCGAGCAGCTTCTACGTTCGGAGCAAAGCCATGACACACAGTGATGGGTTGTGTGGACAGCTCCACCAGACACTGACAGCGGCCGCTGAGGCTGCGCTCCTCTGAAAAACAAACAAGCATGGATGTGAAGAAAAAAAACGAGGAGTTTCTAACCGCTTTACGGTGCTCCTGTTGTGCTGTTGAGCGTGAGCTCACCGAGGTCGAGGTAACTGACATCAAAGCGCTGCTCCACGGACAGGTCGCTCAGCAACGAGCAGAAGTTGGAGCCAGCTGGCATTCCCAGAGGGTGGCTGCGGAGCTGCAGGATCTTCTCTCCAGCAGAGTTACGCAGAGAATCCCAGGTGCAGCTGAAACTTTTGCTTTTACCCGACTCCGCTCTGCTGCCCATGTGCTGCGTAAATGGGATGATTTTATACACGTTTTACACAGACACAGTAGAGCCAAGCAGAGAAGCTTCATCACCATAACATGGGCACAGTTTGTGATATTTTGAGAATTGCACAAGAAATTTAAGCGCAAGCATATAAATCACTGCTGTGGTGTTTAGCTCTCACCAAATTGAAGGTATCTTCTTCTGCATCTGCCTCGTTGCTGCTCCTCAGGTCCACTGGAACGTCGTGGATCCGTGAGAGCATCTTAGCGGCTGCATTCCTCTTGGCTAACTTCTTAGATGTGCCACTTCCTGGACAGGAAAAAGGAAATCACTCCTTCACTTGGCATAAAAGCAGATTTTGACAAATCCAATTGAGCGTGAAAGCACAACATGCAGATATCAAACAAGAATGAGAGAAGATTTACCAATTTCTACAAATCTCTCCACTCTGCAGGTCATGGTAAACTCTTTTCGATGTGCTGGACCCGACTCCTGAGTGACCGTGTACTCTGGCAAACGCCATCCTTTCTGCACCACCAACTCCTGAAGTAAATCAAAACAGAAAAAAAAAGGAAGGAAACTATAGAAATATTCTAACAGAAACCAGTGTTGTGGATTACCAGGATAAAATAAAGTCTCTATGGCGTAGTTACCTGCAGCGCCCCAACGGGGTTACATTCCGACTGTTGAGAACTGCTGGAAGTCTTCATCTCTGACTGAGAGCTGCATAAAACATGAGAGGACAGACTAAATCCACACAAATCTCTCTCTTCCATCAACTCAATGTTGAAACATCGTCTGGATCCAATCAAGACAAGCCATTAAGCATCACTTAAGCATCGCTAGGTTCTTTTCTACATTTTAAAATGAAGTAGGGTCCTGACCAGTCTCCGTCAATAGGCACATCAACCTCGATAAACACGTCTTCTCCGACAGCGACTCCAGCTGGATCTCCGAGGCTTCCTTTGAGCATCTTCAGAGCAGCCTCAGCTGCTTTGTGCTTAGCTGCCTTCTTGCTGGGCCCTTGGCCGGTGCAGCTGATCTCTCCGACGGAGACGCGGAATGTGAAGTTGGGCTGGTGGGCCTGTCCCTCTGCCTTCAGCAGGTCGTACACTGGGGTTTTGCCTATCCGCGTTCCATACTCCTGCAGCAGACTGATGGGCGTCTTTCCAGGATTCACAGCCAGCATTTGCTCAATACTATTTAAAAGATAGAAAGCATAAGCAGCTGTTCACTTATTTTGTTATCAGCTTTACTGAGATCAAAACACAACAATGTGGCTAGTTTATTGCTGCTAAAATCTAAAGGGCATACGCTACAATGTTCAGTGGAAAAACTACACTTGTCTATATTTTAGTTTCACGAAATGCAACAAGAAATAGGAAAAGTGTGCCATCTTTAAGGCTCAATCCGTGAAATATGTTTCCAAGAACAAAAATACTATCATTTGCCAAATGAATACTGACCCAAATAATAAGTGTGGTGTTTTGAGGTGAGATTCTTCACAGTGTACAAAGGAAATGGGCACAAACCAATAAAACTCTATTATTTACATTATCAGAGTAAAAGAAGGCACTTTTATTCAATGATTTATTTGCGAGGCGGCAGCTACAGCCATCTGGAATGAAGATTTGAACCAGAAATGTTTGCAATCAGCTTATTTTATTACATATATTACAAATGGAATAAAGAGATTTGTGTAATTTATGCCGATCTTTACATTTAGGAAAACATTATATTAGTGTTTCTGACCACCTGTTGCCTTCCAGATTACAATAATCCCTCAAAAATCAACCTAGCAGTAAAAAGCCACCAGATAAAGAGTATTAACGATGAGTCAAACAGTTAAGCTGTAGAGATTAAAAGAATAACAGAAGATTAAACACTTAAAACAACATGCACGCGTTAGTTTCTGAGGCCTTTGACTCTGACATTTTATATTGTTTACATACAAATGGCTTTTATCAAGAAGACAATCCCACCTGGAGTCCCCGGAGTTTCTCTTCCAGCTATCCGAAGCTGTCTCGTCGTTCATTCCCCGTTTCGCGCAGACAGAACCGCTCGGTTTCGGATGTAAAATCCCCCCCGCCACAACAGACACGTACTCTCATTAGACGGTATTTATTGTTGTCCCAAAACGATGAGCTAAAGCTGCAATATGATGGATACCAGAAGACGAAACCACCTCTACAGCGACAACCTCGGTCACACGATTATGACGTAGATTGCGTCCTGGGCAGCGTAAGCCCCGATTGGCCCAAATGCCTTCTGTGCCTCAGAAGGTGGGAATGACACTCATCAAGCATTCATCCCTAAATATACTGATGGGTCGAAAGTGTCAGGAAATATAACGGGATTTTCTTTCTGGATTCCGACATTAAGTATATATTATAAAAGTCGAACATCTAATAATCTGTCAGTTTATACAGTGGAAATGTTAGCCATTTCATTTAGTTTACAGTGGATAGAACAAAATGGTGTTAGGAAAAGTATTATTTGCTCAGACTCCATGTCAGCATTGTTATCAATTAAAGAAATGTCAGCTGATAAGAGGTCAGATATTTTGTATGAAATATTTGAGTGCATGTTTAGGTTAGGTTATACAAAAGGTATAATGATTTCTTATTAATAAAACCTTGTTGCAGCACTAAAGCAGAAAAATGAGATTTTGCAAGAAATATGCTAAATATTTACATATGAATTGTTTTAGAGCCGTTTTATTGGCAGAATCTGATATTAATTTAGTTCTTACAAAAAAATGGGTCCCAACGTGGTTTGTGTGGCGTTGCCATAGTGTGACGTCATAGGCACAGATCCCCTGTCCTCTTGTTTGGAAATGGAAATATGATCACCCTACATTAAACAAACTGTCCACCCGGGCTTTTGCGCTGCACAGAGATGCTTCGCTGCCTATGACTTTGAACGCCAGTTGAGAGTCAGTCTCATTCAGACTGACCAATGAAGAGAGGGCCTCAAGTTTAGACCCTCTCCTCATTGGTCATTCCACACGAGGTGGGTCAAAGGTTACCCTGAGCGGGTTACATGATGTCAGGCATTCAAGTATTGAGTATATTTACTGCATATTACAGTAAAATATTCTGTATGTGACCACATTATGGTGATCCTTGGGTCGTGATGATGGGGACCTTTAATATTGTTGCCCAGGGTACAACTAAGTGTTAATCTGGCCCTGGGAGCGGAGGTAGTGACTAACACAGCACGTCAGCTCTGTCTTATCAAATGCACCAAGTAAGTTACGAAAAAAGTAACTTTAAATATTCAACCGAAAAAGAGGCGAGCTGAAGAAAACCTAGGGATTACTGAAGAAACGTGAGCAACATTGAAGCAATCACAGCGAGATCCGTTACTGTCTGTGTGTGTGCGCGGATGAGCTGGACGGACTGCGCTCCCGGCCGGCTGCAGTTTTCTGTGTAGGGAGGGGCGGGCGCTCTATGTGACTGGCCAATCACAGAGCGTGAAGACAGTCAGTTACCCAATGAGGATTTTCCTTCAGCACGATTACGGATATTTACGTGTTTTACTCGTTTCATGCTCGTATTCGTCAAAAATGCTCATCCCTAATTGCTATAATACATTATAGTAATGTATGTGGTCTAAATGTATTCTACAATAAATAAACTGCTGTGTCTCATTGGTGTGGTTTAGTAACACAATTGGGAAATGATTTAGGTTATTTTGACTAATTTACCTAGGAGCTATTGAAAAAAACCTTAATTTTTTTTAATAAAAATCCTAATAAAATGATCAGATCGCATGAAAGGTGTTAACAACTGCTGTGTCTCATTGATCTAGCTTAGTAACAACACTGAGAAATTGTTTTGGGTATTTTGACAAATTTACCTAGCTATTGGAAAAATCCCTTAATTATGGATAAAAATCCTAATAAAAAAGATGAGATTGTATGAAAGTGTTTATAAATGGCTGTGTCTCATTGGTGTGGCTTAGTAACACAATTATGAAATGGGTTTGGGTGTGTTGACTATTTAGCTAGGATCTATTGAAAAAAGAAATCCCTTAATTTTGGATAAAAATCCTAATAAAAAAATAAAATTGTATGAAAGTTGTTAAAAATTGCCGTGTCTCATTGGTGTGGCTTAGTAACACAATTGAGAAATGATTTTGGTTATTTTGACTCATTTACCTAGGAGCTATTGAAAAAATCCCTTAATTATGGATAAAAATCCTAATAAAAAAGATGAGATTGTATGAAAGTGTTTATAAACGGCTGTGTCTCATTGGTGTGGCTTAGTAACACAATTAGGAAATGGGTTTGGGTGTGTTGATTTTTTAGCTAGGATCTATTGAAAAAAAATCCCTTAATTTTGGATAAAAATCCTAATAAAAAATCAAATTAAAAGAAAGGTGTCATAAACTGCTGTGTCTCATTGGTGTGGCTTAGTAACACAATTGAGAAATGATTTTGGTTATTTTGACTAATTTACCTAGGAGCTATTGAAAAAAATCCCTTTTCAGGGACCAGAATAGAATAAACGCTCTGCCTCCATGTTGCTCACTGAGTAGGAGGACACAGCAGACACAGAGGTGCTCTCAGCTCCCCCACATTCATCAACACCATGTCTCCATTTTCAGCCGGTGTACTAGTACACTCGGACCTGTGAATGAATGATGGCTGAGGCTGCCAGACTTGTCTGCCATATATTACACAAAGCAAATTTTCTTTTTGATCTTCATTTGTTAAATTTGATCTAAAATTGCAATTTTAAATGTTGAGTAAGGACTAAAAATCTAAACTGCATTCCTTTTTGAGCTGTCTCCCATCGGTCCACAAGAGGGCAGACACATTTGCAGCTATGAAAATTAGTGAGTTTGACAAGTGTTATCATTTTCTTTTTCTGTGGCACACTTGTATTTGTGCATTTATCTTGTTTAAAGGTGCAGTATGTAAGAAAATAGTGAAAATTTTACAGTGAGAAAATCCCAAAAGAGTCTAATGCTTCAGTCAATTTGGAAGCGAGGTTCTACTGAAACATATTTCATATCCAGCTGGCTGCAGGGATTGTCACTTTTTCTCCTTTCAAAACAAAGGAAGGACGGACATATGCTGTTTACCAACAGGGGTTGCCATGTCTCCTGTGAGCTAATACAGCAACACCGACGATTGCAATTAGACGACGGCTGGCAAAAACTTCCAGAGTGGTTCAAAGTGGTTGCAGTAACCAAGTTTTACCTCAGAACTTCATTTTTACTTAATTTCTACATAATGCACATTTAAAACCATGAAAATTTTGAACATATATTATATATATGCCAATGTCCTCACTCTCCAAGCTTTCTAAAGTTCTTCTTTGAGGCCCTGGTACTTCACTAGTTTCTCGTGTTATTTTTTCATGATGTTACCATCACTTGGTATCGCCACATCGGCCACAACGGCTGTTCTACTGTTTGTCCATCACCACAATGTCCAGTTGGTTCTCCATCACCATTTTGTTGATCTGGACCTGGAAGTTCCACAGGAGCTCAGCTCTCTTGTTCTCTACCACCTTAGGGCGTGTTACCCACTTTGACCTTGTAGCTTCCAGTCCATACTCTGCACAGATGTCTCTGTATGCGACGCCAGCCACTCGGTAGCGGCATTCCATCTATGCTTTCCCTTCCAGTATCTTACACCCTGTAGTTGTATATATATATATATATATATATATATATATATATATATATATATATATATATATATATATATTTATATGTGTGTGTGTGTGTGTGTGTGTGTGTGCGCAATATTTTGTGCTCTGTGTACAATGAAGCACAAAATTCAATTCAATTGGATATCCAATTAAATTTTCTTTTGTTCTTCATTGTACACAGAGTGCAAAATATTGGTAACAAAAAATTTTAAAAGTGTGACAAACATTAAAACTAGTTTATTTTCATCTTTTTCTACAGTATTATTTTGCCATGATCACTACTGTTTAAGTATTAGTTTTATTTCAAGTAGTTTCCTTTTTTCAATTTAATTTTCTTTTCCATTTTTTCACATTCTGTAAGCTATTTATCTAATAAATAATAAATATTCTTTGTTACATGATCATGTTGGCCAGTAGGGAGACAATCTGACTGTAGGATCCTAGCAGCACAGCATCATTCCTTAAATCCGTGATGCAATATTATTAAACAAAATCTTAATTCTTTTTTTAACCTTTACAGTGTTAAACAAAGGCTTTAGTGAAAATATTATCTAAAAATAAAGAAGTAAATAAATAAAAAATATCCTGGGTAAATAAATAAAGCCTTTACTAAATAAATTTGAAGAAAGCCTGTGTGAATGGTAATTGCTGATAATGATCGCTGAAGCTGCTTAAGGAGTGAAGTTAAAGTGTAAAAAAAATTCTAAAGAAAAAAGAAACAGGAGAGCAAAAAGGTTAGGCTCCGCCCACTTGGCTACTATGGCAACCATGTTGACAGCACTCAAACTGTTAACTAGAACATTTCTATAGAACTGAATGTTAATTAGGTTTATGTTGTGTTAATAATGTGAATGGTATGCTAATTATGTTAAGGTTATGTAAATTATGTTTATGTTATGTTAATTATGTTTATGTTATGTAAATGAGGTTCGGGTATGCTAATTAGGTCATGTGACCTATGTCATCATAAAGGCATACCTCAACAGTCTCAGCTCCCCTCCATCACACTAGTGACTGACCTCTCGTTGGACACATCACATTTTGTGAGCTCTCTCTGATAACAAGGATCTGTTACACTAGAACCTCGAAATGTCTAGACGCAGCACCGCTAACAAGAAGAAAGTCTCTTGGTTTGATATGCGGGAACAAGAGGTGAGTGTGGATTATAACGCAATAATCAACGTTGACACAGTTTCAGACTCTGAAGATTGTGTAAAGCCACCACAAAAGGTTTCTCTAGCTGAGAAAGTCCTGCAGGAATCGTCTGTCTTTGAAAAACAAAGAGACATGGACCGTCTTTTGATTGAAGTGGAGGAACTCAAGGAAAATTTGAAAATTTCCAACGATTCTCTAAAAAATGAGAAAATAAGACGAACCAAAGCTGAAACTAACTGTGTGTTTTACAAGAGAGAAATTACCGAATTAGAGCAGGGATTAGATTACTATCAGCATAAGGTAGAGACTCATGAAAAAACGGTGCAGACTTTACAAAACCAGCTTCAGAGCAAAGAAAATCTCTGTGAGAGACTGCAAAAGCGTTCTCAGCAGGAGTCACTGCTGAGACACAACTTAGCTCAAGAAAAACAGAGGAGTGACAACGAACATATAATCAATAGTAAGTTACAGAAGGAAATTGCAGATTTACACAAGGAGAAAGAAAATCTTTTAAACAAGCTGGAGAAATTTTCCTCCATGAAAAAGGAGGCAGATGAGAAGATGTCTGCACAGCTGGAAACCTTGAAACACCAGTTGGATGAGAAATCTTCTCTCTGTCATCAACTGGAATCGTCTTTTATTAAGGAAAAGCAGCTGAGAGTCCAGTTACAAGAGGAGAAGAAGAACCAGAAAAAAGATCTAAGTCATCAGAAATTAAAGAACGAAATCTGGGAATTAGAGCAGGGACTGGATTACTATCAAAATAATGCAGAAACCCGTGAAAAAAGAGTGAAGAGTTTACAGATCGAGCTTCAGAACAAAGAAACTGCATGTGAAGATCTGCAGAAGACTTTAAAACAGCTGAGAGTCCAGTTAGCTGAAGAGCAGCAAAACAGTCAGAACAAAGACACAATTACTGAGAATTTAAAAGAGGAAGTTGGAGAACTAAAGAAGAGCCTTGTGCAAGCTCTGGAGAGTCTTAACTCCACAAAACTCGAGGTGAAGGAGAAGATGTCTCAGCAGCTGGAAGTGTTTAATCAGCAGCTAGAAGAGAAATCTGCTCTTTGTCAAACACTTAAATCAAGTTTAGACAAAGAGCAGCAGCTGAGGGTGAGCTGTCAGGCTGAACTCGACAATACCAGAGTTCTTGTCTCTGAGAATTCAGATCTCCAGCAGGAGATCCAGGATTTGAAGGAGAGAAACTCTGAACTCAGAGATGTGATGATCAAACACGTCTCTGAGAAAGTCGAGTCAGACCAGCAGTTTGTTCAAGAGCTGCAGAAACTCAAAGAGCAGCATGAAGAGGAATTAGTTACCCTAAAACTGCAGCTTAAAGAACATCTCAGATCTGAGATCCAACCTGGTTCTGAGATTTATTCACCAGAACCACAGCCGTCTGTGGAAAGTCTAGAGACAAATCCTGACAAGGATTGTCAGACGGACACGGACGTTTGTCAGACTGAAATCATTCAGGAGACGCTGGAGTTAAGCCAAAGTCTCCACAGTAACGAGTCTCCATCTGAAGAAGCCGTTCCACAAACAGTCAAACCGCAGAAAAACATTTCTAAGTGGAGACGCTTCAAAAAGTTTATGACTCCGGCGTGTCTGCGGAAACACAAGAACAAGTTATAAACTAATTACCTGCCCTCACACACACCACCCTCACACACACACCTTCACAAACCACCGTCCAATATTCACACACCTTTAGAAAAAACGGGGCTGTATGTTAGAGAAGATGGTCGTGCTTTCGTCTTGCAGAGGTTGCTGGTTTACATGCCAGCTGTGACCCCTCTGTGTGACAGAGCACGTTCTCTCTCATGCACGCGTGGGTTTTCTCCGGGCGCTCCGGTTCCCCCACAAACACGTGTTTAGGTTAATTAGTGACTCTAAAATGTCTGGATGAGTGAGTGAGTAACTGGTGTGACTGAACACAATAGAAAAATGATAAATCTCCAGAGTCTGACTCAATCTGGAACGATCAGATCAACAGTCTCTTATCAAAAAGTAGTTAGAGTGTGCTTCAAGTAGGCAAGGCAGCTTTATTTGTATAGCACCTTACAACAGCATCAAACCGACCAAAGTGCTTCACAGAAATTAAAACATTACAAAACAACATACAACATAAAGATACCTAAAAACTAAACCCTAAGAACTAACACTAAAAAGACTAAAAGACTCTCATGCTGAGTTAAAAGCCAAATCATAAAAATAGGTTTTCAAAAGAGATTTAAAACCAGAGAGTGAAGAGGCACTTATATATACATATACTTATATATATATACATACTTTATATACTTACATACAGCTATACCTAAGTAGTAGTGTGTTATCAGTACATTTTATTTGACTCATTCTAGTAAGGGCAAGATGTAAATCATATATTTGCAAATCCTATCTGACAAGTTTTAAGCAATTGGCCAGCTTAAACATGAAAAGCTCAAGAGTGAATAATCAACACATTCTCACTCCCAGCGCGTCAAAAACAAACGCTTGGTCAGCCACCCTCCACCTCAGATCCCTGACGCCAAACGTGCCTTTTTCATTACTTAGGTGCGAAAAGGTTTTTTTCCCCTTATTTGACTGCAGATCCCAATGCAGCGTTACACTGACGCGATGGGATGTCCGCAGCCAAGGCACCAAACAAGCTCATTGTACCTCACCCTAACCTTTTCCTCTTATTTAACCTTCCCCTCACCCCTATCCTAACCTTAACCATCTTGCTAGCGAACACGTTAGTGATGTGTCGATCACTCTAAAAGCCGGCTCTATGAAGTGAAGGGCGAGAGCCGCCTGTCAATGGTCGGGTTTGGACCGAGCAAACGCGAGGGGGAGGTTTCAACTACCACGGTGGAGGTTAAAAGTAGACGGTGTTTGTAACCTCCCCCTCACCAGATGGTATGTTCTAACGTTCCCCTTGGGCGGCAAATACGAAAATTCACAGTCAGACTGCATGGGAAACAAACGCTTGATCACAGTGAGAGTAACGTTGTGGGTAGCAAGAGGGTTAAGTATAGGATGAGGGAGAGGGGAAGGTTATAGTGAAACGTTAAGGTTTAGGTGCGGTTAAATGAGCTGGTTCTGTGCCGCATCAGCGGATATCTCATCCTGTCAGTTTTACGCTGCATTGGGATCAGCAGTTACAAAAGGGAAAAACCCCTTTCCGCACCTAAGTAACGAAAAAGTGCACTTTTGGCGTCAGGGGTCTTACGTGGAGGGTGGCTGACCAAGCGTTTGTTTTTGACGTGCTGGGAGTGAGAATGTATTGGAATAATAGTGTAGGAGTTTATTTGGAAATAATTGGCTGCAAAGGGGGCTAGCCCCTATTTAAAACAACCAAAAAATTTATCCCATCCGCTGAATCACCACCTTAACGTGGTGGGTGGGTTTGTGTACCCCCAGGATCCTGAAGGATGTTTGGTCAGGGTGTTGGCTCAGGGTGGGGTCTCCCGTGGCATCATTTCCTCAGGTGAGGGGTCAGACTAAGAGTGATTCAAAGACTTATTTTATAGAAAGCCATGAAGAAACAGTCTCCATGTTGCAGAACTGACTGGTGGAGACTAGACAATCCTCATGGACGAGAAGGTCACCTGTGCAGCTCCAAGCAGCAGAATAAACAAATCTGTTCAGAGTATTTGGCTTCTTGAAGTTTCTGGATTCTGTTTTTGTAAAGTGATTAAAACATAATAAAAAGGTAAGTAGACTCGTCTGATTTACTGAACATGTCTCTTCTCTCATCTTGAACAAGAAGCCTGTTGGATGAGAGTCAAACATCTTCAATAAACACAAGTCCAGCCAAGGGCGTCAGTTTGTTTTCAGAATTGCTGGGGACAATAACCATACACTTGAGTGGGGTTTAAAAATTGCTGGGGACAATAAAGTAGGTTAGCACAGGGGTCGGCGGCTCTGGAACCGCATGCGGCTCTTCCATCCTTCTGATGCGGCTCTCTGTGCTTGTGAAATAATGAATGGATATTTAAATAAAAAGCTTTATATTTTACTGCATTAATTTTACATCTGTAAGCTAATTCTAAATGTAAAGATTGTCTGCGTAAACCTGAACAGTTCCAACCCGGTCTTACTGTGAGACCGGGTTGATGCGTCACGCTTGTGCATAATCATATCGGCGCTTCTGAGCTGCTTTCTGACCTTCCCCACCTACAAAGTTTAATTACAACAATCAAACGTGACAGAGCCTGGATTTGTATTCTGAACAGTCTAAACATGTTTTAAAAAGAAACATAGGACAAAAGTGGCACCTGCTCAGTAAAACCATCAACAGGGTGAAAAATACCAAAAATTGAAGGCAGAGACGGGCTACAACTTCTGGATCCATTTTATATAAATTGTTTTATTGATTATCTCTAATGAAAGATAATTAAGACATACATGAGCGATCAGGCGCGTTGCAAGCTTTTCAAAAGTGTGGGGGATGTTGTCTGTGCCTAAAATAATTTCATGTTATTCATCTTGTTAGTTTAATTTCCATAATAGCGGAGCAGGTGCGAATTTTAGACGCGTCACGCACGTCTCCGTTTCAAACATGTTTAAACTGTTCAGAATACAAATCCAGGCTCTGTCTCGTTAGATTGGTATAACTAAAGTTTGTACTGAATGAAACTTTACATTAAACCATGTTGAAAAGTAAAGGATCCGATTAAATAGTTTCCCCCTCATTTACAGTCAGTACAGTGCAGTGCGCACGGCTCTGGAGTTAATCAAGTTTAATTGTAACATTAATGTGTTACTGGACACGCTGGTCTGGTTGGTTAGACCAGTGTTTGAAGTGGAAAACACACACACACACACACACACACACACACACACACACACACACACACACACACACACACACACACACACACACACACACACACACACACACACACACACACACACACACACACACACACACACACACACCAATTAAAATAATGCTGATAGCATGGATAGAAGACAGGTGATGGTTTACGTATTTAAATGATGATCAGGCTGATGTAAAATGTAATCTCCATCCACATCCAGACACAATCATCCTCTATTCTTTCTCTATTTGCTCTGCTTTTGTCTGGGCTGATGTAGCTGACGGTGCGCGCGGGGCGCCTAGCGGCTGATGCACATTTTACGCATTTGGAGAGGTGGGCTGGATGCTTTGCGTTTACTGGAAGTTGGTCCACTTAACGCACGGTTGTAGACTAAATATTAATGACAAATGAATGAAAATTAAATTGTGAGTTTTTACTTCATATTTTAGAAATAAAAATGACTGGGGAAAACATTTATGACGTCTTTTTAAACTAAATTTTCTAGCGCGACCTGCCTGCTTCACTAAGTCACTGCTTATTAAGGTCCGTCCAGAATTACCGTGGCCCACCCAAAAATGAAAACATGGCGCAGCGCCTGTTATAAACCTCTGCAAATTGTTGTTCTTCACTTTATCAAACTCAGACTTTGTACAGCTGAATTCAAGATGTAAAATTATGAATTCAGTCGAGCTCTTCCGTCCCTCCCTCTCCTGCTCTCCTGGAAACCCGACATCGGCTGGGAGGTGAAGAAGGAGATGAGGCAAACAGAGTGAGTGCGACGTAAAGAAACCAGACTGGTGTGGAGGTGAGCAAAACAGCTGGAAAAGTGTGGGTGTTGAATCCCCCACGGGTGCGATGCCCCCGGCTGCTGTCACCTGTTGTGAGCAGCGCTCTGCTGTCTGAGGCTAGGCCCCGCCCGCAACGCTGCGGCTGCTGCGGTGTTTTCTTTACCGTGGGAAATGGGTAATAATGGCTCTTTGATGGGAACAGGTTACCGACCCCTGGTATAAGATCTGAGCAGGTAAAACAAAAATCCTCATCAGCAGGCTTTTTTGAAAGTGGGGGGGACACAGCAGCCGATCACGAATTTTGCCGGGGACATGTCCCCGGCGTCCCCGGTTAAAATGACACCTATGAGTCCAGCTGCCATTTTTAAAAGTTACTAAGAAGATCACGTCCCACGCGTTGAGAATTAACACCAACTGTCATGTACATGTTTGAAATCAAAACTCTCAAAACACATATTTCATTCTACAGGTACAAACCTCAAATCTACAGTGTTACAAATCTTTTTGTCTCATTTCTAGCTTCGGTAGGAGGAACTTGGGTGGAACCAATGAGAGCACGAGTCTTAGATACCAATCACGTTTCTTGAATTCCTGTCCAATCATTGGGAGAGGAGGGCAGGGTTCTGTCAGAGCTGTAGAAAGAGAGAGTTACGACACGCTTTGAACTCACCGACTCACGGTCACGTGGTTCATGGAGCTCTCAGTTCCAAACATCCCAGCGCCGTAAGTCAGTTTGAACGGTGTATGGTGGGACAAACCACAAAAAATTAATATAATAATATTTCCCCTAGCGATTTGTGGTAATTATTGAATAATATTATATATTATTATTAGTAGTAAACTGTCCCACTATAATATGTAAAGCTTTCTTTATTTGTAATTTACTTATTTTCTTCAGGTCTACTTTTTACTTTTACTTCACTAATTTTTAAAGCCACTATCTGTACTTCCTACTTCACTACAATGGGGAGCCTAGGTCTCCTCTCTTCCCGGTCGACTCATGGGTCCCTGGAAGAACGAAAACATGAATGCAAGTCAACGGGGCTAAAAAAACAATTTTCTAATCCGCTTTGCCTTACGTCCTGGATCACACATATGTTGCACTTCAATTTAAATGTAATCCAATGATGGATGTTACATTGAAAATTTTCAGCTTGTAAAAGTTCGATGTTAGCATGACTACAAATCCGACATCAGCACGTTGCATATATGACGTCACCACAGAATCTGCCATTTTCCTTTATGTTTTTCTCCGTGTCTGCTTCGATGATGTCACTTTCATAAAGCGCATTTGTAGTCCTGGACTTATTACACAAAACTTAAAATAACGTCTCCCCCCTTTCGAAAATAAGCGCGTTCTTGGTATTAAAATGCATCTTCACAAACATCATATGTGAAATCCATGGCACATAACAAGCAGAATTAGAAAATAGCGTCTTTAGCCCCGTTGACTTGCATTCATTTTATTGTTTTTCTGGGGACCCGTGGTCCGGAAGTAGATGGGCGTGACTTAGGCTCCCTATGGAGCGCTGTCTGTCACCTATGATAGACTGTCACTATGGCAAAGCTATGGAATCTTGTGTTACCATAGTTACAGCTCAGGTGCATCATTTAAAATGCTTTATTATTAAGGCTGCTGGAAAAAACAAAATAAACAACAACCCCTTAAGCAGGTCTGATTACAGATAAATAGTCAAGATACAACTCATTTGAATCTGAAATATGAGTTATAAATGTACATTTCTATAACTAGACTAGGGCAGCAGCTATCGAATATTTTTGTAATCGAGTACTCTATCGAATCTTTTATCGATTAATCGAGTACTCTAATAAATTGCCCTTTTGTGTTTGTAAACCATTATATCAAATAGCATGTTATAAAATATGAAAGACCTCTTAAAATGAGCATGCAACTGTCAGTTATTCTTCAAGTTTTATTCAAAATTAGTTTTCAAAACTTCAGCACTTCAACTTTACTTCACAGTAAACAAATGCCTGTGCAAAAAATAAGTATACAACCTGAGCCGATTTTCCCCTCGTGTGAGAATCTACTAGCCTGCAAACCAGGCAAAAACTAGGAGGATAACTTTTGAAGTAGCACAGCGAGCGGCTGTGGGCCAAACAGAACAAGAACCGCTCAAGGCTTATGTGCAGACATGGCTCGCCAGCTATTTCCCTATTTACACACGTCCGTTTTCATTTCTACACTTTTTTTTTCTCACACAATAATAAGGATAGTCGAGAAAGCATGTTTGTCGTGGTTATGTCAAATTATACTGATCACAAAACATTTATTTACTTTCTTTCGTTTTTCTCCGCCACTCATAAATACCCGTGTCCTCCTGCAGCAATCCCGAGGGACAACAGACCTCAGTAACAACACAATAAAAAGTCTGACGTGTTGTGTAAAAACTGCTATTTTTAGCACGTTTTTAGGTCCAACGTGTTTCTACCAGATGCACAGTGTGAGCTGAAACAGTGCTACAAACGAAAAAGTCGCACAGTGTCCGCAGAAAATATAGCAGACCTCAGAGTCTGCTTGCAGAAGTGACATTTACATGTGGATGTTTCCTGGTCAGGTGCTGCAGCATGGAGGATGTGGTGTTGTGGTAGGCTAAATCCATTTTCTAGTATTTACACTGGAGTATGTTTTCCGCCTTACGACGTGAAAAATGGTCCCACACCTTTGACATTTCCTGTCTTTTTCGCACTCCACCGGGGTCCACGTTGTCTGCCATGGCTTAAGAGAAAGTTAAGTTACATTCGCTACTCGCGTGTGCATTCAGTGCAGTGTGTATGTTTATCATTTATTTCGGTCCGGGTGAAACATGACCCCGGGCGATTGCTAAGCCATGAATTAATTAAACATGAATTAAACAAATCCTCGAGGCAGAGAATTTGACTCGAGGCTTTTTTTGTATTTGAATTATTCGAGGTACTCGAGGAATCATTTCAGACCTAAACTAGACCTACATGCTATCTATGGAGCTAGGTCTGGGACAATATTAAACATAACTTGTACCAAGTTTTGTAACTTGGAACATGTTTCATGACATGTAACTTTGGATTCGTAACTTGTAACTTTAG